GATCATTTTGACCCCACGGGGTGAGATCTTGCGTCGGACCGCAGAGTGAAGGAAAAGCCGCCAACAAGTGCTCAGCATATGTGGGAACTCCTTCAAGACTGTTGGAAAAGCATTCCAGGTGAAGCTGGTTGAGAGAATGCCAAGAGTGTGCAAAGCTGTCATCAAGGCAAAGGGTGGCTATTTGAAGAATCTCAAATATAAAATATATTTTGATTTGTGTAACACTTTTTTGGTTACTACATGATTCCATATGTGTTATTTCATAGTTTGATGTCTTCACTATTATTCTACAATGTAAAAAATTGTTAAAATAAAGAAAAACCCTGGAATGAGTAGGTGTGTCCAAACCTTTGACTGGTAGTGTATAAAACACAGGAAAATTTACTGGGTCTTTAAGGCAAGACAACATTTGTTTTCAGCTGTGAGATAGTGTGTTTGGAGTCATTTAGTCAATAAAACAATATTCACTGTCTGAATAAACAGAGACAGGCGATTTTACACCTTCTAGGATGTCCCCTGACATTTGACTCATTTGTGCCCTGTCCCTGGAGCTGGTCTTGTTGCTGTGTGCTAACGTCATACTTCCTTATAGCCGTTGTCTCTCTGTGAGGCTAATTGACACAGTGCTGAAGGACTCACACCTTCACTCAGTTAGGCGTTCACACTCTTTACTCCCTCAGAGGTTAGTACCGCTCAATGACAGGGAGAGTGAGGTGGATATTGTTGAATTTCAAGTACTGACAGGTCTAAAACACAGGAAATTAAAGAATTGGGAGCCGATAATTAGTACATGATTAAGGGAACTCAATAGTTTGTGTGATGTTAACTTTTACTACTCAGCTGAATGTGCGTAGGAGATCAGGATCAAATCACATCAAATAGTTGTGTAAAATTCAACTGAAATGGAGTCATCATGGGGGATTCCATAGGAGTGCCTGAGGCAAATCTTCCTCCTCAGCCATCCCCATAGTCCCATAAAGGCCAATGGTAAATCGGGGACTAGATGCAGCCTAACACTAGTATGTTGGGTTGCTGCACTGTGGGAGAGGTGTATCACTGTCCTTTCAGTCATTAATTGAAATGGGTTAGGTCATCACTTTGTGTCTTATTGTTGTGCATCCATCTCTCCCCCAGCTGTTGTTCGCTCGCTGTTTGACAGGTCTGACCAAGGGAGGGCTTACCTAATCCTTACTAGAGAGCACAACACCCACACAACACATACACATCCTTTCAAGGACACAAATACACACATACTCTCTCACTCACTGTAAAATACTCACACACACACATACACACGTAGGGCCGGCTCCAGGCATAAGCGACATGAGCGGTCGCTTAGGGCCCCGGCCGCTAGGAACTCAGTCGTGGTCTCAGCTTACTGTTGAGAGTTAGAATAGTAGAATACACAAGGTGCAAGTTCAACATTTTGTTGTGCATCAGCAGTTTTTCTCTTGTTTTGTCAGTCACTGACAGTCACTCATTTAGCCATGTCAGCTAACAATTTTTAGATTGGTAAGTTAGTCTAGCTAGTTATCTAAACTTTAATCATGGCCGAATACCAGACATACAGGGGCCCCCATTGATTTTGTTAGACACTCTCACTCAGATATCATTAACATGGCATAATTCATGGCAAAATGTGTAGAATTGCAGGAAATTAGCTTTAAAACTGAAAAAATGTCTCTGCCCAATGGCAAAATGAGTAGAATTGCATTACATTTGTTATAAAATTGAAAGATTTTCTCTACGCCCACGGCAAAATGTGTAGAGCACTGCTTCCCTATATCATGCAAAAAAACACCAGGTTTAATGGCTATTCTGTATTCTGATATTTACAAAGGAACAAGTGAAGAGTTTATTTCCAAAACATTATATCCACCAATTTTCATGAGAAATGATTGCTTATGGGTACCTTCATGTGGGTGTAAAATATTAATTTTTTATTCATAGATTTTAGATGTGTATGAAAATTTGATTTGGTGCAAAACGCTATCCTCAGAACAGCCTCAATTGATCGGGGCATGTACAAGGTGTCGAAAGCATTCCACAGGGATGCTGGCCCATGTTGACTCCAATGCTTCCCACAGTTGTGTCAAGTTGGCTTGATGTCCTTTGGGTGGTGGCCCATTCTTGATACTCATGACAAACTGATATGCCTGGCACCTACTACCATACCCCGTTTAAAGGCTCTTAAATATTTTGTCTTGCCATTCACCCTCTGAATGGCACACATACACAATCCATGCCTCAATTGTCTCAAGGCTTAAAAATCGTTCTTTAACCTATCTCCTCCCCTTCATCTACACTGATTGAAATTGATTTAACTAGTAACATCAATAGTGGATCATAGCTTTCACCTGGATTCACCTGGTCATTCTATGTCATGGAAAGAGCAGGTGTTCATAATGTTTTGTACACTCAGTGCATATTCATTGTTTAGCTGGAATGGAATGTTCATATCATATATATTTGACTGTGATATGGGGTTGTCTCACCTAGCAATCTTAGGATGAATGCACTTACTGTATGTCGCTCTGGATAAGAGCATCTGCTAAATTTCAAATGTAAATGTTTTACATACAGATCTCATATTACTGTATTGAATTATTTTATTTTATTTTATTTTTTATATTGAGGTAACTAGCAGTACTACTTATTTATCTGAAAGTGAAGCAGATATACACGTATAGCATTTAGCAAAAAAAAACTTTGAATATTTGTTTCTCTGAAATTAAACCATCAAAATTTCAAACAAATACATGTCTGACATTGAACAACCCCATGCCATGATTAGATAGTGAAAAAACATACCAATCTCTTTCAGAATTTCTTTAAACAATGAAAGCTAATTTACCAACATTTCTGAAAATGGATATATACCGTTTTGGATTGAAACTCTTCATGTGTGCTATCATCGAACAGAGGAGCAATGAGTTCTGTGTCGTGAACACTTGCGTCAATGCAACACTCAATAGTCATGCAGTGTCAAGCATATGCAAATGTTTTAATCATCGTACAGTGTGATTGCCCTGAAAATAACAGCAACAGCAAAAACAGGAATCTAGTGATGAAGAGGCCGTTTGAGAGAGATGGTGTCCCTCTTTAGACTCTTCAGACCCTGAGGCAGTCTCAGCGCTGCACATACAAAACAAGGTTCACCCTTGATGGGGAATATGAGCATAGGCTATCAGTTGGCTGCACTCTCTCTCTTTCCACCTCTCTCCTTTTTGGCATTTCTTTCTCTGCATCTCCCCCTCTATCACTCTCATGTGAGGTTTTAGCTTTATGTGTGGCATCTCTCTGGAGTTTCCTGTTGGAACAGTGGGAGCCATTAACACAGTTGAACAGGAAAGGTTCCTGTTGATGACTAGCAGTGATTAGAATCGGTTGGACTAATTATTTCAATGCAGGGGGCAGATCAATGCCGAGGGTCAAGTCATCTCAGAAGGTACACCCCTTTCTGTTTGTGCATTAATGTGTTTGCTTGAGTGTATGCTATTTTGTTTGTATGTCAGTCTGTGTGTGTGGCTGTGGGATGATTGGGGGGATGATTGCTGTCTCAAAAGCTTTTGTGTGACGTATGTTATTTTACTAGTGTGGTGGTGATTGGGAAAGCATCTGATTGTTGATTGCAAGTTTCCATGAGGGAACACAAGAACACCAAATATTCCTCCACAACGAATGTCATTTAAATAAAAAAACGGAGGAATGATAGTCACACACACAAAACACACACAAGGGTGTCCATCATGTCTCTGGGTTGGCTGTAGTTGGTCCCTCAGTCCAGATGAAAGTGCTGGCAAATCGATACAATGGCTTATTAACGGTATAAATCCAGCCCACCTGTCTGTGACGCTCGTCTCTAAAATGAACTGAAGAGTCCTTTCCAATATGGTTGATATAACATACAATCACCGCTCAGGGGACCTATAACAAAGACAAACATACAGTAAGGACCCTTTCTAAATGCAATAATCAATGAGTTGAGCTGAAGTGTAACTGCAAAAGCTCTTGTTTTTCATTTGAAGTTCCATCATAGAGCGCAGTGACTATAGGATTTCATAAGCGTTCACAACAATGTTTTATGCAACCGTAACTACTAATTAACACAAACTGAACTAACACAGAATGGAGATGTTATATATGATTGTTTCACATGTTCGAGGGTGGGGTCTGGGTCTCCTCCTTGAGTGTTCTGCGCTATTTTCCATCCATGGTCCACTGGACAGGTACTGCTTATCCACAGACTCTCTGGAATATTGTTTCCAGATTAATCCAGGAGAAACTCGACCCACCGACCCACACATTCAGCTTTCATGCTTACACAGGGAAACCGGGCCCCAGCAGTCACAGTAAGTCTCTGTAGTCAATCTAATGAAAAATGCACATTTATCAGTAAATGTACACAACACTGATAAATTGATGTAGCTTCAATTAGGTGAGATTAGATGAGACAAATGAGATGATAATAAATGGAGACATTTCAACTTCCTCAAGATCACAGAGTTAAAAGGTTGTTTACACACAAACAGTTAGGCCCTACATAATACATTTATTTGGTAACCTACTTCATGGTTTAGACTGACTGAACAATTGCATCATCAGGTCATCCAACAATAATTTCCTTTAATCAAGGGCACTGGGAAAAAATTGGACACCAATTGTATAACTTCCATTTTGATTTTATATTAAGTGACTGTGACATCCTGTTTTTGATGAATTTCTTTTATTTAGTTTCCTATCTAAATGTATCTAAAAACCATTATCAAAATTGACTTACACAAGTTGTTATTGTCCGACAGGCGAGAGAGAGGGCACTTGCGCACTAAGACTCAGATGATGATCAAGGAGACCAGTGGGACGTTGATTGGTCACCTCTGCGTAGGAGATGATGCTTCTCCCATCAAAGTTATAGCCTATATAATTCTCTCGGTTGAGAAAGTCATTAGTGTTCAGTTCTGGGATCTGACGTTGCGATATAACAAGACTTACTCCTGCAGCACCAAATCACACACAGAGAAGCTATACCACAGAGAAGCTATACCCTCACCAAAGCGCATGAGAATCTGATAGCTCGAGATGAGCGCAACTTATCTACGACAACTTTGCCTCCTTCATTTGGTCTGGTGCCTTGGATATTGGAAGGTGACAGGTGAGAGAATATTATTTATATAATTTAAGTTAACATCAATATTTCAATATAACTTAGTTTAAACTAATCATATAATTGTAAGTCTTCTAAAAATGGTTCTCAACATTCAATTGACTTCTCTGTTGATTTAGCTATTAATTGATATTGTTGATAATAGTTGACAATTACATGCATTTTGTTAATGTAGATTAATAACATTATAAATATATATATATATATATACTTTGTAAACTGACCATTTTTATCTATCTTTAGAGGCTTATCCCAGCAAAGAGTGTGAACATGGAATTGCTTTGATGAAGGTATGGGACAAAGGCTGCATTTACACAGGCAGCCCGATTCAGATTTTTTCCCCTCTAACTGGTCTTTTAAACCAATCAGATCAGCTGAGAAAAAGATCTGATGTGAAAAGATCGAATGTGCCAATAAAAGGCAGTTGTGAAATTAGTTTTTAAAACAAATAGGTTATTGTGAAATTAGTTTTCAAACAAATAATTATAAATCGATTACCATTACATTCCCTTATTTGATACCAGAGTCAAAGGCTGTGTCAACATTTTGAAGGTGTACTAGACATAAAACAATCAATATGTGCCTTGAATGTGTATCACTCTGACTGGATTTAGACAGGCAGACCAATTAAGATCTTTTTTTCACTAATTGGTATTTTGATCAATCAACTCTGAAAAAGATGTGAAAAGATCTGTGATTGGTCAAAAGACCAATTAGTGGAAAAACATCAGAAATGGGCCTCCCTGTCTATAAGCAGCCTTAAAGGCCACGCATTGTCAATCCGACGTCTGCATTGGCCGTGAAGCATTTATGGTGATACAGCCTCTACAGAAGTCAGGGCATTCATTATTTTTGCGCTTCGCGAAGCAGCGCAGAGCTGTTGAGTAGAGCTGTGAAGGAAGTTGTCAAGGAAGTGAGTTTGTGTTTATACGGGACCTCCCGCCCCCACCTACCGTCAACCAATCATGTCAATTTCGGAGCTATACGGAGCACACTGCATTGTTATAACATTTGGGAGGCGCACGGCCATGCGGTACGGATCTCAATTTGGCTATGTAATTGCGTCACACCCTCCATACGGAGCCTCCGACAACATTTTCGGATCAAGCTTAGGTTGGCTTTTAGTCTGTATCTTTGGCTGTCTTTACACAGGCAGTCCAATTCTGACCTTTTGCCACTAATTGGTCTTTTGACCAATCAGATCAGATATTTTTGCTAATATTTATTTTGCCAATAATTAGGCAAAAAATCAGAATTGGGCTACCTGTGTAAACACAGCCTCTGTGTGTCAGTCTCTCACCATTTAAACATCATGGGCTGCGTTTACACTGGCAGCCCAATTCTGTTATTTTGCCCAATTGGTCAAAATATAATTTATTTGCAAAAGATTAGAATTGGTCTGCCCCTTTGTAAATGCAGCCTCAGTCCTCTACTGCATTCATCAGAGAGTTCTGGTCACAAAAGGCATTAATGTTATCTGTTTTATTTGCACACCTCTGGAAAAATCCAATCTGTGACTGAATAGGTGGTCTGCAGGTAATTACATCCAAATTAAATGGTTTACTTGTGGTGGCTGGGGTAGGGTAGATGTGTTGAAGGGGTGGGGAACACAGAAGTGAGTCACACTGTAACTTGAATTAGACTGGTGGGGGATGAGAGGGACATGAGGGGCATAAGAACATTTATGACTTCAGCCTACTCTCATCAGCTGGACACACAGGTTACAGAGACATGATTATTACTTTGCAACAGGTATCGTATAGTACACAATGGATGTCATGTCCAACAGCTTTAAGGTTTTCTTGGGTTTAGTGATGTCTTACAGACTTGTTTTTGATCACTGACCATTGGTTTGTCTGCTGCAGGGTCCTGGGATCCAGACTGATGTGGGAGATATGATGTGGAGAGATCAGAATGAGGCAAGGCTAAGTAACTGCACAACTCAATCTTATCACAGATATTATATAATATCAGGATGCTTACTCTCTCCCTGCCCCTCTCCCCTCACAGCAGCAAGTTCAGAATGTATTCAAAAGAGTAAGTTCCTCAACAATATAAATGTTTTATTCCTACCCTATGCACATGTACATATAGACCTTATCCTTCAAAAAGGCAATACACTCTTTGGAACAGAGTGTTTACTTAGTATGTTCTCTTTTTGTCAGTTCCTGTTTCACTATTCAAAGGCTAACTCGGTAGGCTCTATACAGCATGCGGTAAGTAAAGGAAGACTCCTCAGTGTACAAATTGGTAACGTACAATGCATTCGGAAAGTATTCAGACCCCTTGACTTTTTCCACATTTTGTTACATTACAGCCTTATTCTAAAATTGATTATATAAATTTTTTTGCTCATCAATCTACACACAATACCCCATAATGACAAAGCGAAAACAGGTTTTTAGATTTTTTTGCAAATGTATATAAAAAAATATATATACATTATTTACATAAGTATTCAGACCCTTTACTATTAGACTCAAAATTGAGCTCAGGTGCATCCTGTTTCCATTGATCATCCTTGAGATGTTTCTACAACTTGATTGGAGTCCACCTGTGGTAAATTCAATTGATTGGACATGATTTGGAAAGGCACACACCTGTCTATATAAGGTCCCACAGAGCAAAAACCAAGCCATGAGGTCCAAGGAATTGTCTGTAGAGCTCCGAGACAGGATTGTGTAGAGGCAGAGATCTGGGGAAAGGTACCATTTCTCCAGCATTGAAAGTCCCCAAGAACACAGTGGCCTCCATCATTCTTAAATGGAAGAAGTTTGGAACCACCAAGACTCATCCTGGAGCTCCCCGCTTGGCCAAACTGAGCAATCGGGAGAGAAGGGCCTTGGTCAGGGAGGTGACCAAGAACCTGATAGTCACTCTGACAGAGCTCCAGAGTTCCTCTGTGGAGATGGGAGAACCTTCCAGAAGGACAACTATCTCTGCAGCACTCCACCAATCAGGCCTTTATGGTAGTGGCCAGACGGAAGCCACTCCTCAGTAAAACTGAGTCTCCCGAGTGGCGCAGTGGTCTAAAGCTGTGCCACTAGAGATCCTGGTTCGAATCCAGGCTCTGTCGTAGCCGGCCGTGACCGGGAGACCCATGGGGCGGCGCACAATTGGCCCAGCGTCGTCCAGGGTAGGGGAGGGAATGGCCGGCAGGGATGTTGGTAGAGCATGGCGTTTGCAACGCCAGGGTTGTGGGTTCGATTCCCGCGGGGGGCCAGTATGAAAAAGAAAAAAAAATATGTATGCACTCACTAACTGTAGGTCGCTCTGGATAAGAGCGTCTGCTAAATGACTAAAATGTCAATGTAAAAGGCACATAACAACCCGCTTGGAGTTTGCCAAAAGGCACCTAAAGGACTCTGACCATGAGAAACAAGATTCTCTGGTCTGATGAAATCAAGATTGAATTATTTGGCCTGAATGCCAAGCGTCACGTCTGGAGGAAACCTGGCACTATCCCTACGATGAAGCATGGTGGTGGCAGCATCATGCTGTGGGGATGTTTTTCAGCTGCAGGGACTGGGAGACTAGTCATGATCAAGGGAAAGATGAACGGTGCAAAGTACAGAGAGATCCTTGATGAAAACCTGCTCCAGAGCACTCAGGACCTCAGACTGGGGCGAAGGTTCACCTTCCAACAGGACAACAACCCTAAGCACACAGCCAAGACAACTTAGGAGTGGCTTCGGGACAAGTCTCTGAATGTCATTGAGTAGCCAGAGCCCGGACTTGAACCCGATCGATCATCTCTGAGAGACCTGGAAATAGCTGTGCAGCGATGTTCCCCATCCAACCTGACAGAGCTTGAGAGGATCTGCAGAGAAGAATGGGAGAAACTCACCAAATACAGGTGTGCCAAGCTTGTAGCGTCATTTCCAAGAAGACTCGAGGCTGTAATCGCTGCCAAAGGTGCTTCAACAAAGTACTGAATAAAGGGTCTGAATACTTATGTAAATGTAATATTTTTGTTTTTTATTTTTTATAAATTTGCAAACATTTCTAAAAACCTGTTTTTGCTTTGTCATTATGGGGTATTGTGTGTAGAATGATGAGGGGGAAAAACAATGTATTCAATTTTAGAATAAGACTAACGTAACGAAATGTGGAGGAAGTCAAGGGGTCTGAATACTTTCCGAATGCACTGTATCTTTAGATGATAATATTGCAACATTATGTAATTGCTTGATCTAATGTGATTGGTCTAACAGGCCTTTTCCCTCTCTAGTCCCATTCAGTGCACCCGTTGATGCGCCTGACACCAAAACTGAGGAGAAAGAAGCAGCTCCTGCTTCTGGTAAGAATCCTGTCCCTTTTCAACTCGAATGGTTAGCAGAGTCATGTCATTGAAGCTCAAGTTTAGGAAACTGAAAAAGCTCCTTTGAGACAGTGTTATTCCCTATCTTTCTATTAGCGATGCAGAGGACCACAGCCTGCCCACAGGGCAAAGACGTCAGTTCAACGTCTAGTTTTTATTTACATTTGGTGGCGTTATCAACTAAGGTGAAATCAACAAAACATTTCACTGGATTTAGGTTAAAAGTTGGGTGAAAAAAAGACCAAATTCCCTTACGTTGAGTACTTTGTGCAAATCCAATCAGTTTTCCACATTGATTCAACGTCAAATTGTTTTGTTGAAATGACATGGAAACAACATTGATTCAACCAGTTTTTGCCCAGTGGGTGTGGCCAGTCAGCAAGGCTCAATCAAGGTATAAATTCCATGTATTTTAGACATACAGTATATAGAACCTCAGGCCATATAGCATCCCCGGACTGGTGTTAGGACCATTACAACAACTACATCCTTTTAAAGCTAGGACAGAAAGGTAGACAAATCAAAGAATGTCACAAAAACTGTAACTGAGTCTTTCGCTCTTCCCTGTTACACAGAAGCTCCGGGATCTCCCTGAAGGTGTGATGTAAAAATCTGACTGTGGAATAACTGGAAGGCAGACACCAGCAAGCTGCATCCCCCTGAACATTGAGCACAAAATGGTGGACAGACAGAAGCAGCATTCTCTGGCAATGGACTTGATATTGAGAAATAAATGGAGATAAATGTGACTGCATTGCAGATTGTAGTGTCTTCCTGATTACTATTGGTGAATTTAAATATGTTGTGATTTAAAATGAGGTGGCAGTTGCACAAATACAGGCATTAAGTACATTGCTATCTGTGAACAGTGAACATACACTAGAGTCAAATACACCAAAGGAGTCCTTTATGTGATGGTTACACAGATCACAGCGAACACTTTATTAAAAAACTGTCAACCGTGATTATGGCATGGGTGAATGGCTACTTACATTTAATTTAACAATTAGAATTGTATATATTTATATTGTCATATTATAAAACGCATATGCAAAATAAAAAATGACAATCTTCAACCAAAGGTTCTGTAGAAACACTGTTGAAGAGTCCGATCTGATTTAGGAGAATGATCACTTAACACGAGATCCTTCAACCGGGAAGGCATAGTACTCTGATGGAGCCTCTCTGCGGTAAGCATAGGAAGAGGTGTGCATTTTAACGCATCACCACAGTAGAGAGCCATCCCCACTCCGTGATAGTGGAGCATTAGATTAATGTTATTTGGCAGTTAGGGGGCTAGTTCTCTTCTTCTGAGTCACTGTCTTTCCGTGTGGGGAGAGTGGATCGAATCGACGACATTAGCTTGTCTTCAATCTGCTTCTTGGGGTTTTCTTCCAGGTCTGTCTTGACAGCGCCAGATTCCGATAACCTCCACTCCAGCTCTGAGGATGATAGGATAAAGGATAGTTTAATATCTAAAAGGATTGACACCCATAAAATATTAACAAACAAAACTGAGGGTGTTATGTTAGAGATTTCATTTCATGTAACTAATAGCATCCTAACTTAGTATAAATAAACAAAAATAAAATGTCCTTCTTGAGAGTATAGCTAAGGAGATTGTCTATTACCTTCAACTTTGAGGTTCATGCCTCCGAAGACCAGAGGCCCGATGTACTGTGCTTTCATCTCTCCCTCGTGGTAGACAAAGATGGTGGGCAGGTTGCGGTCGGGGTAGTTGGGGATGCAGGTGGTGGAGATGGACTTGAGGAACTTGGTCTGGGGGAACTTCCTGGCCAGCTCTGATAGATGCTGGTTTATCAGGGTACACAGAGGTACTCTGGGAGGACAGCAGATTAGTGCAGGACATGTTAGCGAGAACAGATGTCACAATTAGTAAATTAGTTAAATCAGATACTTTGGCAGATAGGTCTATTCAGAGCACTGTGTAAAATCAGGCTTAGGCTAAATGAAAACCTTGTATCATGATTTTCAAATAAGGTCTTGGTTGTCAATGTTTTCATCAGATCTTGTCAAAAATCCAACATCACTTTTTGGGAGCATGAATCAGTGTGCTCAACTGCTATTGCAATCCTTAGAGAGAGAGAGAGGGTAGAGAATGGCAGAAGACTCACCCCTGTTTGTAGAGATGGAGCACGACCCAGATTCCCTCTCCAGCTTTGTTCACCTCCTTGATGTAGTCCTGCCCAGAGATCTCCACTACTTCACCGAAGCAATTCTTTATCTGGGTGGCTTTCCATTCCGCAAGCCTCTTCTGTCTGGTAAGAGGGAAATGCAGAGTGTGTAAAGAAAGGTAGGCTAATCAGAAAGACCCGTTTTAGGATACTGAAAAACACCTGCCCAATGGGGCAAACAATCACAGTACAGGCTCAACTTGCCCGATTGCTCAGCTCACATGCCCCAGGCAATAGGACAGCCGTTCATTCATATCAACCCCTGTTGTATGTACCATCTAAGTGATGCTTTAAAGAGATCACTGACCTGTACATCTCGATGGCGGCCTCGTCCTCTTCACTGAAGTCATCCTCGTTCTCATCCAGCTCGTCCAGAGTCATGCTCTCATAGGTTTTCACTGGTCACAAAACACCATAGGCATCGCAATTCAGAAAAAGTACCATTTAAGCTATTAAAACAACTAACAGATGTTGCTCTTAAATGTTGGCCAAGAATCAGCCTTCCCAAACTATGTCCTGTTAGTTATGAATAACATATTCCCCCCCCCCCCTAGATCAGTTCAGTAGAAACTTAGTCCCATAGAGGTAGCCAACTATAACTAGCCATCTCTTACCAACAGATTCCTGCTGAAGAAGTATCTGCTTCTCTAGAGCTTCCTCCTCAACCTCATCCTGAGTTTTCTCCTTGGGAGGAAGGACCCCCTTCTTTCTCAGGATGTCATTCCACTCAGTATCTGCATTAGGGTCCTGAGAAATAAGAGATCGTGTTGGAGTTTTATTGTAACTTCACGGATTGCCATTCAGTACTACCACATTTTTTTTTTTTTTTTTTTTTAACCATCTATATAGCTGGCCTCTGGTATTACTGCTAGCGAACATTACCTAATGTTTAGCCATCTAGTTTGCTAACATTTAGCTCTCAAACTCTAGGCATTCTGCCTTCTCCCTACAGTTTTTAGTCATTAGCTTCGCCGCCGACTGGCTCATGTCAACTACAATCCCGACACTATGTTTTAACTTTTAGAAACGTAAATCATCACTGGCGATATGGCTTTCGAAACATTGCCCTTATCTTTCATCAGCGAGAAAAAAAATCATTCAAATAAAAATTATTCACTTTTACTGTAGCAGTTTTGCACAGATCCATATAGTTATAGCTGCCTCCAGACGAAACTACACTTCCCGAGTTATGCTTACACACAGGTGGTCGAGCATGCTAGATCGCTAATTATCACAGGTGGTCGACCCTTGTCTTCCATAAACAAGCGCTGCAACATGGCCATGTGGGAACACTAACAAGGTGTGTATTCATGTAACCTTTAGTTTTTTGAAAATTACTTATTGCTGATATGAAACATAAGGTCTTTATGCTTCCAAAACCGTACCGCAAGCGACGCGTGTTAATGTTCAGATTGAGCGTTGGGGCTCTTAACAAAACGTCCCTGTACCTTCCTCCAATGATTTATGTATAATGGAACTGAGAGTCATGATCAAGGGCTAGATAACGTTATGTGCCAATCAAGGTGGCGTGCGAACAGATAATCCTATGACTCGAAACATCGGCTATGTCCTTTATTACTACGATCAGAAAGATGAGTTATAGCTAGAAAAATGTATATAAGTTTACAAACCTGCATTTTTTTAACCGTTCAAGACAGACGCTGAAAACACACCACTGCTCTTTCCCAGATACGGAAATAGAAGGACCTCACCCACATTTCTTCCGGAGTAAAACAAGATCTTTAATGTGACAAAACGTAAATACTTGTCAGATATCTCAAATATAAAAATATGTTAGAATCATTACAAAATAATGTTTTTTTCTGGGTACAAATCTATTCTATCAGCTGTTTTATATGTATTATTATTATAAAACTGGCTAGGGCAAGATATTCAAGGGACAATAATAAAGGTTGCACCAATATCCGGTTTGGGTCCTATATGTCCATATTAGGAGTGGGAACGCTACACTACATTCCATGTGTGGCAGCTGATTGAGACAACAGCTGCACCTGAAAATCACACTGCTGTGCTGTCAGTCTCTGGGTTGACCATAGACTTATGGGGGTGGCATAGAGGTCCAAAACATCTCTGAACATTGTTGGCCTGTTTTTTGGTGTGTAGATGTGCTTCAATATGATATATAATATGATTGTGGTCCTCTGTAGCTCAGCTGGTAGAGCACGGCGCTTGTAACGCCAAGGTAGTGGGTTCGATCCCCGGGACCACCCATACACAAAAATGTATGCACGCACGACTGTAAGTCGCTTTGGATAAAAGCGTCTGCTAAATGGCATATTTTTTTTTATTTTTTTATTTTTTTTATATCCTTATACTGTATTTGTTTATTTTCAATGTAGTTATGAGTATAGAAAGTATAGGCTATGAATTTTTTTATAATATACTTAGGATAATTTTCTACTGTGCAAAGATATTTTGAAATCCTTTATTATGGGTATGGTCATAAATCTCTATGTCAGTATTGATCTTGTGACGCTCAATGACATTGCTGCTCTAAAATATGATTATTTTCTTAATTTCACTGTTAGTCTACACCTGTTGTTTACGAAGCATGTGACGAATAAAATGTGATTTGATTTGAATAGAGTATCTTATGATAGGGGCCTTTGACAACTCTGACCACGTGTGTGTTTATTCTAATCAAATCAACCATAGTTTAAAACAGACATCATCTATAAATTCTGTATTTGTTGATGTCCAGCATGCATGTTGCAACCTCTGTTTTACCACAGAAGTAGGCCATAGGGATGGGTATATACTTCCATATAGAACATTCTGTAAATTGTTATATTGTCTAGACTCTATGGGTCTACACAAAGCAAAGAGACCATGTTACCGACATGGCATTGATATATCATTAAATTAATATGTGGTATGATCAAAGACTATGACATTAAAAATATATAAGATAAAGAGAATGCAAAAAAACAATTCTGTCATTGTAAGCATAATGCAGATTTGATATAATAGATACTGTACATCATCTTCTGACATTTTTTTGCACACACTAGACAGCATATGGCACATGACTAAACCCCTTTACTATGGACAAACAATTTGTTTACAATCCAATTAAATTCCCAAATTTCGTTTTGTATGATGTTTCAATGAATAGGCTACTACTGCATAATAACTATTCACAAAGCAAAGAGCTAGTGAAATTAAACTTCCTCGCTTTCGCCGGAACTATGGGAAGGATGTTGGGAAGGAAAGGTTGGGTTAAATGCGGAAATAAGACGCTCGCTGTGTAGGCTATAGTTGCAACCGGGGTGAGAGAAAATATGAGCACAAAACGCCTGCTATCTCGGGCGGCGCTTGAGTTCAGTCATGGATGATTCTGAAAATCACATCATTTTCTCCGGCGCGTGGAACTGCTGAAGAAGTGTGCATTCTACCAATAGCGCAACAAAAAGGACAATCGGCTTTGTTTTGTTTTCGTCCCATTCTCTTTGTCAATCTCTTGTTTTGAAAGAATGTGGTTGAATCCAGAGGAAGTTTTGCTGAAAAATGCACTGAAGCTTTGGGTTACCGAAAAATCTAACGATTTCTTCATTTTGCAGCGCAGAAGAGGGCATGGGGATTCAGGGGGGAAATTTACAGGTAATACGCCCCCTCCCATCTTCATCTCACTGTCTGTCGTCTGATTTCAGCAGCTTTGGCAGCCTATATGGATACACCAGTCTACGGGATACACTTACAACACAGTAACAACTAATTTATAAACGATGTTGCAACTTGCCATAACCGGGGCTACAATGTATCACTTTAAATAGGCTCAGGATTTTTACACAGCACTACTTGGGAAACAAGTGTTTTCTCCATATTTGGGGTCGTCAACACATGTGCCATGAAGCCTTGGCGCAGTAACGGGCAACTTTTTAATATATAGTATTTAGACTGTTTATTTTGTTTCAGGTCTTCTTTGATTTCTTTAATTTCGATACAATGTTTGTCTGATGATGAACCATGATAAGGTGCCACTTGGTCTTGTGTTTGTTTAGTCATCATACATAACTGAACACATCAAGGACAGGAGGATAGAGAGTAGACATCTCATAAAAGGAACAATATAAACACTTCCTGGCAATTGGTTATGGTTTACAGTATTTGCTTGTTTGTGGCCATGGTGAATGGTCAGATGGGGGTGAAAGGTCAGAAGAAGCCCTAGTTGTAATGGGGTTGGCGCTTCTTACAAAACCACACCATAGTATGTTTTGTTATATGAAGAGAAAAACAAGTACAATATCAAGTGGAAGAAGAAATCCATGATTCGATTAAGATAAAACATAAAAGCATCTGCAACCTCTATCACTCTGTGTCACTAGCTAAAATAACTTCTGCTTCCTATTTCACAAAGAGCACTTTGCTACAAGGAAATGGTTATTTATTTATATATATATAGGGTTTATTTTCTCGCAACGAGCACACTGTACATGTCCATTGTCCACAGCCATACAAACTCACTGAACCATATAAGCAGAACAAAATACATGATTTACAGTAGTTTAAGTTGGGACTTACAATGTAAGCACAGTGAAGTAAGCGGTTTGGTGACAAATACGTTTGTATTGCCAGGGTGTCATGGTTCAGAGCAGCAGATGGGCAGAGCTTATAGATGTGGTGTGGTTGGAATGGGCAGTGCTCCAGGAGAGGGTTATTTGTCAGGAGTTCTGTTTGTCTTCCATCCCTCTCCTCTTTTGTGGCGGGCGGTTGGGTGGGGGTGGGAATGCCAAACACTAGATAGTGATCTCATACCGACCAGACTGTAGCCTATTGAACGTAGTAAGCCTTGTCTTGCCTGCTGTGTGCTTATTACACATTTGACTGGCCAAATCATTAACAGACTGTTCTTGCTAACGTAATTTTTTATTGTAGTTGAGGGGCGCCGTGTTGCTGTTAGGACTGTTTTTACTAGCGCTCCTTAAATGCTCCATTCTGTTGAAAGGCCAGAATTAAAACTAGACAAGAGGGACTAGTGTTTGTAGAGAAGCATGACGGTGAATAGCAGTGGAGTTAAAGAGGGACTATGATGATGAGTGTAGGCTCTGTTACCTCAGGGTATTAGTGAGCATATCTGATGACTGGTGGGGATTACTGGATGTGTAAATTCTCCCTAAACACTAGTTCCAGGGTTCATTTAGCCTTCTCAACGCCTAGTAGATACAAATTAGTTAGGTCTGGACGGAAATTGAAAGCTTGGGGTAGAGTAGTGCAGCTTCTTTTGAACGTCAACTGGGGTGTCACTGTCAACCATATTGGATGGGATGTTAGGGTCTCTCTCTTAAGTTTGTAGTTTTTAGGCCATGGCTTTGGGGCTTCATATGTGAGGATTTGTGGGGAGGGGGTTTCCAATACAATACTATTAGCCATTGGTTCTAGTGGACCAATATAGTGACAAAGAGAAGAACAATACTTGTGTTGAGTCTCTCAATAGCTTGTAAGCCTATGTTATGCTCTCACATAATGTGGCCATTATGAGACCGTTAGCGACCGTAAGTGATACCAGTTTATGTCCTATATCAAGTCTGGCATCCAGTGCCAATCTTCTTCTGCTTGGCACCTCACTGTGGAATGTCTGGGTCTGTTATAGACATGGTAATGACTTTAGCCTTCTGGCATTATGTGGAATAGGTACCTTTGTGTCCCATCTGCTTAAAGGCACAATCTGTAAAACTTCCTGCTGTTCAACAGTCATTCCACTAATGATAACCATTGATTTTTGTAGAATATAACTTATTAATGCCTTATGAGCTTAGTACAACTGTCTTACCCTATGAAAATGTGATTTCAGTTTAAATGGGTTGGTATAATGTGGCCTCTCTCTCCCATACAGTGGGGGAAAAAAGTATTTAGTCAGCCACCAATTGTGCAAGTTCTCCCACTTAAAAAGATGAGAGAGGCCTGTAATTTTCATCATAGGTACACGTCAACTATGACAGACAAAATGAGGAAAGAAAATCCAGAAAATCACATTGTAGGATTTTTAATGAATTTATTGCAAATTATGGTGGAAAATAAGTATTTGGTCAATAACAAAAGTTTCTCAATATTTTGTTATATACCCTTTGTTGGCAATGACACAGGTCAAACGTTTTCTGTAAGTCTTCACAAGGTTTTCACACACTGTTGCTGGTATTTTGGCCCATTCCTCCATGCAGATCTCCTCTAGAGCAGTGATGTTTTGGGGCTGTCGCTGGGCAACACAGACTTTCAACTCCCTCCAAAGATTTTCTATGGGGTTGAGATCTGGAGACTGGCTAGGCCACTCCAGGACCTTGAAATGCTTCTTACGAAGCCACTCCTTCATTGCCCGGGCGGTGTGTTTGGGATCATTGTCATGCTGAAAGACCCAGCCACGTTTCATCTTCAATGCCCTTGCTGATGGAAGGAGGTTTTCACTCAAAATCTCACGAGACATGGCCCCATTCATTCTTTCCTTTACACGGATCAGTCGTCCTGGTCCCTTTACAGAAAAACAGCCCCAAAGCATGATGTTTCCACCCCCATGTTTCACAGTAGGTATGGTGTTCTTTGGATGCAACTCAGCATTCTTTGTCCTCCAAACACGACGAGTTGAGTTTTTACCAAAAAGTTCTATTTTGTTCATCTGACCATATGACATTCTCCCAATCCTCTTCTGGATCATCCAAATGCACTCTAGCAAACTTCAGACGGGCCTGGACATGTACTGGCTTAAGCAGGGGGACACGTCTGGCACTTCAGGATTTGAGTCCCTGGCGGCGTAGTGTGTTACTGATGGTAGGCTTTGTTACTTTGGTCCCAGCTCTCTGTAGGTCATTCACTAGGTCCCCCCGTGTGGTTCTGGGACTTTTGCTCACCGTTCTTGTGATCATTTTGACCCCACGGGGTGAGATCTTGCGTGGAGCCCCAGATCGAGGGAGATTATCAGTGGTCTTGTATGTCTTCCATTTCCTAATAATTGCTCCCACAGTTGATTTCTTCAAACCAAGCTGCTTACCTATTGCAGATTCAGTCTTCCCAGCCTGGTGCAGGTCTACAATTTTGTTTCTGGTGTCCTTTGACAGCTCTTTGGTCTTGGCCAAAGTGGAGTTTGGAGTGTGACTGTTTGAGGTTGTGGACAGGTGTCTTTTATACTGATAACAAGTTCAAACAGGTGCCATTAATAAAGGTAACGAGTGGAGGACAGAGGAGCCTCTTAAAGAAGAAGTTACAGGTCTGTGAGAGCCAGAAATCTTGCTTGTTTGTAGGTGACCAAATACTTATTTTCCACCATAATTTGCAAATAAATTCATTAAAAATCCTACAATGTGATTTTCTGGAAAAAATATTCTCAATTTGTCTGTCATAGTTGACGTGTACCTATGATGAAAATTACAGGCCTCTCTCATCTTTTTAAGTGGGAGAACTTGCACAATTAGTGGCTGACTAAATACTTTTTTCCCCCACTGTATGTCAAAGAGCTCATTGACATGTATGTGTTGTCAGATGGTATTTCTCAGTAATTTCCGGTCTCTTTCTGCTCTGGTCTGTCCAGGTCTTCTAGTGGGAGCTCTGGACTCAGTGCTGGACTCCAACGCCCGGGTCACACCGTTCCGTATCCTGCTACAGGTGCCTGGGTCACAGGTCAGCTGGACCATAGCTTGTGGTAAGCTCTCTGACATTTCTCTCCTTTACTTTCTATCTCTCTGATTCTCATATTTGTCTGTCTCTCTCTCTAGCTCTCTCTCTCTTTGTATCTATCTCTCTGACAGGTGTTGTATGTGTGTGTGTCTATGTGTTGTTATACAGGTGCTGCTGTCGGAGAGATGAACAGACATTGGGACTGGCTGGTCCAGAACCTACTCCACTCTCTCTCAGTGTTTGAGAACAAGGAGGATGTCGCTAGCTTCGTCAAAGGGAAAGTCAAGGTACTGTACTATTAGAATAAAACCTAATATAGACCTGTGATACACTGTAAATACTTTGTAGGCCAACTGTCAAAAACCACTGTATTCAACCTAATCTGACTCTCAACTGTTGCTCTCTCTCCTCCTGACTTTCTTTTCTATTTCTGTGTTTCTTGCTCTCTTTTTATTTTCTCTTCCTCTTTTCTCTTTCTCTCATTACCCATTTATTTATCCTCCTCCCCCAGGGTCTGATAGCGGAGGAGGTAAGGGGGAAACAGGCGGCTCAGGAGGAGGAGCCTGAGAAGTTCCGGGAGGCGCTGCTGAAGTTTGAGCTATGTTTCGGCCTGCCCTCCTCAGAGAAGCTGGTCACCACCTACTCTTGCTGCTGCTGGAAGGGGCGGGTCCCCCGGCAGGGCTGGCTCTACCTCAGCATCAACCACATGGCCTTCTACTCCTTCCTGTTGGGAAAGGAAGGTCAGTCCCCTTAAATGCTCCCCCTTTCATTAGCACACAGAATAGCCCCAAGTCTGACTGATTGTGAACTGGTTGTGAACTTTGAACTGTTGTCCGCTTCTCTCTCCCTCAGTGAAGTTTGTGATCCCGTGGGCGGAGGTGACGAGGCTGGAGCGGGTCTCCACGGGCCTCATGACAGACATGGTGCGTGTGACAACGCGACGGTGCCAGCGAGACTTCTCCATGTTCCTGAGCCTGGATGAGGCGTTCGGGGTCATTGGTCAGCTGGCTGACATTGCCCTGCGACGCCTGCTGGACAGCGAAGGCCTGGAGCTGGACCGAGTCCTCCAGCAGTCCTCCAACATCACCAAGAGGTCAGAGGGCAATGCAGAAAAAGTTAAATAAAGTTGTATCGTATTGTAGTGTAAAGGAGGGCAGGGTATTTTGTGTGGTTGTATCATTCGCTTTGTTCAGATTCAAATAATCTGAGAGGATTGTATTGGATCAGTTGCTTGCCTGATTAATCAGTTTGATAAACAGTAATTTAATAAGGTTATCTCATTCTTATCTGTTTTGGTCAAAAGAGACCTCATCAAGCGCTTCCTGAAAACCCCTGATATCTTAACTAATTTACTTCCCTCTAGTTTCTGACCATCCTCTATAACCATAGCATCATAGTGCAACTGATCTTCCTTTGAGCCGAGAGGGACGTTCAGTCATGTTCTTCAGACAGACATTATATGACGCTGATGAGCTCAGAAAGACTTGTAAATAGCTAGACTTTGCCCCTAGGTGTTTCAGCCATAACAGGAATACAGCATATCGTGTTACAGTCTATGGGGAAAATAAACATATTTTTTTACAATGTTCCTTCCTTCTACTGCCTGTGTTTTGGGTTCCGGCTGGTCTCAGAACAGTTGTGTAGTGATTGATGGGCCGTGTTCCACTACACAGCACTGTTTACCATACGCTATAAATCAATGTTTGTCTCAGTGTGACTGGAAGGCCCTTCAGCTCTATCCTGTGGGAAATTATACCTTCGCTTGGAGAGGTAGCTCATAAATACACCCCTTTTCTTCTGTCAGTCTTAGTTCTGTGTGTGCGTGTGTATGTGTACGTAGTGCATTCACCATAACATTAACCACCATAACTACCCCGTACCCCTGCACATTGACTCGGTACTGGTAACCCTTGTATATAGCCTCGTTATTGTTAATTTATTGCGTTACTATTTTTCCTTTAGTTTAATTAGCAAATAATAATTATTATAATATTTATTTTTCGCCCCAAGTTTGTGATATCCAATTGCGATCTTGTCTCATCGCTGCAACTCCCCAACGGGCTCAGGAGAGGCGAAGGTCGAGTCATGTGTCCTCCGAAACATGACCTGCCAAACCGCGCTCCTTAACACCCACACGCTTAACGCGGAAGCCAGCTGCACCAATGTGTCGGAGGAAACACTGTTCAACTGACGACCGAAGTCAGCCTGCAGGCGCCCGGCCCGCAACAAGAAGTCGCTAGGGCACGATGAACCAAGTAAAGCCCCCCCGGGCAAACCCTCCCCTAACCCAGACGATGCTGGGCCAATTGTGCGCCGCCCTATGGGACTTCCGGTCACAGCCGGATGTGACACAGCCTGGGATCGAACCCGGGTCTGTAGTGACGCCTCAAGCACTGCGATGCAGTGCCTTAGACCTCTGTGCCACTCGGGAGGCCCCAATTTCTTTCTTAATTACTTAAAAAATCAAAATCTGAATTATTGGTTAAGGGCTAGTAAGTAAGCATTTCATGGTAATGTCTGCACCTCTTGTATTTGGCGCATGTGACAAATAAGATTTGATTTGAAAACAGCGAGTTTCTATCGACGTTTTTTAAATGTTTAAACTTTTGATGATGTCATTGAGTAGAACTAAATGTAGAAATACGCCATTTTCACATATGTAGATAATGAAAATTAGGTTGACAAGTGGTGGAATTGCCTTTTAGTGTTTCTTATCCTGTCTCTCAGTCAGAAATGTCTGGGTCACCAAAGGCAACAAGGCCATGAGGATTCACCCTCAATCTCTCTTTTACTCTCTCCCTCTCTCTATCCTGGAAGGGAATTCCTAGCTGTCACTCATTTACAACAGAACGTTTCACTGTTTGGGTCATACTCTACCTCTTCCCCCCTGCCAGCTAAGTATCTCTTTCTGAGTGTCCCTCCAACTCTTCCCCCTCAGGGTTCTGGAGGAGCAGGCGTTGAGGGCGTATGTCCTGGCTCTATTTCGGCTACCGCGGGGCGAACGTCTTCAGGAGGTGGCGCTGTGTTCAGTGTGGACGCCCCATGCCCGCTGTCACACGGCAGGAACGCTCTACACCACCGACAGCTACCTATGCTTCGCCAGCCGAGAGGAGGGCCAATGCAGCCTGCTTATCTCTCTCTCAGAGGTACCCCTAGTACCATACTGCAGTGCCTCCCTATTTGATTTATAGAAAGGTCTCACACAAAAAGCCCTCACAAGTTCCCCTAGCCTAGCTCTTACAGTTAATCCAGCCTTCCCAAAGGAGAGCCTTTATCAGTGTACAGTCGTGGTCAAAAGTATTGGTCTTCACAAAGTTTGCTGCTTCAGTGTTTTTAGATATTTTTGTCAGATGTTACTATGGTATACTGAAGTATAATTACAAGCATTCCATAAGTGTCAAAGGCTTTTATTGACAATTACATTAAGTTTATGCAAAGAGTCAATATTTGCAGTGTTGACCCTTCTTTTTCAAGACCTCTGCAATCCGCCCTGGCATGCTGTCAATTAACTTCTGGGCCACACCCTGACTGATGGCAGCCCATTCTTGCATAATCAATGCTTGGAGTTTGTCAGAATTTGTGGGTTTTTGTTTGTCCACCCACCTCTTGAGGATTGACCACAAGTTCTCAATGGCATTAAGGTCTGGGGAGTTTCCTGGCCATGGACCCAAAATGTCGATGTTTTGTTCCCCGAGCTACTTAGTTATCACTTTTGCCTTATGGCAAGGTGCTCCATCATGCTGGAAAAGGCATTGTTCGTCACCAAACTGTTCTTGGATGGTTGGAAGAAGTTGCTCTCGGAGGATGTGTTAGTACCATTCTTTATTAATGGCTGTGTTCTTAGGCAAAATTGTGAGTGAGCCCACTCCCTTGGCTGAGAAGCAACCCCACACGTGAATGGTCTCAGGATGCTTTACTGTTGGCATGACACAGGACTGATGGTAGCGCTCACCTTGTCTTCTCCGGACAAGGTGTTTTCCGGATGCCCCAAACAATCGGAAAGGGGATTCATCAGAGAAAATTACTGTACCCCAGTCCTCAGCAGTCCAATCCCTTTACCTTTTGCAGAATATCAGTCTGTCCCTGATGTTTTTCCTGGAGAGAAGTGGCTTCCTCTCTGCCCTTCTTGACACCAGGCCATCCTCCAAAAGTCTTTGCCTCACTGTGCATGCAGATGCACTCACACCTGCCTGCTGCCATTCCTGAGCAAGCTCTGCACTGGTGGTGCCCCGATCCCGCAGCTGAATCAACTTTAGGAGACGGTCCTGACACTTGCTGGACTTTCTTGGGCGCCCTGAAGCCTTCTTCACAACAATTGAACCTCTCTCCTTGAAGTTCTTGATGATCCGGAAATTGTTGATTTAGGTGCAATCTTACTAGCAGCCAATATCCTTGCCTGTGAAGCCCTTTTTGTGCAAAGCAATGATGACGGCACGTGTTTCCTTGCAGGTAACCATGCTTAACAGAGGAAGAACAATGATTTCAAGCACCACCCTCCTTTTAAAACTTCCAGTCTGTTATTCTAACTCAATGAGCATGACAGAGTGATCTCCATCCTTGTCCTCGTCTACACTCTCACCTGTGTTAACGAGAGAATCACTGACATGATGTCAGCTGGTCCTTTTGTGGCAGGGCTGAAATGCAGTGGAAATGTTTTTTTGGGAATAAGTTCATTTTCATGGCAAATAGGGACTTTGCAATTAATTGCAATTCTTCTGATCACTCTTCATAACATTCTGGAGTATGTGCAAATTGCCATCATAAAAATTGAGGCAGCAGACTTTGTGAAAATTAATATTTGTGTCATTCTCAAAACTTTTGACCACGACTGTAGTGCAGTGTATTTTGTGCTAGAGGTGGTGTATTTTGGCTTCTCAAACAGACTATGTTGACGCTGCTTCTCTACTGGTTAAAGTGTAACGCTGGTGGAATGTAGCGACTGCTGTTTACACTGTACACGTGTTGTTGGAAGTGTTAGAGTTTACAACTTTAGCTTTACCATGGTTATCTACATTATATACCAGTCAGTCATATATCAAGCTATATATAGATGTATGTATGGCTCTGCTATACATAAAAGCTATTCATAGTTTATTACTGTGTTATTACTGTTTTACAAGTAAATAGCGCTACAGTAATTTCTTTGGCTGTTCACCTCTGACCCCTGTCTCCTCCTGTTTTATTGTCAGGTGATCTCCATAGAGAAGGCGGAGAGCACCAGCCTGCTGCCCAACCCAGTGATCGTCAGCGTGAGGAGTAAGAAGGCCTTCCAGCTGATGGAGCTGCAGGACAGAGACAGCCTGGTGGACAGCCTGACATCACGCCTCAGATCCCTGCAGTGGAAACACTCCATGTTCCGCAGCAAGAAATCTCTGGTATGCTACAGCTACACTACCAACCGCTAAATGTCTGTTGTCAATTACACACATCATATCTCATGGTGATGCCCAACAGGCCTAGTCCACGAAGTAGAATTACTTCATTGTGTATATTTGACTAATTCTGGTGTTTGGCTGCTCCAGACCTCTTCGTCTCCCTACTACACCTTCTACTATGACACCATGTACTGTGACGGGGAGGAGATCGAGGAGAGACCACTACGTCAAACAGTGAACACAGAGGCTCTGATGGCATGCTACCATCACTCTCAACCTGACCCCAACAACAGCACGGCTGTGAGTATGGAAACTAGCGCACCATTGGCTGTAGCCCTAATATGAATAGGGCCTCTATTATTATGGTGTTTAGATAGCAGATACAGTGGGGAAAAAAAGTATTTAGTCAGCCACCAATTGTGCAAGTTCTCCCACAAAAAGATGAGAGAGGCCTGTAATTTTCATCATAGGTACACGTCAACTATGACAGACAAATTGAGGAAAAAAAATCCAGAAAACCACATTGTAGGATTTTTAATGAATTTATTTGCAAATTATGGTGGAAAATAAGTATTTGGTCACCTACAAACAAGCAAGATTTCTGGCTCTCACAGACCTGTAACTTCTTCTTTAAGAGGCTCCTCTGTCCTCCACTCGTTACCTGTATTAATGGCACCTGTTTGAACTTGTTATCAGTATAAAAGACACCTGTCCACAACCTCAAACAGTCACACTCCAAACTCCACTATGGCCAAGACCAAAGAGCTGTCAAAGGACACCAGAAACAAAATTGTAGACCTGCACCAGGCTGGGAAGACTGAATCTGCAATAGGTAAGCAGCTTGGTTTGAAGAAATCAACTGTGGGAGCAATTATTAGGAAATGGAAGACATACAAGACCACTGATAATCTCCCTCGATCTGGGGCTCCACGCAAGATCTCACCCCGTGGGGTCAAAATGATCACAAGAACGGTGAGCAAAAATCCCAGAACCACACGGGGGACCTAGTGAATGACCTGCAGAGAGCTGGGACCAAAGTAACAAAGCCTACCATCAGTAACACACTACGCCGCCAGGGACTCAAATCCTGCAGTGCCAGACGTGTCCCCCTGCTTAAGACAGTACATGTCCAGGCCCGTCTGAAGTTTGCTAGAGTGCATTTGGATGATCCAGAAGAGGATTGGGAGAATGTCATATGGTCAGATCAAACCAAAATATAACTTTTTGGTAAAAACTCAACTCGTCGTGTTTGGAGGACAAAGAATGCTGAGTTGCATCCAAAGAACACCATACCTACTGTGAAGCATGGGGGTGGAAACATCATGCTTTGGGGCTGTTTTTCTGCAAACGGACCAGGACGACTGATGCGTGTAAAGGAAAGAATGAATGGGGCCATGTATTGTGAGATTTTGAGTGAAAACCTCCTTCCATCAGCAAGGGCATTGAAGATGAAACGTGGCTGGGTCTTTCAGCATGACAATGATCCCAAACACACCGCCCGGGCAACGAAGGAGTGGCTTCGTAAGAAGCATTTCAAGGTCCTGGAGTGGCCTAGCCAGTCTCCAGATCTCAACCCCATAGAAAATCTTTGGAGGGAGTTGAAAGTCTGTGTTGCCCAGCGACAGCCCCAAAACATCACTGCTCTAGAGGAGATCTGCATGGAGGAATGGGCCAAAATACCAGCAACAGTGTGTGAAAACCTTGTGAAGACTTACAGAAAACGTTTGACCTGTGTCATTGCCAACAAAGGGTATATAACAAAATATTGAGAAACTTTTGTTATTGACCAAATACTTATTTTCCACCATAATTTGCAATAAATTCATTAAAAATCCTACAATGTGATTTTCTGGATTTTCTTTCCTCATTTTGTCTGTCATAGTTGACGTGTACCTATGATGAAAATTACAGGCCTCTCTCATCTTTTTAAGTGGGAGAACTTGCACAATTGGTGGCTGACTAAATACTTTTTTCCCCCACTGTACCATAATAATGGTGGCTGCAGCAATATGAGGACTACATTAGCCAATGTGTTTTCAGTCTAGGCTTGATGTTTAGCATTGCGAATTAGGACTGTTTTAGGGTTTAGCTTGGTTGCCAGTTTCTAGTTGAAGCAGGGTGATTCTTGAGCATTCTCTCCAGTGGATCTATATTAAATACAATTATTAGCTAATCACACCATTTTAGTATGTCATAAATTTGAGGATTCCATAGAAAATTTGGTGTATCTAAATCTAATTTAGTGTCTAAGCATTTCACTGCACCTGCTATAACATCTGCTAAACCGTGTACATGACCAATAAACTTTGATTTATTTGATCCAAAGTGTATTGGTGTTAGTCAATTTAAATGAAGGTAAATAACATTGTGAGCAAAATGATTAATCATATCAGTTTAGTAAATTATTTTTAAAGGTTTGAGGATCTTAGATTTGAGCATTTATGGCCTCCATTTCAGAAAATACTAATTTACCTAAATTGTCTCATTGGTGTTACCATAATTCATGTTACTACTCCTACTGGTCGCACAATGTTATCATAATATAACAAAAATATTTAAAGTTATTAAGCTACCATATTCGTTGATTTAGGGTGGGAGGATGTACCCGCATACATAAAAAACAAATGCCACTGTAATTCAGGAATGACACAGCAACTCCTTTGTTGTTGTCATACCAAAAATGTAGTAGACTGAATCAGAAACAGACTGGAAACCAGGGTATGCTAAATGTGATATAGTGGCAGGTCTGGGATGAGGTTGTGACTCTGTACATCTCTTCTATTATTTACACATATTGATCTCTGTTCTCCCCCTGGCTGGCACCCTGGGTAACTTGACCTCCTAATACAGGCCACGGCTATTGTGGTTAATAGTGCTGAGAATGTGCTTACAGTACTATACTCGGTTTGCTGAAGGTTGTGTGTGTGTGTCCTGTAGACCATGGAGCAGGTGAAAGAGCGTCTGTGGGATGACCACTTCTCGGAGTACGGTCGAGGCGTCCACATGTTCCGCACAGAGAAGATCCAGAAGCTGGTTGCCATGGGGATACCAGAGTCGCTACGGGGAGAGCTATGGATGACCTTCTCTGGTGAGGGGCGGTGGAGTCTGAGGTCATTGGTTACTATAACAACAGGCCAAATACACTACATGACCAAAATCATGGGCATTAATATGGAGTTGGTCCACCCCTTTGCTGCTATAACAGCCTCCACTCTTCTGGGAAGGCTTTCCACTAGATGTTGGAACATTGCTGCGAGGACTTGCTTCCATTCAGCCACGAGCATTAGTGAGGTCGGGCACTGATGTTGGGCGATTATGCCTGGCTCGCAGTCGACGTTCCAATTCATCCCAAAGGTGTTCGATGGCGTAGAGGTCAGGGCTCTGTGCAGGCCAGTCAAGTTTTTCCACACCGATCTCGACAAACCATTTCTGTATGGACCTCGCATTGTCATGCTGAAACAGGAAAGGGCCTTCCCAAACTGTTGCCAAAAAGTTGGAAGCACAGAATTGTCTAGAATGTCATTGTATGCTGTAGCGTTAAGATTTCCCTTCACTGGAACTAAGGGGCCTAGCCCAAACCATTGAAAAACAGCCCCAGACCATTATTCCTCCTCCACCAAACTTTACAGTTGGCACTATGCATTCGGGCAGGTAGCGTTCTCCTGGAATCCGCCAAACCCAGATTCGTCCATCGGACCGCCAGATGGTGAAGCGTGATTCATCACTCCGGAGAACGCGTTTCCACTGCTCCAGAGTTCAATGGCTGCGAACTTTACACCACTCCAGCCGACGCTTGGCATTGTGCATGATGTTCTTAGGCTTGTGTGCGGCTGCTCGGCCATGGAAACCCATTTCATGAAGCTCCCGACGAACAGTTCTTGTGCTGACGTTGCTTCCAGAGGTAGTTTGGAACTCGGTAGTGAGTGTTGCAACCGAGGACAGATGATTTTTACACGCTACGTACTTCAGCACTTGGCTGTCTCGTTCTGTGAGCTTGTGTGGCCTACCACTTCGGGGCTGAGTTGTTGTTGCTCCTAGACGTTTCCACTTCACAATAACACTTACAGTTGACTGGGGCAGCTCTGACCTGCTGACTTGTTGGAAAGGTGGCATCCTATGACGGTGCCACGTTGAAAGTCACTGAGCTCTTCAGTAAGGCCATTCTACTGTCAATGGTTGTCTATGGAGATTGCATGGCTGTGTGCTCGATTTTATACACCTGTCAGCAACGGGTGTGGCTGAAATAGCCGAATCCACTCATTTGAAGGGTTGTCCAAATACTTTTGTATATATAGTGGATATTTAATGGTGGGGTTATGGTTAGGGTAGATATTTATATATCCCCAAAGGAGGGAGAGAGAGTGCTGTTTTGTGCTCTGCTCGACTGCCTACTTTTAGTTTCCTTCCTGTGTACTGTACCATGCCTAGCAATTCTAGTATGTGCCATTTTATATTTTAGAGTTTGTGGAGTGGCTTTTACCTTTTTTAGAATCAGAAGTCTCGATGCAACATTGTAGAGTCGATTCTCGGGGACCCTACTTTGCCATAACTGTTAGCATCAGAGTTAATGTAATATGGAATCCAGAACAGCAGGATTTAGTGGGCATACAAATAACTCCAATGAAAACAAGCAATTAGGCCTGTGAGCACCCTGCACCAGAAACAGACAGGCAACCGATTGTGGCTTCACCACTCACTGGGATAGAACTGTTTTCTTTGGCCCCATATCAAACTGTCCTAGGTCCATGTTTACTCCCTCTCAATTGTCTGAAAGCATCCTTTCACATCCTAGAGGGGGAGTCAACAAAGGGAAAGAGCTAGTAAAAAATAAAAAAGCCTTGTCCCAAATTAATCTCAGTTAACCCAGAACTAAAGTCTTGCATAATTGGTCAGATGCTTGTAGTCTGTCCATGAGAGATTAGTCCCAAAGTAACCCCTACCTTTTTGGTGTTTGCAGATCTGAAGGAACCGGATAGGTGATTTATCCATTCCTTTTAGATCGAAAGGAAAGGGATAGGGGATGTTGTCTGACCAGGCCTTCATGTAAGTGGTTATATGCTGTTGCTGTGTAACACTGACACCATTCCCCTTGGAAACGCAGATGCCTCGTCAGAGTTGTCATCCCACCCAGACTACTACTCGGGGCTAGTGACGGAGTCTATGGGGCAAAGCAGTCTGGCCACGGAGGAGATCGAGAGAGACCTGCACCGCTCGCTGCCCGACCACCCTGCCTTCCAGAACGTCACGGGCATCGCGGCGCTGCGCCGCGTCCTCACCGCATATGCCCACCGCAACCCCAAGATTGGCTACTGCCAGGTAAGGCACCCACCACCATACAGTATGTCACAATGTGTGCACACGTGTACATTCTACTGTATAGTGTGTCCAGTGTCCATAACCATAACCATACAGTTACAGACAGTATAACTGACTGCCTGTCTGTCTTTCTAGTCAATGAATATCCTGGCATCTGTGCTGCTGCTGTACACTAAAGAGGAGGAGGCCTTCTCACTGCTAGTGGCTGTGTGTGAGAGGATGCTACCTGACTACTTCAACCGCAGAGTCATAGGTGAGAGGTCAAACTGACCTGTATAGGTTTACCGCTGCTACTGCTATTGTTACTACAGTACTTTTACTACAGCGATGGTTTGTTTACTTCAGCTAGTACTGTACATTAGAGAAGTACTATCAAAGACACAGCAGAGAGACTCTATCAGTACACATACATTTTCCTGTAGTGCTGTTCTGGTGTTTAGGTGATTTGAATGTGGTTTCGTTGTGGCATGTTTATTCTGTCAGGCCAATGGAGCCAACAATAACCAAAGGCTTTCTTTAGCCACCATGAAGCGTGTGCTGAAACACAAGCTAATTTCCTCTGCTTTGTTTTGCTATTTATTTATGCCGCATATGAAATGCCTTCAAAGTAATTTCCTCTTCCTTTACCTGTTCTGTCTGAATGAGTGTCTGGCCTGTTCTGCTTTGAAATGACAGTTGTTTACTTATTCGCCTTAGAAAATAGATTGTTAATCTCCAGGCAACTTCCTGGTTCAAATAGTCTTTAAAATAGAATTTATCTGGGATAATTCACAATGAGTATACATCATGAGTATGCACTCACAGTATATCCATACGACCAAAATCCATTTCCCTTTGTGGGATAAAAAATATATAGAATTTTATACTTCTATATGTGTGTTTATCTATAATATAGATTTTCACGTGTGTTTGCAGGTGCTCAGGTGGACCAGTCAGTGTTTGAGGAGCTGATCCGGGATCGTCTTCCCGAGCTGGCCGAGCACATTCCCGACCTCTCCCCCCTCTCTTCCATCTCCCTGTCCTGGTTTCTCACCCTGTTCCTCAGCGTGCTTCCCTTCCGCAGCGCTGTCTGTGTGGTAGACTGCTTCTTCTTTCACGGCATCAAAGCAATCTTCCAGCTGGGGCTAGCTGTGCTGGATGCTAACGCTACGGCGCTGTGTGCTAGTGCAGATGACGGCCAGGCCCTCATGATCCTCACTGGGTAATGCTAGACAAGATTGGCCAACCCTAATGTGTGGGATGTTTATAGTTAATCAGGCCTTTTATTTTCACTCTTGGCTCTGTCTGCAGTTTTCTGGACCAGGTGAAGTACGATGAAGATCCGTCTCCCCCTGCCACTCACCCTCTCTCGTCTCAGAGTGGGGAGGAGGAGGGCAGCCTGCCTGTAGAACAACATACCCTGATCACTGACCTCATTGCTGACTCCTATGAGGTAAGACAGCACTGCAATACTCCCTCCACACCACCAGAGGGTTGTGGTGACAGTGTGGAGCTGATGTTTGTTCTCGTTGTGTGTTCTGTCTTGTCAGAAATTTGGAGACCTGACGGTGAGACAAATAGAGAAGTTGCGATGCAGACACCGGATCCAGGTTCTCCAAGCACACGAGGACACCACCAAGGAGAATGCGGTGGTTCTCTCATTTCACATAAACGGTCACACGCATGCATGAAATACACCATGACCAAAGGTTGAAACCTTACACTTTTCCTCTCCAAAATGCTCTGACCCTTCCCCTCTCTCTCTGTGTATTTAGCTCAGGGTGGTGACCCCAGATGTCTCTCTCTCCCCTGAAAACCTGGCTGATGTCTACGACCTCTTCAGGGTACTTCAGCTCAATTCAACACACCTTCATTTATCTCCCCAGGACCGCTAAGAAAGCCATTGCCAGAATACAATAATAACATCCTCCACTTATAGTCCAACTGTACAACAATACTTCTGTTTCTGTTTGTCTTATAGACAGAGCACTTCATCAACCTGTACTGGGGCGATGGGGGCACCACAGTGGCCCTCCAGCACCATGACCCAGGCCGGCCCTATGTGGAGCAGTACAGAGTGGACCGGGCCCAGTTTAAGAGCCTGTACATGCTGCTGGTTCCCTGGCTTTGTGGCCTCCATACTGACACTGTGGCCCACCGGACCTTCACACTACTGGACCAGGACAGAGACTCACTCATCACCTTCAGAGAGTTCGCTGGGTGGCTGGGTATGTGAACGAGTGTTTGTGTGTGAGAGAGAAAGTAAGAGAGGGAGGGGGTGTGTATTTAAAAGAGGGAGAGTGAGTGAGTGTGCGTATGCCTGAAGAGAGACTTTGTGGGAAATATGAGTTTGTGTGCGTGACTGTGTGCCTGCAAGTGTATACAAATACCAAGAAAACATACACCATGCTATCTCACATCCAAGTCCCCTTGTAAGGCATATCATTCATGAACATTGGAAACCTGCCCACTATGCTTTTATGGGCATTTGGAATTCAGCCCACAAAGCTTTTATGGGAATCAATATCCAGCCAAGGCTTTTAGGAGATGTTGTGTACAGTACAGTGGAGGACTGAAGTAGAGGAAGATTAAGATTATGTAAATTCACCTCTTAAATTCACACACATCTGAAGGGCTCCCTCTGTGGTCCTCTATCATTCAGTATAAACACTAACCTATAATTTACTGACAGTATAAGCACTAACCTTTCATTATTGACACACATTGTGATTTAAGGCCAATGACAATTCTGTGTGTGTGTGTGTGTCTCTCTGTTTCAGATACGCTATACTGTGTGGAACTGAATGAGAAGGTCAGACTACTGTATCGTTTGCACATACCTCCAGGTGGGTCACATAGCTTTCCTATGGTGTTTTTGCTTCTTTCATGTACTTTAGTTGGACATGCAATTATCTTTAAATAACATGTGCACTTTGTGACAACTGCTGATGTAAAAAGGACTTTATAAAATAGATTTGATTGATGAATTAACTAGAGATTAACATTCTTCATAATACGACTGTTTCCTGTAGCTCTGACTGAGAGTGAGGATGACCCGTCTCCACTGAAGAGCCCTCTGCTGTCAACTACCAGACCACTCCATGTAGAGCTGCCCAATGGTAAGTATTCACACACTGTTCCAGGTTCACATTTACAGCACAGGTCTGTTTAGATTATCACATTGATGTAGCTCCTGATGTGTGTGTTCGTGTTGAAGGGGAGATAAGAGACTTTCAGGAGCAGTTGAAGCAGATGCTGAAAGACCTGGCTAAAGAGAAGGAGAAGGATGTGGAGCAACCTTTACCTCCAATGAACCAGGTACATACAATTAAAAAAGGAATTCAATTAGGAATCTATTAAACAAAGAGTAATTGAAAGGTACTAAGTAGGCCTCCCGAGTGGCGCAGCGGTCTAAGGCACTGCTTGAGGCGTCACTACAGACCCGGGTTCGATCCCAGGCTGTGTCACAACCGGCCATGACTGGGAGTCCCATAGGGCAGCACACAATTGGCCCAGCGTCGTCCGGGTTAGGGGAGGGTTTGGCCAGGGGGGCTTTACTTGGCTTATCGCGCTCTAGCGACTCCTTGTGGCAGGCCGGGCGCCTGCAGGCGGACTTCGGTAGTCCTTTGAATGGTGTTTCCTCCGACACATTGGTGCAGGCGGGTGTTAAGAAGCGCGGTTAGGCGGGTCATGCTTCAGAGGACGCATGACTCTAACTTCGCCTCTCCCGAGCCTGTTGGGGTGTTGCAGTAATGAGTCAAGATTGTAATTGGATCGCAATTGGATATCCCGAAATTGGGGAGAAAAAAGGGGCAATACAATTTTTTATAAAAATAAAGGTATAAACTTGTATTATTGTTTTCTACAGAGGGAGTTCATCCAGTTCTGTAAGACCCTCTACAGCATGTTCCATGGCAACCCAGACGAGAACGAGCTCTTCCAGGCCATCGCTACAGTGACCAGCCTGGTGCTGCAGATCGGCGAGGTCGACCACCGCAGCCGCTGCTCGGGGTCAGAGGTCAGCAGCGAGGGTGGGGCCGGAGACGAAGTAGAGGACGATCACAAGGAGGGGAGTCAAGAAGACCACCCTGTCTTCAGCACCAAAGAAGAAGAAGGAGGAGGAGAGAGGAAGGAGGGGACCAGCAAGAGTTCAGGGTCTGAGAGTCAGAGCGAGTGGACGGTCAGCTACGCTCAGATCCTGGCCTCTCTCCTCACAGAACAGCAGCTGGTCAACTTCTTTGAGAAACCGATGGACCTGTCAGCAAAGGTAGCTGAGGCAAAAGTGAAACAGTACCATGAAAGGGCTGGTCTGCTTATGCTCCAGCAAGGGACCAGCTGATTTCAACATGACCAACAGAACATAGAACCTCGATGTGAGAACCACAGTGTAACCCAATACTGGGCTTCCAATCTAGTTTCTTGTCTAGCTGTCCAGGCACCTTTGTCCCCAATAAGTTGCCGGTGTCCGTGTCCTCCGTCTTACAAGGATGAGTGGGTACCAAGAGTCCGTATGTGCCTATATTGAGTCGTAGGTATGGAAAATGTATGCACTCACTAACTGTAAGTCGCTCTGGATAAAAGCGTCTGCTAAATGACTAAAATGTAAATGTAGGTCTGTCGAGCACAAGGGAGAAGTAATGTAGATGTGTAGGTCTTCCTCTCCTGATGTAGCCGTGGAGAAATGTGGCCTTGTCTTTTGGGATCAACAACTGTTTAAAAGCAGGTTTACCAAAACCAGAGGCGGCCGAGACATGTATGATAATCAAGAAACTACATGATGTATCAGTCATAATCATATATACTACTGTGAGAATGTCCCATGCACTACATGACACACAGCACCATGAAAATGAATATTTTATTTTTTGTTGCTCAGTATTTATAGACAAGTTTTCATTCTGCTTCATCCGGTCTATGAAATGGGAACAAACTAATATGCCCAGTTTTAGTGAAATTTTATTTGACTTTACATTGGCTGCCTGGTTGGTGATACTTGTTTTGTTTGCCATATTGTCCAATCAGGTAGAGCAGACAAGTGTTCTTTTCTGACCAAATATTTTTTGCCTGTATGCCTGCAGTGTATCATTTTGGAAAGCTTTTTATATATAGCCCAAGGAGTCAAGGACATTTAACTGCCAAATGTTTGTCATACAATAATGGACATTGGAATCTTGCCTTTGTATGCGACACATTGAAAATATGCACCTAGATCTTTTGTCAAATCACATTCGTCACTGTTTACAGCAGGTATAAAAGGTGCAGCGAAATGCTTGTGCTAGCTCCCTCAACAATGCAGTACATTAATCAATAATGTTTGTTGTATTGATTGAATGCATTTTGTTATTTTAAGAACTTATTTTAGGTGTTCTAAAACTGGTTGAGCCTTATTATTCTACCAAGCATATTTCTTCATTCAAGCCTTAAGTGTAAGTGACCAGTATTATATTATAGACTAAAGTCCTACACACCTTCTCAAAATACTAGACAAACGAAACTGCTGTGCCTCAGATTTAGTTGAATAAGTCTTCTATACAGAACTTGATTTTGCAATTTAAAATCAGTGGTTGCTGTAAATTGAGGTTTGGGTTATTCCAGAACCAGACTGACGCCTTCCAATTGACTACAGATGCACCTTTGATTTTGAAATGTTATTTGTAGTGCACACTCACAAGTTCACTTGACGTGCATTATCACAAAATCGGGCCATTTATCACTTTAACTTATCAATTTAATATCTGCTGCAGAATATCAGACATGGATTGTTTGTAAATCATTAAAACCATTTTTGCATCCTTATCTTATTCAGTGTATTACAAAGACTGATTCACCAAGGAGATTGAAGACCCTCGAAAGCACATTGTGTAATGCAATGCGGCTGAAGTAAACATATGCTTTTATATCCAAACACTAATCAGACACTTGCTCTAGAAAGAAAATTAAATATAATTTAATGCAATTGCTCCATCAATAATCCCAGTTAGTGATTGCATAAACTCCTGATGAAGAAAAAATCCAAGACTGCAGTTTATTTTATTCATTTATTTCAACACCAGTGAATAATTAGTTCTCATCCACATTGACTGTCTGCAGACCTGTAGAGAGAAAATAAAACTATCAGAATCAGTGAAGTCTTCAACAGGCAAATGGGGAACAGCAGAGAACTAGCTCTGAGCTTTGGTTGGAGCATTTACAGGTCCTCTACTTTGTATACCCATTTGTATGCAGCTGATCTGAAAATAATTCTGCCACAATTTGTTAATTACGGTCACCTACCAGGGTATTTTGTACCCAGTGGGTGACCTACAAATATTGCTAATTTCAAATACACCAGATCGCCAACCTCAGAAATGCAAGTACACTTCTGGATACTATTCAGCAGTGAGCACAGCACACAGCCAAGCAAATGTTGGACTTACCTTTGTATGTTGTGACAGGGACGTATGTGACGAGGGTGTACAGTTTGTTGGGAGAGTCCTCGTCTTCATTGCGTTTTCTTGACAGGCGCACGCGCATACGGTATGGGACATTCCTGAAATAACATACAAATAATCAGTTAACATGGAGAAATGTGCTCAGTTTTAGTGCATGGCATTGTGGAAAACGTTACACGCCGCAACTTGTTTTAATTGCACCAACTCTACACCCATCGCCAAGCATAACACTTCGCTCTGAAGCCAGCACTGATGCTGGCTCAGTCAAAGTGTCTATCCGCCGGGCTAATTAGCCTCTACCCCTTGATATCAGGACAACACTGCATGAAGCAGATAGGACAGGGGCGAGTGGGTTTTTTTGGCTGAGAGAGAGGGGAAAAGAGTGACGCAATAGAGAGAGACTGGAAGAGATCCTGATGTTCAACTTTCCATTCAATTAGACGTAATGGACAGACAATGTGCATCACTGAAATCAACAATCAATTGTCATTAGCACAAATGTATCCCCAACATTCATGAAAATGAATGTGAGGCCCATGAACTACAGTTTCACTATGGCAGCCATTTTGGCCAGTGCAGTCCATTGTAGAGGAAGCACTGAATTTGACAAGGCTGCACAGGCGATTTGGAATTCAGCATAGTCCAGTTCATACTACGGTTAAGTGCATATCGTCCCAATACTTATTGCAGCCACAGCATTAACATGTGGTATACTGTACCCTCAACTCAGTGTCACTCAGATTGGCTGAGATGACAGTTTAAAAAGTGTTAGTTTTGAAATGTAGCAGTCGATCAAGTTAAGCCCATAACCTTTTCTGTACCAGGGACCAGCAGGCTAAGGCCTCTGTCGCAAGAAACACGAGGGTTTGCTTACCTCACACCCTTGGTCCAAACAGCCTTGTTCAGGCGAGTGTCGATGCGTACGTCAGGGGTTCCCATCTCCTTCATGGCGAACTTGCGGATCTCCTTGAGAGCGCGAGGTGCCCTCCTCTTGAAGGACCTGACGGAACAGAGCAAGAAGCAACGTTAATTACATGCACATGATTATCAAAGAGGTTGATCAAAGCATCACATTTGTCAGAGCAAGCAATGTCTATTTTTCTAAGCAATATAACAAGGGAAGCCCTTGTGAAAATGACCCTTATTGTAGTTCTACACTACACAGCACCAGCTTCTTGTCCACCTATAATGACCTGGGAAGGAAAATTAGTAATTCACACTGGCGCCTCACGTTCTTTCCCATAAGCAACAGCACACTTCCAACATTTAGCATGTACAAAATCAAAACAATGTCAACTGCCTCTAATCATTTTACGTCCACCATTCCCTCAAATCCTCTTCAGTGGGATAGCCCATCAAATTACCTTAGACCAGCCATCAAAGCACCAAAGACATCTTGCAAGCATACAAACATACAGTACTTCATTCAAACCGTGTGTAGATGGCACACATCCATAACTCTACAGCAGCAGACTCAGTGCCATGCCCCCAGACAGTGTACTCACACGCCATGTATGCGCTTGTGGATGTTGACGGTGTACTCCCTGGTCACAACCTCGTTGATGGCAGAACGCCCCTTCTTTTTCTCACCGCCCTTCTTGTTTGGCGCCATCTAAGAAAAGACATCACATAAAACATTGACTAACCTTTTCCTCATAACCAGAGACAAGACATGCATTTCTCAAGTGTCCACTGCTTATTTGGTTAAAAGTAGAGTGGTCCCCTAACAAGTCAACACTGAGCTTAAAATGGAACTGACAGCATTTTAGCAACATGAAATCTTATTAAAATCTGTTCATATACACCCCAAGGAAGAATTCTTTTTTTAAAAACATTATCTGACAAGCGAGAACTTAAGACATGGTCATTTTCATGTTTTCATTCATTCTTAAAATATTTGGGAATTACATATACTAAGGCGCTTGTGGAAATTCTATAGCAATATAGTTGGAAAGCAGCCATGCTTTTGGACAATTAATAGACACCACAGTAAATAAAACCTAAAAAACATCTGTCTAGTCCAGCGGCTGCGCGTTTGGAAAATGAATACACTATAGTAAATAAAATCTATAAAAAAACATGTCTCGTCCAGGACTGGAGTCTACGCAGAACGGTGCACCATAGCCAACCAGAGCTACAGTGGGCCTTTATACAAACAAGCCATTTGCCATACAGGCTTGGCATCATTCACTTTGAACTCGACTGTGTGTTTACCAGCAGTTACAACAGCGTGACTTTAGATAATTAGAACACATTCGCCAAAAGCCACAAAATATCCCTCAATGGATTTCTGCAAATATTTCATTACCACGGGAGTCCTCTTACATTTGGGAACTTTACAGTCCTATTGATCAAACCATGAAAAGGTAGGCTTTCTCTCTCTCCCTCAGTTATGCACCTCAACAACTAATGCTAGCCAGAGCAAGATGAGCTAAAGCATAACGAACAAACATTAGACAAAACCTCAAACTTTGTCAGCTAGTTGGTCATCAAAATTGCACTGATAAAGGATGGGGAATTGTAGCTTACTTGTCCTTCTGCAGGATGCCTGCAAGCACCCAAGCTAAATGGCTAAAGTTGGCTAGTTTGCTACCTAGCTACTTCTAGGCACAAATTTGAACACCTCACTGAACATTTTACTTGCCCTAGCAGAGCTGGTTAGGCTGTTTACATGTTATCTAGAGCGTCCATGACTAACTATTACTTTTTTTTGCCTATGTTTAAGTTACACTGGTCATATTCAGCCGGTGTTGCGCGTCAGTTATTCTATGCTCTGGCACACTTGGAGGAGAGTGATAGCCAGAGTGAACTTGCGAACGCAAGAGATATGAAAACTGTTTAACAGTCGTTCACGTTCTTGCTAGCTAGCTAACCAAATGACACCTGCATCTACCTGTGGATAGCCAACGAAAAACGATGAGGGGAAAAAGTCAGTCACGCACCCACTCCTCCAATTACATTTTACATTTTAGTCATTTAGCAGACGCTCTTATCCAGAGCGACTTACAGTTAGTGAATACATATATATTTTTTTTATACTTGCCCCCCGTGGGAATCGAAACCCACAACCCTGGCGTTGCAAACGCCATGCTCTATCAACTGAGCTACATCCCTGCCGGCCATTCCCTCCCCTGGACGACGCTGGGCCAATTGTGCGCCGCCCCAATGGGTCTCCCGGTCGCGGCCGGCTGCGACAGAGCCTGGATTCGAACCAGGATCTCTAGTGGCACAGTTTGCACTGCGATGCGGCGCCTTAGACCACTGCGCCACTCGGGAGCCAATGACATGACATCCTAGCAGCTAGCGAAAGTTAGGCTCCGCGTTTTTAGCATCCTAAATATATACATTAGCCTATTAGGCACGTTATGACTGACTTGTGGTCATTAACCTGCTAGTTTGATTGTATTGACATTACAGCCTTAGTTGCATTCTTCCGGTTTTGTCCAAAATATTTAGTCATTGAAACTGAAACAGGGCATTCTGAATGGAAGCAGCAAACAATTTACCAGGCCAGCTGTGATTTACAACCTGATAGCAATAATTTTTGTACTACTAATAAATGTATTGGTGAATTATATTAATCATTCGTTGACCTGCATAGTCTATTCTAGTTGGTTTTGTAGCATAAAGTGGGAATTTGAAATTTGACTGATATGATAGTTTGTTTCATATCTGCACAGTAGTTAAACCGCTGTCAGTTCCACTGCTTTCATTGACATGAACGTAAACAATCCCACGTGAAGTTTCATGGTAGGATTAATTAGGATACTGTAGAAAATACATTTCATGGGTTTACAATACCAGTAACTTTTGCCATCTAGATAAGTGTTGGTGGGGCATAAGTAATGTACACGTAATTGGGCATACGTCTGGTTGCTGACGCCAGGCAATACAGCTAGCTAGTTAATGATAACGGTATATATTTGGCTGGCTAGTTTAACTAACTACAGCGATTGGTTTCTGAATAACTTTACATTAGTAACAACGGGATGTTGTGAAACAGAAATTAGGGACCCCAGATAAGACCTAAACACAGGACTAATGCGCTTTATAACCGAGACATTTATGACAATAGTTCCGTTCAGCTGGGGTTGTAGACGTGTGATTAGCAAACTGACTGTTTAGTGGCTACACGTTTCCATTTAAAAATTCACAATTGATCATTTAGGCATATTCCACCACGATTGCATCGTTTAGGGAGTTCAGTGTCCCATCTTGTAATTATGTCATGAACATATTGGATTATATTAACACAAGGTCAGGATGAAGTTAGATAAATAACACACATTTGGTAAACTAGTACTTACTCTGCCCGAGAAATGTCGGAAAGGAAGTTGCAAAGACTTGTGGGTACTGAAAGGCAACGAAAAAAGGGTTCACATCCGGGTCGTTCTAAACGCAAGAAACAAATATGGTGGCTAAATTTACCAAAGATGATGGATATACTAACAAGATACACGTCTCTCTGCCCTAACAATGGGAGTCATTGTCCACAAAGCATCACGGCGGGCTGTCTAGCTCCCGCCTATCCTTTCTTTGGATTGGTGGATACATCTCATTATTGTAATCATTTCTTGAATATTCGATGAGGGTTGTTGACGTCAACCGCATGTATTTAATGGGGAGGCCTCATATGTGAATATGCATAGCCATCTCGAAACAACTACGATATAAAGTGTTTTTTTCTCTCAAAGTTGCCGGGATGTCACGTCTCCTACTTATATCAGTACACTTTTAACAACTAAAGCATTAAGAAACGTCTATTTGATCAAATAACCCTCACGTAGCAAATAAGCCATTCATATTTAAGCCGCGACCGGAGACCCATGGCGGCGCACAATTGGCCCAGCGTTGTCTAGCAGAGGGAATGGCCGGGAGGGAGGTAGCTCAGTTGGTAGAGCATGGCGTTTGCAACGCCAGGGTTGTGGGTTCGATTCCCACGGGGCGCCAGTATGATAAAAATAATGAATGCACTAACTGTAAGTCGCTCTGGATAAGAGCGTCTGCTAAATGACGTAAATGTAATATTTTGGTTGACCAAATTCGACACTCTCATTGACCTCCATACAAAAACTCCTTGCTTTGTGGGGGGAAACAACTAAAAAACTCCACCGGATGGAGGGAGACAGATTTTCTGCCGAGTTGGGCCTATCTCTTCCTCTCTGTGTTTACTCCACAGGTTCACTCAGGCAAAGATGATCTATTATATTGACGAGATAGCCGAGTGACCGCTCTAACAATGGCAATACATGTCCTCAATGATTGAAGGCAGGCAAGATCAGGTGGGACCATTCTAGCCAATGATACGACAGGCACTAAGTAGTTTTTCTCCAAGTTGCTGGAATGCCACATGGACAGTGGCAATTTTAGCATGTAAATCTTGGTGGGGCAAACTCCCCCCAATTGTTTTTAATGCATGCCAGGAAAGCCACTACACAACACAAAACAATATATTAATTGCACCATAAAGGTGACAAACGGTGCCCACAAACTCTTAGGGCCGACATTAAGCTATCCCAACAGCAGAGTCCCAACACCTTACCACTGCTAAACCTGGCTATCAGTGGAGCCTTGTCTGGCAGCGAAACAGTTAATTCAGCCTCATTTACTACCTTTAAAAAAATCATAGCTGATATGGCTGACTTGCTTAAACAAATGTGGTTTCTACATTTAAATTTTAGTCATTTAGCAGATGCTCTTATCCAGAGCGACTTACAGTTAGTGAGTGCATACACTTTTCATACTGGCATTCTCTGGATTTATTGTGCTTTCAAGACAACCTGGGACTCAGAAAAAAACAAGGTCGAATCATGATGATGTCAGTGACCTTCAGGTCGGAGCGCTAGAAAGAGGCCCGAGTTCCGGACTTGCAATTCCGAGTTGGATGACTGTTCAAAACATATTTTCCCAGTCGGAGCTCATTTTTTTCAGAGTTCCCAGTAGTCTTGAACTCACTGAAGTCTGAGATTTCCCAGTTCCGAGTTTCCAGTTGTTTTGAGCGTGGTAGAAGTCATGTTGGATTGACAGCATGGCCAATGTTGAATGTTTATCCTTTTAATCTTGGAAAAGAGACCCTTAAACCCAGACTTGGACCACACATCCACTCCACTGAATAGCAGGCTAGTGATTGCTTTGCAATGCTTGCAGTTAGCCACTGATTCCTTCCAAACCACTCATTGTTGAATTTGCGATTTCCAACTTGTTGTGTAATGTTTACGTTCAATGGCCGATGAGCACCGATACGTTTTATCTATAATTTCTCTTCATTATTTATCTTCATATGACAAGGATTGAAAAGGATTTCCCAGTAGAAAGTTGACTTGATTCATGATGATGACTGCTAGCTTGCTGGCTAAGATTTTGAAAGTATGATGTTGACATGATCAGTCCAATCAAAGCTACTGTACATATAACGTGATTTGACGTCATTTTATCTGTGGCCTATGACCTTGAGCCTTTTTGGATGGGCAATTCTAATGTAACACGATGGCAGCACCCAAGGGGCTTACATTTTTTAGCTCTACACGTAAATTTTGTGGTGACGTAGTGTCCCCATGAGTGACAGAACACTGAGCCAATCACAGCGCAACTAGAGAACATTACCAACCCCTACACTCAGTATTTTTCTCTGGCTGCCCAACCACCACAAAAAGCACTGAGCTAGGCTGAAACACCTGCATTTTGGAGCTGCTTTACTCAAGAAAGCAAAACATAGTTTGTATGTGGCTTTATTAACGCAATACACATATTAATTTTAATGCCAAAAATAACAAAATAACATGCAAAACAGACAAAAAAACAAACAGGTGGGGCTCAAAATGACGGGTCGCCACTGCACATGCATCCGTTTATATCAGTACATTTGTAACAGCCTAAACATTACAAAACTTATATTCGATAAAATCAGCCTCACGTAATTCAACACTCTCTCATAGACCTCCATACAAAAAAGGTTTCTCTGTCACGGACGCCTCTTCCTCTCTCTTCGCTCAGGCCGTTAAAAAAAAGGTCAGTTCCGGTCTGCTTAACGGGGTGGCTCTCCCATAGAACCCAATGCGATAAAAGCTGGGTCTGGTATTCTTAGTTCATTGACTTGTCTATGAAGCAGAAAAATACAGACACGAATGTCTTTTTTGCAGTGCTTTTTCCGAAACAATAAATAAATTATACCACATTTTTAACAAATGTTTTATCTGTAATTTGTATAGATTTTTGTTGTAGCCACGAAAAGTCTCGAGCAAGCGGAAATAAAAGAATAATCTTCTTTACTATATTTCCCATAATGCACGTTGTTACCGGCGTCGAGTCAAAGGTCAAAACTCAACGCTCCAATGTTGTGAACGAAGTGGAAACTGTTGGGAAAACAGCTGAGAAAAGCTAACTTACTTAATATTTAACCTTAGATAATAATTCGATTCATGCTTTTACGATCAGTAAGACTTATGTATTTTTTTAGTTGATCGAGGTCAATTTTGTTTAGCTGTATAACTTACTTTTACGATGACTTTGCTGACAAGCTAGCTAGTAAGCTAACTAGCGCGAGCTAATAGCATTTGCTAACTGTTAGCTTGCTTCCCATATCTGCACTCCTGTGGAGTTAGTGGAAATGTATCTAGCTTCTTTTTAAGTATGTAACTGAATAACGCAACATACGTGCAATTACAAAAGACTACGTGCAAGCACTGATTTATCATTTTGGTCACGTAGCTAAAAGCTAGCTATCAACAACATAGGTACGATGACACTTGCCCCGAAGGAGCTGTCCAACCTCTTGGGAATCATTTCCGAGGAAGCTTGCACCAACACTTTTGAAAGTCTATCAACCGCCTTTCATCATTACTTCGCGAAGGCCGAACATTTCCGAGTAGGATCGGTTTTGGTGATGCTGCTGCAACAGCCGGACCTTCTGCCAAGCTCTGCCCAGCGCCTGACAGCCCTCTACCTCCTCTGGGAGATGTACCGCACAGAGCCACTGGCCGCCAATCCCTTTGCCGCTGTCTTTGCTCACTTGCTGAACCCCTCACCAGTTGGGGAGGAGCAGGAGAAACAACTGTCTGGTGAGTGTCTGCTAAATGACTAAAATATCAAATGTAATCCGTTTGGATAGTAAGAAGTATTGTCCAAAGTTTTCATCAGCAGTTTGTGTTGCTTTCATTATATTAACTCAAGTATATCCTGATCATATGACTGTTCATAGGCTTCCTGCCACCCATTACACAGCCCGAGAAGTTCTTCCTCTCCCAGCTAATGCTTGCGCCTCCAAGGGAACTCTTCAAGAAGACCCCCAGACAGGTGTCTTGCATGGATGTGGAGAACATGCCACAGTCCATAGACATTAGTGGGCTGCAGTTGGCATTGGCAGGTACAGTACCTGCATGTATGCACTTCTCATGTATCTTGTATGGAGGATGGTTATAGAATCTCAAGAATGTTAGGCAACTCAAAAAGAGTTATGTATGATGGAGAATTGTGGATTTCAAAGTTAGGATTCCACCTATAGAGATTTGCCTGTGTTGAGACATAAAACCTCTCATATCATTACTGTAGTACAACAGACAGTTCTTTACACTTTACTATGCAGCAATTCTAACACTTCATTTGTAAACTCTTATTCCTCTCTCTCCCCTTGACACTGCAGAGCGCCAGTCAGAGCTACCCACCCAGAGTAAGGCCAGCTTTCCCAGCATCCTCAACGACCCGGACCCAGATTCTTCCAACTCTGGGTTCGACAGCTCAGTGGCCAATCAGATCACAGAGTCTCTGGTCACTGGGCCTCGACCTCCACTGGAGAGTAAGTGGAGCATTTCATCAATCAGTTTGTTATTAGTCTGTGTTATGTTTATGGACGACATAAGTTAGGTGAATGTTGACACAAAAACATACACTATACAGTTGAAGTCGGAAGTTTACATACACCTTAGCCAAATACATTTAAACTCAGTTTTTCACAACTCCTGACATATAATCCTAGTAGAAATTCCCTGTCTTAGGTCAGTTAGGATCACCACTTTATTTTAAGAATGTGAAATGTCAGAATAATAGTAGAGAGAATGATTTATTTCAGCTTTTATTTCTTTCATCACATTCCCAGTGGGTCAGAAGTTGACGTACACTCAATTAGTATTTGGTAGCATTGCCTTTAAATTGTTTAACTTGGGTCAAACGTTTTGTGTAGCCTTCCACAAGCTTCCCACAATAAGTTGGGTGAATTTTGGCCCATTCCTCCTGACAGAGCTGGTGTAACTGAGTCAGGTGTGTAGGCCTCCTTGCTCGCACACGCCTTTTCAGTTCTGCCCACAAATCTTCTATAGAATTGAGGTCAGGGCTTTGTGATGGCCACTCCAATACCTTGACTTTGTTGTCCTTAAGCCATTTTGCCACAACTTTGGAAGTATGCTTGGGGTCATTGTCCATTTGGAAGACCCATTTGCGACCAAGCTTAAACTTCCTGACTGATGTCTTGAGATGTTGGTTCAATATATCCACATAATTTTCCTTCCTCATGATGCCATCTATTTTGTGAAGTGCACCAGTCCCTCCTGCAGCAAAGCACCCCCACAGCATGATGCTGCCACCCCCGTGCTTCACGGTTGGGATGGTGTTCTTCGGCTTGCGAGGCACCCCCCTTTTCCTCCAAACATAACGATGGTCATTATGGCCAAACAGTTCTATTTTTGTTTCATCAGACCAGAGGACATTTCTCCAAAAAGTACAATCTTTGTCCCCGTGTGCAGTTGCAAACTGTAGTCTGGCTTTTTTATGGCGGTTTTGGAGCAGTGGCTTCTTCCTTGCTGAGCGGCCTTTCAGGTTATGTCGATGTAGGACTCGTTTTACTGTGGATATAGATACTTTTGTACCTGTTTCCTCCAGCATCTTCACAAGGTCATTTGCTGTTGTTCTGGGATTGATTTGCACTTTTCCCACCAAAGTACGTTCATCTCTAGGAGACAGAACGCGTCTCCTTCCTGAGCGGTATGATGGCTGCGAGGTCCCATGGTGTTTATACTTGCGTACTATTGTTTGTACAGATTAACATGGTACCTTCAGCCATTTGGAAATTGCTCCCAAGGATGAACCAGACTTTTTTCTGAGGTCTTGGCTGATTTCTTTTGACTTTCCCATGATGTCAAGCAAAGAGGCACTGAGTTTGAAGGTAGGCCTTGAAATACATCCACAGGTACACCTCCAATTGACTCAACCGATTTCAATTAGCCTATCAGAAGCTTCTAAAGCCATGACATCATTTTCTGGAATTTCCCAAGCTGTTTAAAGGCACAGTCAACTTAGTGTATGTAAACTTCTGACCCACTGGAATTGTGATACAGTGAATTATAAGTGAAATAATCTGTCTGTAAACAATTGTTGGAAAAATTACTTGTCATGCACAAAGTAGATGTCCTAACCGACTTGCCAAAACTATAGTTTGTTAACAAGAAATTTGTGGAGTGGTTGAAAAACTAGTTTTAATGACTTCAACCTAAGTGTATGTAAACTTCCGACTTCAACTGTATATACAAAAGTATGTGGACAACCCTTCAAATTAGTGGATTTGGTTATTTCAGCCACACCCATTGCTGACAGGTGTATAAAATCAAGCATGTAGCCATGCAATCTCCATAGACAAACATTGGCAGTAGAATGGCCTTAATGAAGAGCTCAGTGACTTTCAACGTGGTAACGTCATAGGATGCCACCTTTCCAACAAATCAGTTCTTCAAATTTCTGCTCCGCTAGAGCTGCCCCAGTCAACTGTAAGTGCTGTTATTGTGAAGTGGAAACATCTAGGAGCAACAACTGCTCAGCCGTGAAGTGATAGGCCACACAAGCTCACAGAAAGGGACCACCGAGTGCTGAAGCGTGTCTGTCCTCGGTTGCAATACTCACTACTGAGTTCCAAACTGCCTCTGGACGCAACGTCAGCACAAGAACTGTTCGTCGGGAGCTTCATGAAATGTGTTTCCATGGCTGAGCAGCCACACACAAGCCTAAGATCACCATGTGCAATGTCAACCGTCAGCTGGAGTGGTGTAAAGCTCGCCGCCATTGGACTCTGGAGCAGTGGAAACGCGTTCTCTGGAGTGATGAATCACGCTTCACCATCTGGCAGTCCGACGGAACGAATCTGGGTTTGGCGGATGTCAGGAGAACGCTACCTCCCTGAATGCATAGTGCCAACTGTAAAGTTTGGTGCAGGAAGAATAATGGTCTGAGGCAGTTTTTCATGGTTCGGTCTAGGCCCCTTAGTTCCAGTGAAGGGAAATCTTAACGCTACATACAATGACATTCTAGACGATTCTGTGCTTCCAACTTTGTGGTAACAATTTGGGGAAGGCCCTTTCCTGTTTCAGCATGACATTGCCCCCGCTGTTATAGTAGCAAAGGGGGGGACCAACTCCATATTATTGGCCATGATTTTGGAATGAGAGGCTCGGCGAGCAGGTGTCCACATACTTCTGGTCACGTAGTGTATGTCTTTTCATTAGCCTGGTATTGTAATGACACAGGAATGATACTGAAGTATATACGATATCCCAAGTATCACGTAAGCCAAGCCACATATCCAGCCTGTAACGCCTCCCTGTGACCCTACCTCCCCCAAGGTCACTTCCGTCCAGAGTTCATCCGGCCGCCCCCTCCCCTGCACGTTTGTGAGGACGAGCTGGCGTGGCTAAACCCCACGGAGCCCGACCACAGTGTGCAGTGGGATCGCTCCATGTGTGTGAAGAACAGCACGGGCGTGGAGATCAAACGCATCATGGCCAAGGCCTTCAAGAGCCCACTGTCTGCCCAGCAGCAGTCACAGGTGAGTAGACAGGTACACTGTCTACTCAACTGTATCTTATATATTTCAAACATGACCTTCCCTTGGGAATTCCACCAGAATATCTCTGTAAATATTGCGGTCTCCCTACAGCTCCTGAGTGAGCTGGAGAGGGATCCTAAGCTGGTGTACCACATCGGTCTGACCCCGGCCAAGCTGCCTGACCTGGTGGAAAACAACCCTCTAGTGGCCATCGAGATGCTTCTAAAACTGATGCAGTCCAGCCAGATCACTGAGTACTTCTCCGTCCTGGTCAACATGGACATGTCCCTGCACTCCATGGAGGTAGTCAATAGGTGGGGGCTTTGGATATCATTTGATTTATATAATTAATTTGTCTACAATCAGTTTTAAAATGTGTTTATTTATGTGAGGTTATTCTTTGTGTGCACAGGCTAACCACTGCTGTGGACCTCCCTCCAGAGTTCATTCACCTGTACATCTCCAACTGTATCTCCACGTGTGAACAGATCAAAGACAAGTACATGCAGGTAAGGAGAACTGTGGAAGGGAAGGCCCATGACAGGAGGCTGTAGCTTAGTGTTTGACCTGTCAGTCACATATACAGTGCCTTCGGAAAGTATTCATACCCCTTGACTTTTTCCACATTTTGTTATGTTACAGCCTTATTCTAAAATTGATAAAATACTTTTTTTGCTCATCAATCTACACACAATACCCCATAATGACAAAGCGAAAACAGGTTTTTAGATTTTTTTGCAAATGTATTAAAAAAATATATATATATACATTATTTACATAAGTATTCAGACACTTTACTATTAGACTCAAAATTGAGCTCAGGTGCATCCTGTTTCCATTGATCATCCTTGAGATGTTTCTACAACTTGATTGGAGTCCACCTGTGGTAAATTAAATTGATTGGACATGATTTGGAAAGGCATACACCTGTCTATATAAGGTCCCACAGTTGACAGTGCATGTCAAAGCAAAAACCAAGCCATGAGGTTGAAGGAATTGTACGTAGAGCTCCGAGAAACGATTGTGTCGAGGCACAGATCTGGGGAAGGGTACCAAAACATTTCTGCAGCATTGAAGGTCACCAAGAACACAGTGGCCTCCGTCATTCTTAAATGGAAGAAGTTTGGAACCACCTAGACTCTTCCTAGAGCTGGCTGCCCGGCCAAACTGAGCAATCGGGTGAGAAGGGCCTTGGTCAGGGAGGTGACCAAGAACCTGATGGTCACTCTGACAGAGCTCCAGAGTTCCTCTGTGTAGATGGGAGAACCTTCCAGAAGGACAACCATCTCTGCAGCACTCCACCAATCAGGCCTTTATGGTAGAGTGGCCAGACGGAAGCCACTCCTCAGTAAAAGGCACATCGCAGCCCGCTTGGAGTTTTCCAAAAGGCACCTAAAGACTCTCAGACCATGAGAAACAAGATTCTGTGGTCTGATGAAACCAAGATTGAACTCTTTTGCTTGAATGCCAAGCTTCACGTCTGGAGGAAACCCGGCACCATCCCTACGGTTACGCATGGTGGTGGTGGAAGCATCATGCATTGGGGATGTTTTTCTGCAGCAGGTACTGGGAGACGAGTCAGGATCGAGGGAACGATGAACGGAGCAAGTACAGAGAGATCCTTGATGAAAACCTGCTCCAGAGCTATCAGGACCTCAGACTGGGGTGAAGGTTCACCTTCCAACAGGACAACGACCCTAAGCACACAGCCAAGACAACGCAGGAGTGGCTTCGGGAGAAGTCTGTGAATGTCCTTGAGTGGCCCTGCCAGATCCCAGACTTGAACCCGATCGAACATCTCTGGAGACCTGAAAATAGCTGTGCAGCAACGCTCCCCATCCAACCTGACAGAGCTTGAGAGGATCTGCACAGTCGAATGGGAGAAACTCCCCAAATACAGGTGTGCCAAACTTGTAGCATCATACCCAAGAAGACTCGAGGCTGTAATCGCTGCCAAAAGTGCTTCAACAAAGTACTGAGTAAAGGGTCTGAATACTTGTGTAAATGTGATATTTACGTTTTTTTATTTCTGATAAATTTGCAAACATTTCTAAATATCTGGTTTTGCTTTGTCATTATGGGGAATTGTGTATAGATTGATGAGGGGAAAAAACAATTTAATCAATTTAAAAATAAGGCTGTAAGGTAACAAAATGTGGGTCAAGTCTGAATGAATACATTCCAAGTGCACTGTAAATGCTTGTCTTACCAGAGGATGCATGCCACTTTCTTTCTGAAAGTTGTAACAGGAAGTGCATTTGTGGGTTCTCCCTGCTAAAGATGACTTTAAAAAAAAAACTAGTTAGTCAAGGCTCCACATTTTCAGATGTGTTAGCCAGTGTTTCAGATGTGTATGTAAAACCTCTGTTTCCGTTTGCAGAACCGCCTGGTGCGCCTGGTGTGTGTGTTCCTGCAGTCTCTGATCCGGAATAAGATCATAAACGTGCAGGACCTGTTCATCGAGGTGCAGGCCTTTTGCATTGAGTTCAGCCGCATACGGGAGGCAGCCGGCCTCTTCCGCCTCCTCAAGACCCTGGATACAGGAGAAATCCCCCCTGAGGTCAAACCTGCCAAATAATGCTTTCATAGTACATAGAACCTGGCAGTAGCCTGACGTGCCAAATAACGCCCCCCAGGTAGTAAGCCCACAGAGGCACAACCCGCTAAATAGCGCCCCAACCAAGAGATACTGACCAAGACTGTATAACCACCCAGACAATCCTCACAATCTCGCCTGGAGTCCGGCTTTGAACTCAGTTACTGTTTTTCCTCTCTCTTTTCTGGACAAAGATGGACATATTTTGAAACTGTTTCCCCCCCCCCCCCCCTCCAGAGATTGATTGCTTGTCGGTTTTGTTTCATTAAATGGATATGTAATGAACCATCTGGGTTGTTGGCTTGTATTTTCTACTGAACATGGTGAGACATACTGTACATGCAAATACAGGAATGTTGGATTCTGTTTTGAATGAGGGAACTAGATTTGATCACATTAATAGGTTCTCAATGCAGAACAACTATTTGTAAGGGAACTGCTCATACTTGATGTACAGGTGTAGTGCATGTGTATTACAATACGTGTGAACAAAACCAAGACACAACATTCGTTAAAAATATTTTATATAAAATGTGTTTCCCTGATATCTTCACAAATGTTAGTCTGAAAGCAAAATGGTCACAATTTGAAATTAATAGCATCAAGTAAAGAAGTTTGTGTAAAAAAAGTTAAGTAAAAAAGAGCTAAATCTCATATCAAAATAAGATTTCCAGTATAACTCCAGTTACAGTATTATTTTATATCTGCTCTTCGCTATCAGCCCTGAGTTTTGAATTGCTGATTTCCAGACATAATAGCTACATTACTGAAATAGTCTTGAGCTAGTATCTTCTTTCACCTGATTCTGATTGTTGTGCTGATCACATCTTAATGTGATGTGTTCTGTGGGGTTGGGACCCCTATACCCTCTTCATGCCCCGGGCCATCAGGCAGGCAAACACTGTCATCACCATCTTAGGTTTCACCTCCACTAGGTCCTCAGGCAGGGCGTACACCCGCGCTCCGATTTTCCTGGCCATGGAGATGGCATACCTGACAACAGGCAGTATTTAGGGGACATCTTATCTGTTGGCTTGAATGTTTCATCTCTTTCATCAAGCTAGTACTCAAATGTTAATTTCATCACATGGTACGTACTTGGCGTTATTGAGCTTCTCTTCCTCAGTCAGGTCCTCCACCTTGATTAGGTCGTAGCGGATGGAGCCTGGCTGGATGGCATCAATCAGGTCCAGGACTGGCATACTGGTGGCTATGGACCCATCCTACAGAGGCACACACACTGAGCTATTGCTGTGGAGGATGCTTTACTTTTATTTATTCTACTTGGAAAAGTAGAATGAAGTCTAGTACTTCAAATAAGGTACCATGGTCAGGAAAATGTTAAACAGCAGAGGTACAGCTTACCTTGAATCCAGAGATGGTGCCTTTGCCAGCCTGTGTGAGTGTGTCATTGACCCAGGTGATGATGGTGTCGTCATTCACCTTCTGCCCGTCACCAAGCTCCTCCAGAATGTTCAGTGTGTACCTGAGAGAAAGAGATGGATCCTTCTAAATGTGGAATTATGGAGTAGGCATTGGGCCTGCATATGAGTTTTTGCTGATCACATGACCTGAACAGGGGAAAAAATATCTAAAGCACTTTTAACAATGTTCTGTTGCATTACCTCCTCATCAGCTGCCACAGCAGGGCCTGGGTGAGTTTTCGGTTGCCCTCGTTCAGGTCCTGTCCAGCAATGCCCACCAGGGAGAACTTGGCCTCATTCTTCCCCAGCTCCACTGCATAGTTACAGTTCTCCAACTGGCACAGACAAACACGTAATAAATCAATGAATAATCATTCAATCAATTGATCAGTTTAATCGTGATCGCACTGTGGGAGAACTCTAATTGTTCCTAGTCTCACCTTCTTCATGTTGCTGCCCAGTTTGGAGTAAGGGGGTTTGTTTACTCTGTCCCAATCCACTGGCACATTGATCTTCTCATAGAGTTGGAAGATGACCAAAGCATCATCTATGTCCCTGTAAAACATGCACACACACACACACACATTACATTAGTGTGGTTTCCAAATGATTGTAAATTGTTGGAAATGGTGTGTATAAGATGGAGTGACCTGTACTGTTCTTACACATAGAGGTGGTTGACACGAGGGTTGACCCCCAGGGAGTTCATCCAGTTCCTGAAGGTGCGCTCCTCTCTGGTCTCACCTGTAAGTGACAGATAACATTACACACTGGTTCAGGCCTTGTACTGTATATATGGTTTATATTATTTCATCAGGAAGTAGGGATGCTCAGGAACTAGATAGGTTATGGTTTGGGATGGTCCCAACACTGACCCTCGATTGAGCTCCAGTCAATGTCCTGGTTCTCTGGCTTCTTCAGGGCAGGATACTTGTTGAACAGGTTGGCAATGTACGCCAAGTTCAGCTTGGGGTTGCCACGGACCACGTCGGTTGCTGTGACGAACTGCCGGCAGCCAAGACGGTCAGCCTGCTCCAACATGCACTCTGCTCTCTTTATGTCCTCTTTCTCCTGCAGGGGGCGGTAGGGAGCGATCTATGATGTATCACTCATTGATAATTTGGTCAATTTAGCATGCACTTTTAACCAAAGTGGCTAGAAGAACAGCACTGTTGATCAGGTTGCCTAAAATGGAATGGATATGGATGATATTTTCTAGGTTGGGATGACCACGTACCCTTATCCCTGAAATGTCGATGGCAATCAGAGGGATTCCCTCTTCATCTCCCTTAGGAGCCACTTGGTTCAGGATGTTGTAGTAAGCCTTGGAATCCTATAATGCAAAACAAAAAATGTATACAATCACAAATGCACTAAAAGATCCCGGACCGACATAGTCATATGACGATCCAGGACCGACACAGTCATATGACGATCCAGGACAGACACAGTCATATGACTGCTAACTGTAAGTCGCTCTGGATAAGAGCGTCTGCTAAATGACTAAAATGTAAATGTAAATATGACGATCCCGGACCGACACAGTCATATGACGATTCAGGACCGACATAGTCATATGACAATCCCAGACCGACACAGTCATATGACGATCCAGGACCGACACAGTCATATGACGATCCAGGACCGACACAGTCATATGACGATCAAGGACCGACACAGTCATATGACGATTCAGGACCGACACAGTCATATGACGATTCAGGACCGACACAGTCATATGACGATCCAGGACCGACACAGTCATATGACGATCCAGGACCGACACAGTCATATGACGATCCAGGACCGACACAGTCATATGACGATCCAGGACCGACACAGTCATATGATGATCCAGGACTGACACAGTCATATGATGATCCAGGACCGACATGGTGCGTATGACCCACCTTAATGTCAGAGCTGAAGTTGTTGATCTTGGAGCAGCCGGCCTCCTCCAGGTGGTAGTTGGCCCAGCGTAGCAGCAGCTCCTCTGGGGACAGCTTCATCAGGTCCTCCAGGCTCTCCCCATCCCTCAGCAGGGCTATCAGAGCTGCACACATCATTGAAATAACACACATAAACATACAGCTACAGAGATCAAGTGTTATAAAGTTATAAAACACACCAAAACATTGAAAGTCCATATTCAAATAAACATTTAACACACACACACACCTTCGTTTCTGCTGATCTCGATGTCAGCGAACAAGCCAATCTTGATGACCTGCCAGAGCAGGCCCAGGACCAGATGCTGCCTGCCTTCCTTCAGGTCCTCTGCTCCGATGTTTACCACGTGGCAGCCGATGGCCGACGCAGAGTTCAGAGCCAGGTTCAGATTCTCCTGTTAGAGCACACAAAAGAGTATAGATACCTGTGCATGACATACAGTATATACTGTATATAATGACAAAGAAATGAATGTGTCAATGGGTTATACAAAGCTGCAGTCCTCTGAGTCAGGTGATGTTGAACAGTCTGTAAAAGGTTACCTGGATGGTGAAGGGTGTGAGCTTCTTCTTGTTGATGGTTCTCTCATCGATGGTGTCCGGGACAGACTGATTGATCATCTTACTACCAGGTGAAGGAGAGATGCATAGGTTGATATCAATGGAATATTGCCGTAGGGATTGGTTTATAACATCAAAGTTGCACATGCTCTAAAGTAAGTCCATGAGAACAGTTAGAAAGTACCATAGAACGATCCCATCTCCGACAGCGGTGAACAGGTCGTTAGAGGTGGGATCCATAGGGAGGACATGCTTGCAGTCTGGGTCTTTCTCCAATGCCTTATTCACCCAGTTCACAAAAGCCACCTTCTCCTCCTCTGTCAGTGGAGAAATGTGTGGGCATGGGGGGGAATGCATAATATTATACATGTAGGAGTATTTGTATTTATGGAGAAATATTTGTATACATTGGCCAATCAGAGACGTATAGATGTGTGACTTCACAGACCAGGAAGTCTTGTTGTACTGATGGATTGTTCCACACATAGAGATAGATGTGGTTCTGTCTCATTTGAATGATAAGTGCTTCCTGTGTGATGTTGGCTACAGATGTATCTAGACAGACTGAAGTAGATAGGTTGGGGGAATTCTCAGCCAGTGAAACAAGTAGGGGCAGTCACCTGAGTAGGAGTGCTGTGTGCCTGAGCTGGACTGCTCTGAGGTTCCTGCTACGGCATAGATGCCCTCCTTCTTGTTGATGGCTTTCTTGAAGGTCTTAGCCACCTCTATGCTCTTCAGTCCATGGACCACCTTAGTGAACGAGAAGAGATGATTCCATGTATCTTTGGTGTCATGTCAAGATGTCTCAAGCTATGGTCTGCTCTACTTTGACATTGTCTTTCTGTAACTGCCATTGATTTTGACCTATTGACCTCTGAACTTACATTGGCAAACTCGTCGAAGGTGACTTTGCCGTCATGTAGGTCTCCTGTCTTGGTGAGATCCTGGATGATCTCTCGGACTCTGTATCCTGGCAATGGCAGGTTGGCAGCTTTGAACAGGTCATTTAGCTCATCTGTGCCAATGTGGCCGTGAGAATCAACATCTGGAATAAGAAATATAGGTCAAAGGTCACATAGAATGTAGCCTTGTTGAATGCAAAAATAATCAGGGACCCAGGATAAGAGTGAGAGAGTGAAGTGAGTCTATAATGAATTGACTACTTTTCTGTTCCTCTCTTAGTATGGGGAATCAGGATTGGAGGGTGTTCAGGGTGTTTTCCTGTCAGGCTCTCACCGATCTTAGCAAAGGCTTCTCTCAGTTCCTCCAACTCATCCTGAGAGATCTGTGCTGGAGCAGACATCTTGTGGAATCTGAAACCACTTACACATAACTTCACCTTTTTTCACAAAACCATACAATACTGAACATACTCAACAGGGAGGAACTAAAATAAATATTACATTTCTGCATGTTGTCACTGTGATAATTTCTAAAAAATGTGCTCTACCCAGTGGTTCTGGGCTCTGATGTCTATTTCATTCTGAAACATCCTGCTTCTAGCGAGCTACTTCCTTCCTACTTCTGCTAAGGTGGTGAGGTCATTCACATGATTCATATCTTTATTCATGTCTTTATATCTCATCTGCCTTAGGACTGAGTATACATTTCAGGTCCCAGTCTGAGTTGAGAGTGGAGTAGAGCTCTAGTGATAACAGACAGGAAGAATGGCTGCCATTTTACTGTGTGGTTTCAATGAGGCCGCTAAAGCTGTATACCACAGATACAGCGAGAGATATAAGGTTATGTTAGAGACAGATACCTACTTTAAACTAGGTCTGCTCTGCTTGCCTCAGAGGTGTGAAGTTTGGAGATGAGTAACAAATGTTTCTCTTTTAATTGCCACCCACCGCATCAGAACAAATCAGCTTTGCTCCTAGAGATTGCATCTATGGTTTTCTAAACATATAGTATGGAGAAGGGTCTAGAGACCATTATTTGTCTATATTCAAACAATGTAGCCACTGAGCACAGACGTCATTTCAAAGTCTAGTTTTGATTTGATTTGGGTTGAGTTTCGGTGAATTCAACGTGCAATCAACAAAAATGTCATTTTGTCATTGGATTTAGGTGAAAAGTTGGGTGAAAAACCCCCGCAATTCCCTTATGTCAATGACTTTTTGCAAATCCAATCAGTTTTCCATGTTGATTCAACATCATCACATTACATTTTTTGTTGAAATGACATGGAAACAAAGTTGATTCAACCAGTTTTTGCCCAGTGGGTATGTAGTAGCACAGTTCTGAATGCTCAAATAACTTAAAACAAGGAGATCCGGGTTTTGTTCCCTTTCTCACACTATAGCTATAGAGGTCAGAAGCAGAAATGAAACTGATGGCTTTTCACACCATGGCTCAAAATGACTAGATTTGTCACTTTGTAAGCATTTAATTTCAATCAGCACTGAGACACTCTCTGGATGGCACAGTGTGATGTTCACTAATCTAACTATAGGATATTACTGCCTTTTTAGGACTGACATTTACCCAGACTTTACTTTTAGATGATGAAGTAAATCTGTCTTTTCATTTTGATCATGAGAGGTGTTATCTTTCATCAAGCAAATCCAGTTCCTTGATTTGAAATCCTTAAAACCCTCATCAGTCATCAAGGAGTACCTGTGGTCTCAGCCACTAAAATCATCAAGGGCCTTTATGGAAATAAAACTCTGAAATACCCACAAACATCAGTCATGGTACCGCTGATTTCACATGCAAATCTTGTTCTCTTTTAAACAGACAGCTTATTCATTATGTACTAAGAAAATAATGAAATGAAAAGGTACATTTGCATGGATTAGCTAGAGGAATAGAGATTTATTGGAACAATATTATGATGTGGACATTTATCAAAGCCAATCTGTCTGTCACTCAAATTATACATCAATCAATTGTGCTCACTCAGTTTCTCTCAATTGTTTTGTATGCAAAAGCCCATTCATTTAAAGCCCCATGCAGTCTTTGTAATTTAATTTTTAAATAATCACTGTATATCTAATAAATCACTGTGTGTGTTTATTTAATGAAAATAACTCCAAAATATATTTGTTATCATTTATTTCCCTGAGCCTCCTATGGCCCTTGAAATGCTCAGTCTGATCGTGCGGGCGTTAGGAAACAAATTTGAAGATATTCACATGCACAGCACTGATTGGCTGATAGGATGGTCTAGAGCCCACCACCTTACCCAGATGAACAGTCATTGGTCTATTATAATCATGATGTGGGCCAAAAGATCTGTACCAGCTGAACAGGCTGAAATTCCAGGCAGTCTTTTCAAAGAGCTCTTGCACAAAAAGGGCATTATCATAATTTTCACAATTTAAGAGTGTTATTTCGCCCTCATAGTTTGTAAATATCATTAAAAAAAGGAAAATTAAGTTAACTGCACTGACCCTTTAAGTGTAGTGTGTTATTAATTATTCAAGCACTATTGAAAGACAACATACAGTAGATAGGTTGGGGGAATTCTCAGCCAGTGAAACAAGTAGGGGCAGTCACAATATACAAATGATATATTGTTCATAATTTCTAAATTACTACAGCGGTGGTGAGTTTAAGAGATTACAGATGTGTATGTGCCAGCAAATTCCACATGCTTAACATGTATACACATGTTATTGGATGAATAGTGATGATATGTTGGACATTTTTTACTGAGTTACTGTTAGCTTTCACGTTAGAATTTTCAGCAGTTGCAGCAAGGATAACCACAAACCAACTAACTTCCTGTTTAAACACTATGCAATGGTTTAGGCTACTCTTGCTCTCTGCCACAATGTTCAGCTGATACTGAAACTAAAGTCATGACATGGCAATGCTTCTCCTGTGAACATCAGAATACACTATAGGGCTATATAACAATTTTGTAATACTGTATCAATGTATTATGTAACAGTTTAACAGCATTCCTTGGATGATAAAGTAGCAAGAGGATACTTTATGATGATAAAGCAAGTTGTTAGGCTACTGTAAATCAATGCATACTACACATGCTGCCCTCAGATCCAGGAAGACACCATCTATTAACACACATGACCATCTGTGAACACTTGTGGATCATCATCCTCATCATCCTCATCCTCATCATTCATCTTCAACCTCATCAAAACCAACATGCAGTCACAGACCATTTCCCCAGTAGATTCAATGAAATACTGACACATGCAGAGGCACACACAGACACTGACACAGAGAGGCCCCTAGGTCAGGAGATTTAATTACCTTAGGGATGTGAGTTGACTGGAAGGTCTGTCTGTGTGGTCTGTCTCTGACTCACTCTCCTTCCTTCAGTGTGTCTGCTGCTCTCACTGCTTGACGGGCAGGCAGTACCCTCTCTCTCCCTCCGAAGTCAACTGACAACGAATCATTTCAAATGTAGTAGGAAGGAAGTGACATGCAACCCAGGACAACTTCACTAAGAGTAATGAAAGACGTTTTGTCTTTCTATGGCAATCTGCTACCTGCCACAGGTCTATCAAGGTGGGAGCAAGTTGCCCCATATATATATATATATATATATATATATATATATATATATATATATACATTTTTTAAGTGAAACTGCAAAATATTCCAGTAGCCTAAAACGGATCTTTCTGGTTCCTCCACATTGCTTAAGTGAAAGATAGACAATTTATGGCATTTATGGCAGTCGGGCAAGTTGAGCCTGCTCTGAGAATTTATTTGACTGATAACAACCTAAAACTGATCTTTCTCGTTCCTCCTCATTGTTTAAGTGAAAAACTGTCAAATTATGGCATTTATGGCAGTAGGGCAAGTTGAGCAACTCCAGCACCTGCAAAAAAGTACCTGGATGTGCATATGTTCTTCTGCTTTTGTCAGGCAAGTTGAGCTGAGAATGTATTTTACTGATAACTGATTTTTCACACTTCATATAACATTGTCATACATACCTTTTCTGCCATATTTGCATTGGCATACTCTAGTGTAGTAGACAATCGTGCACCCATAGAGATCCCATTAAATGACCATTCTAATTCCTAATTTAATTCTATACACGCACCCAATTTGAACCTAGCTGACTCAGACTCTTCATTTGTTTGACAGTTGCTATGGCGGTTGCTAAGGACTTTGCTGAATCGCGACTCTCCACAACTAACAGAGAGGCCAGGGAAATCTCAGCTGTAAGTTTGCCTAAAAAAATAGACATTATGATGTAGCTAACCTAGCTAACAAACTAAATGCGAAATTAAGAATGTGATGTTTATATTGAACGTGTTTCAAATGTCATTATTTGGTAGATTCATGGCTACTGGTTGCTATTATTCTAAGACTGGTTATTTGTTGTTGGTTAGCTTAGCTCTGCTTTCTTAACAACTAACGTTAGGCTTGCCAGTTTTACTCCCTCTGATTAGCCTGCAGCCTCCTCATGATGATTGGTGTCATTGCCAGACATTTATGCAACTGTAAATGTATACAGTAAACTTAGCTACTGTACTTTTTGCCAGGAAATAGAAGCTTCACCGTGGAGTCACTATGTCATCAGAACATGCAAGGCTTCTTCTACGGAGGCCTTTGCCCCCTAAAAAGATTCCCCCCATTGTGAAACCACTTCCTTCGCCTATACTTTCAGGTAAACTACAGGGATTAATATACAGGGGTTGAATACAGGGGTTGCCCTATTGCCTGGGGCAAGTCAACTGAGCAGTCCCGCAAGTTGAGCCTGCTCTGAGGTTGCCCAATTGAGTGATAAAAAAAGTCATTAAAACGGATAGCTTAAAACGGATCTTTCTGCCTAGTTAACAATTCTAGGGAGAGGGAACGTTTTTGTAATGTTACCCCTAATGTTCCCCTAATGTTTGAGTGTCCAGTTTTCTGTTAGTTAGGGGAACAACATTCTATCTATTTTAGCAAAAAACTTTGGAGAACCTTTTTAGAATGTTTTGGTGTTAAAGTCAGGAGAACATTCCCTTAATGTCAAACAGAACTTATCTAGAACGTGGTTACAATGTTCTCAGAATATACACTGAACAAAAATATAAAAGCAACATGCAACAATTTAAGATTTTACTGAGTTAAGAGTTCATATAAGTCAATTGAAATAAATTAATTAGGCCCTAATCTATGGATTTCACATGATTGGGAATACAGATATGCATCTGTTGGTCACAGATACTTTGGATGGGCCTCAGGATCTTGTCACGGTATCTCTGTGCATTGAAATTGCCATTGATAAAATGCAATTGTGTTCGTTGTCCGTAGCTTATGCCTGCCCATACCATAACCTCACCGCCACCATGGGGCACTCAAAGTTGACATCAGCAAACAGCTCGCCCACACAACGCCATACATGCTATGCTGTCTGCCATCTGCCCGGTACAGTTGAAACTGGGATTCATCCGTGAAGAGCACACTTCTCCAGCGTGCCAGAGGCCATCGAAGGTGAGCATTTGCCCACTGAAGTCGGTCACGACACCGAATTGCAGCTTCCCTGAGACGGTTTCTGAGAGTTTGTGCAGATATTCTTCGGTTGTGCAATTCCACAGTTTCATCAGCTGTCCGGGTGGCTGGTCTCAGACGATCCTGCAGGTGAAGAATCCGGATGTGGAGGTCCTGGGCAGGCGTGTGTGACAAGTACTGAGTATACGAAGAGGCAGGATGCAGACGCAGGAATTAACAAGGTCAAGGTTTACTTAACAAAGACAAAGAGAAATAACAAAGATAGAGTAAACGACACGAAGCTGAACAATCACACACAACATCACCCAGAACAGTCCAGGGCTAAATAGGGGTGGTGATGAGATGATGAGGTGCAGGTGCGCTGGAGGTGATTAGGGTGCGTTGGGTTTCCATTTCGGTGTTGCCGAGGTGGTGCGCTCAGACCGGTGGCTCAGTAGGCCGGCGAATCAGAGCGTCGGAGGGGAGCAACGGGAGAAGACGTGACAGCGTGGTTACACATGGGCTGCGGTTGAGGCCGGTTGAATGTACTGCCAAATTCTCTAAAACGACGTTGGAGGCGGCTTATGCTAGAGAAATTAACATTAAATTCTCTGGTAACAGCTCTGGTGGACATTCCTGCAGTCAGCATGCCAATTGCATGCTCCCTCAAAACTTGAGACATCTGTGGCATTGTGTGGTGTGACAAAACTGCACATTTTAGAGTGGCCTTTTATTGTCCCCAGCCCAAGGTGCATCTGTGTAATAATCATTGTGTTTAATCAGCTTCTTGGTATGCCACACCTGTCAGGTGGATGGATTATCTTGGCAAAGGACAAATGCTCACGAACAGGGACGTAAACAAATTTGTGCACAACATTTGAGAGAAATAAGATTTTTGTGCGTATGGAACATTTCTGGGATCTTTTATTTCAGCTTATGAAACGTGACCAACACTTTACATGTTGCGTTTATATTTTTGTTCAGAATACAACATTCATGTTCTAGATGCGTTTTAAGAACATTAATGTGTCCAGTTTTCTGGGGGTTAGGAGAATATTCCATCAACGTCCCACCAAACATACACAGGACATGGATGCCATGTTCTCACAATATTAATGTTCTAGACACTTTTTATTTTATGTATTCTTTTGTATTTGACTCCCTTTATCTCCTCAATTACGATCTTGTCTCATCGCTGCAACTCCCCAACAGCTCGGGAGGAGAAGGTCGAGTCATGCGTCCTCCGAAACATAACCCGCCAAACCGCGCTTCTTAACAACTGCCCGCTTAACCCGGAAGCCAGCCGCACCAATGTGTCGGCGGAAACACATTTCACCTGACGACAGAGGTCAGCCTGCAGGCGCCCGGCCCGCCACAAGGAGTCGCTAGAGCGCGATGAGCCAAGTAAAGCCCCCCCGGCCAATTGTGCACCGCCCTATGGGTCTCTTGGTCACGGCCAGTTGTGACACAGCCTGAGATCGAACCCAGGCCTGTAGTGACACCTGTAGTGATACCTCGCGAAGCAACAGCTGCTGTCTATATCCCCTCATGATTGCGCATTTGTAAAATAAACACAGACCGGACAAGTAGATGCGCAATGGATTATGGTCATTGTAGTTAATTACCACTTTTTCTGAGCTAAATTATGTAGAATATTGGCCTGTTACTCCGTACTACATCACACAGTCAAGGCTGGATCTGATTTATCTCTAGAGAGACTGTGCAATGTGCGCATTGAGCTCACAGAATAAAAATGAATGAAATGGAATTCAAATCATTGAATCGTTGTTAGTCAATTAGTTGTTTAAAAAACGAAAAATAACAGAAATGTTGGTTAATCGCTCAGCACTATCTACGTTTGATGCAACTGTTAAAGTGTCATGGGAAGCTTGCATTTGTTTCTTCCAGGTACAATCATAGACTCATTGCCCTCAACAGCGAGAAGGGATCTGAAGGACAGTGCCTCCGAGCGGAGTGAGTCAAGCTGCCACGTGCTTCCTCTTTGGGACTATGACCCTGCAGCCTTCAGGGCGGCTCCCACTCCCCTGACCTCGGTCCCATCCATGCTAATACCTAAAATAATTGAGGGCTTCCCCTGTAAACCCCCACGCACCCTTCACAAAATCCCCCTCCTCGACCTCCTCAAGACAGACCCCAGATACATCCCCTCTCCCCCTAGCTTTAGCTTCAATGATTTTCTGCTGTACCCTAATGGCGGCTGTGAGGCTCAGTCACTAGAGGGCCTGAAGAAAGTGGCCCTGTCTCGCTGCAACTACAGGAAGCTGGTTGGGCTTTTCCTGATGGAGCTGCACAAAGGGCAGCAGACTGAGGTGTCCAAGCAGCTGATGTCCACTGAGAAATTGCCAGAGGCCAAGACCAGGATCCCACAGAAGCAAATCATATGCGGTACATACTGTATATAATATGTTAAAGATTACCTACCATTGTAGTAGGCTAGAATCCAGATTGTGGTGTGTTCATTATGCACCAGTACTAGTGTTTTATTTAGTGAGTATTGTGTGACAAGGATGCTTGCTTGTGTAAGTTACAGTGGTGTACTGTTTCTTCATGCGTAGTGTATGTGTTGTTAGTATTTGTTGTGTGTTATCTGATAAGAGCTGGCAGCATTGATCCGTATGGAGGTGCAAGCTCAGATGATGTGTCGGCGGAGCTGTGTGGGAGATGGGACCTGCAGGTCTGAGCAGAAGTCTGTGGAGATCTGGGTACCCCCAGGGGAAAGACAAGCTGTTAAGAAGCAGGAAAATGTATACCCAGGCAAGAACATGTTTGCCTTCTCACTTACTATAACAAAACCAACACTATTGAGTTGTTTGTACAAAGCCAAGCTCAGTTTTTCTTGTAGCAAATAAATCAACATTTCCTTTGAGCAGGAACGGAGGTGATCCTGAACTCTGTGACAACCAAGAACTTCCAGGGCTCTCGGCGGACCCACTCCCCATTCAGGCACTGTGGAGAGGCCATCAGCCCATCTGAGCTGGCCATACTGGACTGTCTGACGGAGGGGGGCAAGGCACTCACCCTGAAGGTGCTGTGTGTTGTTTACTGTGTGTGTGTTTGTGTGGGTGTGTGTCAAATTCTACAAGTCTGTTCTTTGCCAATTATTTATGTATCCTTTTCTTATTATTTTATCATTTATTCCTTATGTATTGAAAACCTTTGTTCTCAGACTCTTTGCAGCATTATTGAGAGAGACAGAAACACAGCCATCCCTTGTTCGAACTAACATTAAAAGGAAATGAAATTTAGCATAACAGAAAGTAGAAGAGGAATATGTGAGCTAGAGCTTCTCTTTTTCTCTGAACCTTGACTGAGGGATTTACTGTGTGTTTTCTCAGGCCCACTTCATTGCCCTGCTTCCTGATCTGACTCCTCTGGCCCAGAGCCTGCTCTACCTCAACCTGTCCTTCAATGACTTCACTATCTTCCCAGTGGAGGTGAGATGCTTTATGAACTGAGGCAAACGATGAGCATGTCTTACCAATATAATGGGGTTATTTTAGAGCAGTGATCATCAACTAGATATTTGACTAAAACGAATAATTTCAAACCTTGCTTACGTTTGGATACGGTCACATACAGTATATCTCTCTACTATGTGTGGGAATACTTTGGAACAGATTTCCTAAATTAAAATCACCCCCCCAAAAAATGCTCAGAAAACTTGGGGGCTAAATAAAATCACCTGCGGCCCAAATTAGGCACGCTGGCCGCCAGTTGGGGAACCCTGTTTTAGAGCCTATTTATCTGAAAAGGGAGTTCTGAAAGCATGTTGCAAAATGTCACTGCAATTCCATGGCATGACAACTTCCAAATATCTCTTCCCCTCTCTCTCTCTAAACAGGTGTATGAGCTCACACAGTTGGAGGTGCTGAAGATGAGAGACAACCCCATAGAGGAGATTCCTACCGGCATCCACAGACTCACCAGGCTCAAAACCTTTGTCATCTCCTTCTGCAAGATCACCTCCCTGCCGCCGGAGTAAGCCACAAGGGGGCGCTACAGTGTTGGGAACCTGTTATACACAGTGTTATAAACTGACCCTGCTGTTAGAAGTCTCTGTCGGTGTCCCAGATCTGAGTCCTGTGCTGTTGGTCCTACCTACAGGCTGTACCAGCTGCCCACCCTGCAGTTTCTAGATGTATCCTACAACCTCCTCTCATCCCTAACTAATGACATCAGAAAACTCAGGTACAGTCCAGAGTAGGCAGTAAGCCTGCAAAGACCATGATATGGAGCTTTTTCCAAGGTCTTACATTGTATGGGGGTAACTCACCCGCCACCACCACCTTTGTATAGTACCCACCTTGTGTTATTGTTTAAATGTAACAGAACACCTCTGTCTGCAGGACTCTGGAGTACCTGAATGTGGAGGGGAACCAGCTGCCTGGTCTGCCCTGTGGGGCCCTGCGCCTCTCCCTCACCCAGCTCAGGATCTCCAACAACTACATGCACCCCTACTTCTGGAAGAGCTGCAGCCAAAACTCCCCCCAGGAGCTGCAACACTCAGCCACTATGACACTCTCTCTCACAGACACCTGTCTGCGCTATGCCAGCCTACCCCCTGAGGCACAGATGGCCCTTAGCAGGTAGCCTATTTACACAACCCTGATCAGATTCAACTAAATAGATACACAGTATAAAAGATAAACTCCATGTTTTGTTTTTTTTAGGTAAAAGAGTTGACTGTTTCATTGATAGTGTGTGTGTTTTTATGTGTCCCCAGGGTGGGTGTGTGTGACTGCTGTAGGGGTCCTATGTACGGACCTGGACTCAAGGTGATCCGGCCCTGCTACAACATCTTCGGACTACACAGGGTGCCCTTCATCTTCAATGCCTGCACCCCAGCATGCCACTGGAACTTCAAGAACCAGACCAAGAGTCTATCCAGTGTTCTGTATGGAGAAGACACAACTCACAATAGTGAACAAGTAACAAGACTATGAAGGAACCAATACTGAGGCTACTGTATCTTGGCCTGAATAGCCAAAGACCTCTGGACATCTATCTCATCAGGACTACTAATCTTGTGCCAAATTGTAACCTTACCATTACTGATGTAACTGTCTTTATATAGCCTTGAGTAGTTGTCTGCAAAACATGTATTTTGCATAGCAAGTGCATGTGAATACTCCCATAATTATGGCACTTTTAATGTCTACATTTTCCATTGACCTCAAATAAAAATAAAGTATTTCTGAATACTAGTTGTGTTCAACTATTTCAGTCATCAAGTAGTGTGTATCGCTTTAAGTCTGACTTCTTATGTAAACAAACAAAATATGGACCGTGCACCTCAACAGACAGCTTGACAAATTGAGGTTTGAAGGAGTGAGACGATTTTTGTAACTTTTTTTATTAGTAGTGTAATGGCTTAAAAAAAAAAATTGTCCAGGTGGTGGCGGCAATACAACATCAGTTGTGGTACCCTATAAAACCATTCATTGAATCAGATGGCTCATTCATCACAAAACCCACTGATAATGCCAACTACTTTAATACTTTTTTCATTGGCAAGATTAGCAAACATAGGCATGACATGCCAGCAACAAACGCTGACACTACACATCCAACGATATGACCAAATTATGAAAGACAAGCATTGTAATTTTGAATTCCGTAAAGTGAGTGTGGAAGAGGTGAAATAATGATTGTTGTCTATCAACAATGACAAGCCACCGGGGTCTGACAACTTGTATGGAAAATTACTGAGGATAATTGTGGACGATATTGCCCCTCCTATTTGCCATATCTTCAATTTAAGCCTACTAGAAAGTGTGTGCCCTCAGGCCTGGAGGGAAGCAAAAGTAATTCCCCTACCTAAGAATAGTAAAGCCCCCTTTACTGGCTCAAATAGCCAACCAATCAGCCTGTTACCAACCCTTAGTAAACTTTTGGAAAAAATTGTGTTTGACCAGATACAATGCTATTTTACAGTAAACAAATTGACAACAGACTTTCAGCACGCTTATAGGGAAGGATATTCAACAAGCACAGCACTTACACAAATGACTGATGATTGGCTGAGAGAAATTGATGATAAAAAGATTGTGGGGGTTGTTTTGTTAGACTTCAGTGCGGCTTTTGACATTATCGATCATAGTCTGCTGCTGGAAAAACGTATGTGTTATGGCTTTACACCCCCTGCTATATTGTGGATAAAGAGTTACCTGTCTAACAGAACACAGAGGGTGTTCTTTAATGGAAGCCAATCCAACATAATCCAGGTAGAATCAGGAACAACTCAGGGCAGCTGTCCAGGCCCCTTACTTTTTTCAATCTTTACTAACAACATGCCACTGGCTTTGAGTAAAGCCAGTGTGTCTATGTATGCGGATGACACAACACTATACACATCAGCTACTGCAGCGACTGAAATGACTGCAACACTTAACAAAGAGCTGCAGTTAGTTTCAGAATGGGTGGCAAGGAATAAGTTAGTCCTAATATTTCAAAAACTAAAAGCATTGTATTTTGGACAAAGCATTCACTAAACCCTAAATCTCAACTAAATCTTGTAAAGAATAATGTGGAAATTTAGCAAGTTGAGGTGACTAAACTGCTTGGAGTAACCCTGGATTGTAAATTGTCATGGTCAAAACATATTGATACAACAGTAGCTAAGATGGGGAGAAGTCTGTCCATAATAAAGTGTTGTTCTACCTTCTTAACAGCACTATCAACAAGGCAGGTCCTACAGGCCCTAGTTTTGTCGCACCTGGACTACTGTTCAGTTGTGTGGTCAGGTGCCACAAAGAGGGACTTAGGAAAATTGCAATTGGCTCAGAACAGGACAGCAAGGCTGGCCCTTATATATACACAGAGAGCTAACAGTAAAAATATGCATGTAAATCTCTTCTGGTTCAAAGTGGAGGAGAGATTGATTTCATCACTACTTGTATTTGGGAGAGGTATTGACATGTTGAATGCACCGAGCTGTCTGTTTGAACTACTGGCACACAGCTCAGACACCCATGCATACCCCACAAGACATGCCACCAGAGGTCTCTTCACAGTCCCCAAGTCCAGAACAGACTATGGAAGGCGCACAGTACTACATAGAGCCATGACTACATGGAACTCTATTCCACATCATGTAATTCATGCAAGCAGTAAAATTAGATTTAAAAAAACAGATACAAATACACCTTATGGAACAGCGGGGACTGTGAAGCAACACAAACATAGGCACAGACACATGCATCCAAACACTATAACATTCGCACTATACACACACATACACATGGATTTTGTGTTGTAGATATGTGGTAGTAGAGTAGTGGCTTGAGGGCACACACTTAATGTGTTGTGAAATCTGTTGTGAATGTATGGTAATGTTCTTAAAATTGTATAACTGCCTTAATTTTGCTGGACCCCAGGAAGAGTAGCTGCTGCCTTGCTGCCCTCTAACGTACAGGGTCATTCTACAGATTCGGTGACATTTCAGTATTGTCAGTGTCCCAAGATGTACTAGTGTTATAACTTATCAGAACATTTATCAAACTACACTTAAATTACAACATTTCAAAGTTTTACATGTTTTTAATATGGAGTAGAGAATATGATTTTAAACAGAGATGAATTTCAATACTTATATGTTTGCTTTTCTTAGGAGTATTAAGAATTTCGCCTGTCCCTATTGACCATCATGCAAATGGCGTGACTCATTTTGAGTACACAGTGTTAAATAATAATGCTTTTTTTTTGTTAAATTAATTGTATATGCCCCCTTATTATGCATAATCCATTTTCTCAGCATAAGACATTTTATTTTCTGAGAAATTCAGGCTTTTACCCCTGTCCTTGTATTTCTTTCAACCCCGTAACGCAACAATACCCCCACTCACAATTAAATAATGGTTTGATCCTGTGGACATCATTTATGAGGAAGTGACATCATACAAGTCTTCAGAGAAGCCTGGTGTGACAAGTGGTAAGCTGCTCTCTCACTTTTTATAAATATTTCATGTTTTTTAAGCACATATGGGCTTTGTCAATCTCAGGTATTCAACTCTGTTGGGGGGGGGGGAATTCATAGTTAAGATTTTACCAATAATTGTTTTTATAGCTATGAAGTATAACAATGTCTTTTGTTGAATAAGGCCATGTGGCACACTGCTAGCTGCTAGCATCCCGAATTAGCAACAGATTAGCACAAAATCTTCAACCCTGTCACATTCAACCCCATCACATTTTTCAATGTTACGGGGTTGAATGGCTGTTACAGGGTTGAATAGCTGTTAAATCTTAGCAATATTTAATGTATATTGCTTAATACCAATCATATTTTCTTGTTGAATGTTTGTTGTTTACGGTTTTACAGTATCAACTAAAAGTACGAGGAATTTTTGAAAATAATAACTTAAAAAAAGTGACAATTAATTTGTTCTCTCTCCTATATACATTGACATATTTAGGAGTATTATCTGCAAGTTCATGTTCATTTTACTACATAGTGATTAAAAGGATACAATATTTAGTCTTGAAGAGTAAGCAGGTCATTGACTTGACCTTGACCTACAATTTCAGATTCAACAATGGAAAAAACAGCAGCAGAAAGGAAACACACATAGAGAGGAAGGTGAGGGACATCCGCGCGCCGGTGGTCAGGTAATTCTCCTGGACATGGGAAGGGAGCACCAGATGGTGTTGGTGCAACCCTAAAAAGAACCGCAGACAGGCTGATAAGTCAAGGATGTGACATCCCAAATGCTCATACTCTGTACAGGGTCTTAGAGGAGAACAACACTGCCATCAAGCTTTACTTCATTGAAGACGAGGCCATCGAGAAAGCCGTCCAAGGTATGCCAGCCAATTTGCCAGTAGTTCCATCCACAATGCGGATCCACCAAGTTGTTTGTGTGGCTGCAAGGCAAATTGCCTACCGTGATGTAAGCTGTATGTGCACAGTCCACAACAAGAAACTGGAATGCCAGTGTTTCAATACACAACATTTCACATTTACCCCTAAAGTTACATCAGTCGTGTCACAGAGGGAGGTTGATTGGGCAAATCCAGACATATGCGGGAAATGGTGCGTGGCCAAATATGATGACGATTTCTATCCCGGAATAATTCTAGCCACAGATGAATCCCATGTGCAGGTCAAATGCATGTGCTGTGCTGGACCAAATAGGTACTTCTGGCCACTTCTTGATGATATCCTGTGGTATCCATTTGAGGACATCTTGGAACACATTGATCCCCCTAAACCGGTGACTTCTAGGCACATGGAAATACAGAAGGAAGTGTGGGCTAGGCTCTCTCAGTAAAAATGGTGAACAAACTGTAGGCTTACCTATAAGTTATTAATGTTAAGATGTTTGCTTAATGTTCAAACATTCAAACAACACAGACATTCCTGCCATTACTCTGGATATTTCTATGAAATCAATGAAAATGTTGTAACTGTTGTTAGTTTATTAATGTGTTTTAATCTGTCTAGATTTCATCTTGATTGTTTAAACTTTAAAAGCTATGTTGACAGTAGTTTAAAATGTTAAAAAATGGCAACATGTGACCTATATAGGTTATCAATGTTAAGATGTTTGCTCAATGTTCAAACAGACTCCTGCCATTATCAGATGGATATTTTTATGAAATCAATGAAATGTTGTTACTGTTATTAGTTCATTAATGTGTTTTACTCTGTCTAGCTTTCATCTAGATTCTTTAGATTTTAAAAGCTATGTTGACAGTAGGTTTAAAAATGTTTAAAATGTTTAAAAAATGGCAACATGTTAGTGATCTCAAAAGATAAAACATATGACACGTGATGCTTTTCACTCAACCCTGTTACATGATTTTCAACCCTGTTGCGGTGCATTCATCCCTGTTACGAGATTATTTTTTTAAATTTTTGTTTTAAATACACAAAATATAACATCAATAGTGTTGTTATTGTGTGTATTAAATCAGGGTAAATAAGGCTATTTCAATTTTGTCAGGAATTACGCAGCATTCTTGCACATTTCTTGCGAAAATGTGGAGTTAGATTAGAAATTTCTTCATCGTAAACTGGAAAGGATGGTGCTGGTCAGTTTTTTCTTGATTTTCTCTTTAATTACAATATGCCATTATTTACAAGGGACATCTAAACTGTGAGATTATGCCAGAAGCTGATCTCAAGCTTATTGGAAAAATGAATAGTTGAATAACAAAATGACTGTGACGGGGTTGAATTAAATTGGGACTTGTTTGAGAAAATAATACAGAATAATAACTTAATACTCTACATTGAGATGGGAAAAGGTATTTTCTATCAAGTACATACATTACTTTGTCACATCAAATAAAAAAAAGCTTAAGATTTTAATGTTCATTGTTTCATCCTCCTCAATCACAAAAGGCACCGAATCTGTAGAATGACCCTACAGTATGTTTGCGGACCGCCATAATACCAGAGAAGAAGATGAGAAGCAGACAGCTAGAGGAAGAGTCGAACATCTTTGGTCTATCACTAACGTTAGTTACCACAGCCGCAAAGTCGAAATGGGCTATATCGTAAAAAGTCATGAAAACAAACATTTGCTTTTTGGTCTTAATTTAAGCTTAGTAGTGTGGTTAAGGTTAGTGTTCGGTTTAAAATCACATTTTAAGAAGATAAATTGTAGAAACATTTTAGAAGTTTATGCGGTGGCTGAAACTACATATTTTTGAGACAGCTCTGCAAGCACTTCCGGTGTCAAAGTTTGTGTTGTCAAGATGGCTGGCCATGATCATCATCATGACTATCTGTCTCTGTGCTTATGCGACTTAATCAGGTAATAATAATTGAATAAATGTTGCTTTGTTTCTGATACTTGTCGTAGTAAATGTAGCTCATAGTTACCTAACGTTACAGTCCTCGCCAACAGAAATGGGATATGAATAAAGAATGAACAAGTGACCGTCAAAGCTACCTAACGTTAGTTAGTAGCCATATCTATGAAGAAGAGAATACATTTTACAATCGGAGTAATTTGTATAGACAAAACATTGTCGAAAACTAGTTAAATTCCTAGTTGGCTAACTACTCAGAATCAGTCAGTCAGCCAGCCACCATGGTGTTATAGTTAGTAGTATAACGTTAATTATTTGTGTCTTCTAAACAGATTACTATGGTCCATGGTGCTGCCATGCGTGTATCTGAGCTTGGTGCTGACGCTGCTCCTGTTTTTACTCGTCATGGGGGTCCGAATATGGCTGCAGAGGAGTCGGAAAGCCCGCCTGGCTCAGGATAGCACCCCAACTGTGGCCTTCTTCCACCCTTACTGCAATGCAGGAGGGGGCGGGGAGCGGGTGCTCTGGTGTGCCCTCAGAGCGCTTCAGAATCGGTAGGTTTACGCAGTCTGAGCCTATAGTTAGATGTCAATGCATTCGTAGAGTGCTCATGAGCTTCATAACCTACATTTTCCATTCCTTCATCTCTTGATATGTTGAGTTATGTCTCTTCTGTGTCTTCCCTCCCATAGATACCCAAACGTTTCATTCGTTGTGTATACCGGTGACCAAGGGGTGACAGGGGAGCAGATCCTCGAGGGCGCCCGACAACGCTTCAACATCAGGCTGCCTCATCAAGTGACTTTCATATTCCTGAAGAACCGTCTCCTGGTGGAGGCTAGCTCCTACCCCCACTTCACCCTGCTGGGGCAGAGCATGGGCTCCATGTTCCTGGGCTGGGAGGCCCTCACTGCCTTCGTACCAGACCTCTATATGGACTCCATGGGCTATGCCTTCACTCTGCCTATCTTCCGCTACCTGGGGGGCTGCAGGGTGGGCAGCTATGTGCACTACCCCACCGTCAGTACTGACATGCTGTCTGTGGTGAGAGAGAGAAACCCAAGGTCAGAACTGTTTATTTTAATTATATAAAGCATATTGATATGGTTATTTATTGTGACACAGAAGATAATGTATTCTTTAATAGTTTGGTTGATGTGTTTTCGTTATTCCTCTGCAGTATTTGTAATCATACACTCCCCCCTACAATCCCAACAGGTTCAACAATGCAGACTACGTCTTTGCTAACCCTCTCCTAAGTACAGCCAAGGTGATGTACTACTGTGCCTTCGCTCTGATCTACGGCCTAGCTGGCTCCTGCAGCGACGTCGTCATGGTCAACTCTACCTGGACACTGGGCCACATCCTGGCCCTGTGGCGCACCCCCAGCCGCACCGGCGTGGTCTACCCGCCCTGTGACGTCCGCTCCTTCCTCAACATCCCATTGGAGGATGAGGTGGAAGGGGAGGGGCTCGATGACAGGAAGTGCCATTCGATAGTGTCCGTGGGGCAGTTCCGACCAGAGAAAGACCACCAGCTGCAGATTAGGGCCTTCCGGAAGCTTCTGGACAGGAAAGGGGTGGGTCCAGGAGGGCGGGAGTCTCTGAGGCTGGTGTTGATTGGTGGCTGCCGTAACCAGGAGGATGATGATAGAGTGCTGATGCTGAGGGGGTTGTGCCAGGAGCTGGGTGTGACAGAAAGGGTGGAGTTTAAACTTAACGTTCCCTTTGACGAGCTAAAGAGGGAGCTGGTGGACGCCACCATTGGTCTGCACACCATGTGGAATGAGCATTTTGGCATAGGTATTCATTTTATCTCTACCATCTTATTATCTGTGTTGTACATTCCAAACTCATTCATCTGATCCCTGTTCCTACTCTCTGCCTCCTCTCTCTCCTGTCTCAGGTGTGGTAGAATGTATGGCTGCAGGGACAGTCATCCTGGCTCACAAGTCCGGTGGCCCCAAGCTAGACATTGTGGTTCCTTATGAGGGCGGGCAGACTGGCTTCCTGGCAGACAGCGAGGACAGCTACGCCGCTGCCATGGAGACCATCCTGGCACTGTCACCGTCAGCAAGGCTGGAGATCCGGCGGAATGCTCGACGGTCTGTAGACCGTTTCTCCGACCAGGAGTTTGACGCCAGCTTCCTGTCTTCCATGGAATATCTGATGGGAAAGCTGGAATGATGAGAGGGAAAACCAGCCCCTCGCAGACTGAAACCCTTCACCTCTGCTGCACTCACAGGCCTGATTGGCTGGGAAACTGATGGTCTATTGGAACTTTGCTGGCTTTATTAATAGGAATACGTAAGGATGCTTGTCTAACCTGCTCTGTCTTGCTAGAGTTACAGTGAAGTGACTTGTTGGACATTCTATTTATATGTTTACACTCAAAAAGGACTTGGCTCTATATTGGACTATGGCTCAGAATTGTAGATATTATACAAACAATGCTTTATTTTGGAAAAAGGAAATGTATTGTTAATTTATGTCTGATGAATCTTAAATGTATATAATTTTTATTTACTTTTGAATGTTCCTCCATGCAACAACAATACCGAAACATTTTCAACTCCCAAATAATTAACATCTTGTCAATGCTTGCTTACGTTATACTGGCGACCTGTGGCAAGAATAGGTAGCACTTGGTCAAAACTTTAACCTGTAGTTTAGAAAAATGTAAGACGGTGTCTGTACTTAAAGCCAAGAAAATAATATATGCAAGTCAGTTGATGCAAATTATGATAAGGATAGGGCACTCAAAACCTGCTTTGTCTTTCATAGAAAAGCATCCATTTCCTAGGTCAAGGTCTTGTCATGGTCCCACTTAATTGTCACAGTAAAGAATAATATGAACACCATATTTCCTGCTTTTGCTTATTGTCCTCAGTCTTTTGTCTGGGCCTGGTCCTCATCTGCAGCCTGGGCCTCGCCAGGTTTCTTTGTCTGAGTATCACACCCTGCAGCTTGAGTCTGAGAGTTGTTACCCTCCGTGGAAGTTTCCAGTGTTTTCACCTGTAGGCTCTACCACTGGGTGTATTTGCTGGAGGGCTCCAGGTTCCTGACTATCTAACTCCGTTTCCCCACTACCCCATATGTTACTACAACCTCTCCTACCTATTTCGCACTCGCTCCATCCTCCATTATAAATAAGTTAATCATCGACTCTGCCACCTCCTCTCTCAGCTCATCTTCAGACTCCTCAAAGTTCTGGAGGAAGGAGATATTTAAAGGAAGCAAATGTTATTGGGGGATAAGTTGACTGAGGACATAATCTCTGTTTTGTAAAGGTTACATTGCTGATATCAGGCAGACCTTTGAAAAACAAGAACCTTGTATCAGCCAAGCGTCACACTCGCATGTTGTCATCACCCGACCTGGGCTCCAGGCGTTCCTTGTCCACTTCCACATCTGATTTTCCTTCCCCCTCTATCTTCTACTCCCCCTTTCTCAGTCAAGGGTTCTAAGAGGGAGAAAAGAAAGCAGGGAAGCAAGATAATTGATTCACTGTCCTGACCTTTCATGGCTCATATAGGTCTTTCATATTTAATAAAGACTGCACAGAAGGATGTTTTTGTGAATGTCCCTGTAGTGGGGTAGAGAGTTGTCTGACATGGGATTAGGGAGTCAAGGGTGGTAGTTAGCGCAGCCTGGCAGAGGGCATGGAGCAGGGTGTTGGGGGGGACCCTCTTCCCACTCTCCTCACCCTTATAGCCTCACCTCCTCCCCATCTGCAGCTCCGTCTGGGTGTAAGAGGAGAGTACTGCACTGACCCTTTAGAACACTGACACTAAATTACAACCGGAACTGAAACAATGTGTGTACAGGTGTACCCTCACTCACTCACCCAGTTCAGGCACAGCCATGGTGGTACACACTGATGACATGTCCATCTCAGCCAGGGCGTCCAGTAGGGTCTGTGGTGCTGCCAAGCCTCACATCTGACCTGGGCGTGCCTTCAACCTGCCCCGCCCCCAATCATGCCCCGAACCAATCCCTGTGCCTCAGCTCCTCCCCTGCCTGGAAGCTCAAAGTCTGGTTCAGTGGGTCAAGCTCCTAGACCCATGCATGCACACGGTCAAGTATGAGATACTTGAGAGCCCTACCGTTGTCTAAAGTCAGACACCATGTTGAAATGAACATACTCAGGCAACATGGTAACATGTCATCTTTTACCTCTTGCTCGTCTAGTTTTTTGTCATCCACTATTCTCTTATCGTCCATCTTCTCCTCCTCTTTTTCTTCCTCTTCATCCTCTTGAATCCCTTCATCATTTAACTTGATCTCAAACATGGGCGCTGTCTTGTCTTTGTGCTTCTGTAGTTCCCCTCTCCCATCTGTTCTTCTGACTGATCTGTCACAGGGTTCCTTCAATGTCCTAAATGTTGCAGATAGAAATGTAATATATAGAGCCGAAATTATTATTTCTTGTACATGACATCTCCGTTCTACACAATACATTTCTATGTGAACGTTCGGCAATAAGCCCCTGGTCTTACCTGGGCAGGTTGGGGTTTCTCTCTTGTCTCTGTGTGTTTGGGCTCACTTGTGACTGGGGCTGAAAATATGTCTGTTCTGTTAATATCAATAACCACGTTTCCATGCGAGCAATGTCATCCTGTATAAAAAAATAAAATAAACTACAGTATTGATGGAAACAGGACGTTTCGGTAGAATTGTATAAATGCTGGCAGATAATTTGTTCGTTTGACATGGTGGGATCTTTTTGTCTCGGTAAAATTAATTATGTGAGAAATGGCGGTGGAAACGCCTTTATGCGCAAATATTGATATAAAAACCATTGTTGTGTCGAGAAAACGTTGCTAATTATGCTGTGAGACCAAGGAAATCCGCTGACGCTGTATTTTCATCATAAAGGTTTATTTATATCAAAGGGTTACAGCTTCAATTTACAGATACCTGCAGATACCTGGAGAATAATCACCCATCTCAAATATGATTATTCTGTCCTCCTTTGTCTTAACTGTGGTATTTATATCCTATGCCCTATGTAATATAATATGGGTGGTTTTTCCTACCAACCAATCCCAGGACGACACCTAACAGACTTCCTCAGCTTTATGGTGCCCCTATAGAACTCCTCCCCAGATGCTCCCTTTAAGCTTAGTCAACATCCTCTAAAACCATTTGAAACCATTAGCAAAGTCATAAATTCCTCAGATACCACACCATCATATCGAAGTAAACTTGGAGTCACACGATTATATGGTGTGTGGTCCTCCCACTACGACTCGGAAAAATATGATGTTTATTAGGCTACAGATGAAATAACTTATGAACTTCACAGGGTGGTGAAAGTGCACAGTGATCTTGATGCTCCTTTCCAATAAATATCGAGGGTCTGATTCTAGTGACATGACAATACAAATATTCTCGCTCTTATCCATAATAATGTTATTATGTAGATTAGCCTACCCGCACTGTATCTGTGAGCTGTTGGTTGCTATTTAACGCAGCAGTTTTTGTGATAAAAGTATCGGTAGGGTAAAAATGCGATGGAAACACATTGAACTTTAAATTTTTATTCTGTACATGAAACCTTCAACGAAAAAGAACATTTTTTTTTGTGCACTATGTCATCACACACTGATTTGTATCTGCATCAAGTCCGTTTGGTGGAAACACCCTTGTGATTTTCATTATGGTCATTAGGCAGATTTTAGAATATTCGCATGAAAATCTGTCGCCAATTGGATGGAAAACTACCTATAGTCAATATACACTGAGTGTGAATTGAGACTGTTCTGAGGCGAAAAGGGGGGACCAGATATGGAACTCAATATTAGGAAGGTGTTCCTAATGTTTGGTATACTCACTGTATAGACTTTTATTCTGGCAGAATCTGCTATGTTATGAACAGTGAGAATGGTATTAGAATTGTGTAGTGGTGTTATGCAGATATCACGTAGTTGTGATAATGGTAGGGCATAGGGAATGACAGAGAAACCTTTATGTCAATATGTTGTCTTCTTTACCTCAGCGTCAGCTCTCTCATCTCCTTATAATATTGCTGTCTGATGTGCTGCAACTGCCATAGATACTCCTACACATACACACATGAACCTGAATGCTTGACAAATAAACAATAAATCATATAAGTCACTTTTCTGCACATTCTCCTGCCGTTCAGTCCCATCCTGCCTCCTGACGTATGGTATGTGTGGGTGTGCAGAATACCCTGCCCCTTGGTCCTGCTCAGGCTGTCTGTACCACTCAGCGTCTGCTGTGGAGGGCCGCAGGCCCTGGGGGTCAAAAGGGGAAGGGTCAGGTTCACAGATTTTAGTTACCATACATCAGCAGCATATCCAGTTTTTCTTGTATTTAACAGAAGCCAGCAAACAGGTGTTTCAGTGTAATACAGCCTGAGACCCACCAGCTGTTTCCCTGCCCTCAGCTTGTACTGGTTGGCCTCCTGTCTCCTCTGGAGGGATTCATTACGAGCAGTGGCCACTCTGAAGGCCAAACACACACAAACAAAATCCTGCATCTCCCAAGGACCAGGCTTGAAGAACACTTCATTGTTCTATGGTTATGATTATGCTTGATTGAACACTCCCGATTGATAAGGTTCTGTGCGGTTCTCTCTGTCATCATAGTGCTCCACAGGTCTCTCCTGAACCACTGGAGGATGATGGGAAGAAAGAGGAGGATGAGGAGGAGTAAGAAGAAGGGGCGGAGGAGGTGGAGGAGGGTATCTCCTCTGGATGGTGTCCAGCTGGGCATGGTAGTGGTCATAGGGGTTGACTTCAGCCTGACCGTTCCACCTGGGGTCCTGTTGACTGTATTGTCTGGCTGCTGGATCCTTCACCTGTGCTGCTTGTGGATGAAATGACTGAGGAACAAAAAAACAAACAAAAAGATGAGATGGAATAAGATAAAATGGGATTAGGAACTAGGAACACGCTTTCATGTAGTAGCTATGATGGAGAAACAGGAAAAATGTCTCTGCACACTTCCAGTGAAATGCACATTTCTTTTTATAGAAGCTAAGCTTTCGGTCAGTCGACCTTCATCAGATCATTTTCCTGTTTCTCCAGTTATGCATTTTGCTTCCAGTAACTTCACTAATCAGTTTTGGGTGTGTGGTAGACACCAGTGGTGAGAGCACGTGGTGCGGAGACAGATTCTCGCCATGCCACTTGGTAGGAGCGACCGGTCAGGTAGGACGCAATCCAAGAGTGAGCCGCGCCGGAGATGCCCAACTCGGAGAGGGTGGAGAGGAGGATCTGATGGTTCACAGTTTCAAAGGCAGCAGACAGGTCTAGAAGGACAAGAGCAGAGGAGAGAGAGTTAGCTTTAGTAGTGCGGAGAGCCTCCGTGACACAGAGAAGAGCAGTCTCAGTTGAATGACCAGTCTTGAAACCTGACTGGTTTGGATCAAGAAGGTCATTCTGAGAGAGATAGCAAGAGAGTTGGCTAAAGACGGCACGCTCAAGAGTTTTGGAGAGAAAAGAAAGAAGGGATACTGGTCTGTAGTTGTTGACATCAGAGTGTTGGTTTTTTGAGAAGGGGTGCAACTCTCGCTCTCTTGAAGACGGAAGGGACATAGCCAGCGGTCAAGGATGAGTTGATGAGCGAGGTGAGGTAAGGGAGAAGGTCACCGGAGATGGTCTGGAGAAGAGAGGATAGGGTCAAGCGGGCAGTTTGTTGGGCGGCCGGCCGTCACGTCGCAAGATTTCATCTGGAGAGAGAGGGGAGAAAGAACTCAAAGCATAGGGTAGGGCAATGTGAGCAGGACCAGCAGTGTCATTTGACTTAACAAACGAGGATCGGATGTCGTCAACCTTCTTTTCAAAATGGTTGACGAAGTCATCCACAGAGAGGGAGGAGGGGTGGGGAGGGGGAGGAGGATTCAGCAGGGAGGAGTTTCTTTACCCAGAGCCCAGGCTTTGGCCGGGTGGAGGCTTCTCTGGCTTTGGGGACTATTTCTGGACCCAACAGGGGATGAAATATTTTAAAGTTACAAAAAAAGAAGAACATTTAGATAGTTACATAATTGTGATGACACTTTGACACTCCCAGTCTACTCAGCACACTCTGAATGTTGATATGATGTTAGCATAACATTACAGGTGCCAGAAAGGATATGTCAGCACTTGCAAATAGTCCGGGTGGCCATTTGATTAATTGTTCAGCAGTCTTATGGCTTGGGGGTACAAGCTGTTAAAGAGCCTTTGGATCTAGACTTGGCGCTCCGGTACCGTGCGGTAGCAGAGAGAACAGTCTATGACTTGGGTGACTGGAGTCTTTGACAATTTTTTGGACCTTCCTCTGACACCGACTAGCATATACAGTACCAGTCAAAAGTTTGGACACACCTACTCATTCAAGGATTTTTCTTTATTTTTTACTATTTTCTACATTGTAGAATAATAGTGAAGACATCAAAACTATGAAATAACACATATGGAATCATGTAGTAACCAAAAAAGTGTTAAACAAATATTTAGTTATACATATATTTTATATTTGAAATTCTTCAAAGTAGCCACCCTTTGCCTTGATGACAACTTTGCACACTCTTGGCATTCTCTCAACCAGCTTAATGAGAAATGCTTTTCCAACAGTCTTGAAGGAGTTCCCACATATGCTGAGCCCTTGTTGGCTGCTTTTTCTTCACTCTGAGGTCCAATTCATCCCAAACCATCTCAATTGGTTAGAGGTCGGTTGATTGTGGAGGCCAGGTCCTCTGATGCAGCACTCCATCACTCTCCTTCTTGGTAAAATAGCCCTTACACAGCCTGGAGGTGTGTTGGGTCATTGTCCTGTAGAAAAACAAATGATAGTCCCACTAAGCCCAAACCAGATGGGATGGCGTATCACTGCAGAATGCTGTGGTAGCCATGCTGGTTAAGTGTGCCTTGAATTCTAAATAAATCACAGACAGTGTCACCAGCAAAGCACCCCCACACCATCACACCTCCTCCTCCATGTGGGAACTACACATACAGAGATCCTCCGTTCACCTACAATGCGTCTCACATAGACACGGCAGGTTAAACCAAAAATCTTCAATTTGGACTCCAGACCAAAGGACAGATTTCCACTGGTCTAATGTCCATTGCTTGTGTTTCTTGGCCCTAGCAAGTCTCTCCTTCTTATTGGTGTCCTTTAGTAGTGGTTTATTTGCAGCAATTCAACCATGAAGGCCTGATTCACACAGTCCCCTCTGAACAGTTGATGTTGAGATGTGTCTGTTACTTGAACTCTGTGAAGCATTTATTTGGGCTGCAATTTCTGAGGCTGGTAACTCTAATGAACTTATCCTCTGCAGCAGAGGTAACTCTGGGTCTTCCTTTCTTGTAGCGGTCCTCATGAGAGCCAGTTTCATCATAGCGCCTGATGGTTTTTGCGACTGCACTTGAAGAAACTTTCAAAGTTCTTGAAATGTTCCGTATTGACTGACCTTCATGTCTTAAAGTAATGATGGACTGTCGTTTCTCTTTGCTTATTTGAGCTGTTCTTGCCATATTATGGACTTGGTCTTTTACCAAATAGGGCTATCTTCTGTATACCCCCCTACTTTGTCACAACACAACTGATTGGCTGAAACGCATTAAAAAGGAAAGAAATTCCACAAATTAACTTTTAAGAAGACACACCTGTTGATTGAAATTTCAGCTGGTTGAGAGAATGCCAAGAGTGTGCAAAGCTGTCATCAAGGCAAAGGGGCCTGTAGCTCAGTTGGTAGAACATGGTGCTTGCAACGGCAGGGTTGTGGGTTCGTTTCCCACAGGGGGCCAGTATGAAAAATGTATGCACTCACTAACTGTAAGTCGCTCTGGATAAGAGCATCTGCTAAATGACTAAAATGTAAATGTGCTATTTGAAGAATCTCAAATATAACATCTATTTTGATTTGTTCAACACTTTTTTGTTCACTACATGATTCCATATGTGTTATTTCATAGTTTTGATGTCTTCACTATTATTTTACCTTGTAAACAATAGTAAAAATAAAGAAAAACCCTTGAATGAGTAGGTGTGTCCAAACTTTTGACTCGTAGTGTATGTGTGTGTGTGTGTGTGTGTGTGTGTCCATGGCAGTGCTTACTGGATGTCTGAGGGTGCAGAGCTCATACAGGACAGCCCAGAGACCAAATATAAGTATGCTGACAGGTCTTGTTAAAACCTGCACAGGATGCACAAAAATACAAGGGACTCTGCGACTTGTACCGTCTTTCATTCAATTGTCTACCTGGAGCCAAATACCATGAGTGTCATACTTCAAGGGCCGCAATTATTTGAGGGTTATCCAGATTTTATGGCAATGTTACACTTCTTTCAATGGAATATTATGGCCATGCTGAATGAAATGTTTAGCAATAAGTTCATTTCTGAGATAGATGAAGTAACAGAAGCCCATCCAAACTATTGGTGTCAAACTCAAAGAGCCTAAAATTAGTCATACAAATATATTATGCATTCAGTTATTATTACACGGTTAATGAGAGAGAAATGTATTGCAATAAAATGGTAGACACTACAACATAAATATCAATGCATACCTTGACGACATGGCTGAATCAATGATTGATGGAACATTAGGAACACTTGCTCTTTCCATGACATAGACTGACCAGGTGAATCCAAGTGAAAGCTATGATCCCGTATTGATGTCACTTGTTAAATCCACTTCAATTAGTGTAGATGAAGGGGAGGAGACGGGTTAAAGAAGTACACTACATATACAAAAGTATGTGGACACCCCTTCAAATGAGTGGATTTGGCTATTTCAGCCACACCCGTTGTTGACAGGTATATCAAATCGAGCACACAGCCATGCAGTCTCCATAGACAAATATTGACAGTAGAATGGCCTTACTGAAGAGCTCAGTGACTTTCAACGTGGCACCGTCAAAGGATGCCACCTTTCCAACAAGTTAGTTCGTCAAATTTTTGCCCTGCAAGAGCTGCCCCGGTCTACTGTAAGTGTTATTGTGAAGTGGAAACGTCTAGGAGCAACAACGGCTCAGCCGCGAAGTGGTAGGCCACACAAGCTCACAGAACGAGACAGCCGAGTGCTGAAGCGCGTACCGCATAAAAATCGTCTGTCCTCGGTTGCAACACTCACTACCGAGTTCCAAACTGCCTCTAGAAGCAATGTCAGCACAATAACTGTTCGTCGGGAGATTCATGAAATGGGTTTCCATGGCCGAGCAGCCGCACACAAGCCTAAGATCACCATGCGCAATGCAAAGTATCGGCTGAAGTGGTGTTAAGCTCGCCGCCATTGGACTCTGGAGCAGTGGAAACGCGTTCTCTGGAGTGATTAATCACGCTTCACCATCTGGCAGTCTGACGGACTAATCTGGGTTTGGCGGATGCCAGGAGAACGCTACCTGCCCAAATGCATAGTGCCAACTGTAAAGTTTGGTGGAGGAGGAATAATGGTCTGAGGCTGTTTTTCATGGTTTGGGCTAGGCCCCTTAGTTCCAGTGAAGGGAAATATTAACGCTACATCATACAATGACATTCTAGATGATTCTGTGCTTCCAACTTCGTGGCAACAGTTTGGGGAAGGCCCTTTCCTGTTTCAGCATGACAATGCCCTTGTGCACAAAGCGAGGTCCATACAGAAATGGTTTGTCAAGATCAGTGTGGAAGAACTTGACTGGCCTGCACAGAGCCCTGACCTTAACCCCATCGAACACCTTTGGGATGAATTTGAACGCCAAGGCTATTTTTAAGCCTTGAGACAATTGAGACATGGATTGTGTGTGTTATTCAGAGTGTGAATGGGCAAGACAAAAGATGTAAGTGCCTTTGAACGGGGTATGGTTGTAGGTACCAGGTATACCAGTTTGTGTTGAGAACTGCAACGCTGCTGGGTTTTTGACACTCAACAGTTTCCCGTGTGTATCAAGAATGGTACACCACCCAAAGGACATCCAGCCAACTTGAGACAACTGTGGGAAGCATTGGAGTCAACATGGGCCAGCATCCCTGTGGAATGCTTTTGACACCTTGTAGAGTCCATGCTCCGACGAATTGAGGCTGTTCTGAGTGCAAAAGGGGGTCCAACTCAATATTAGAAATGTGTTCCTAATGTTTTGTATATTAATAATGCAATTCTTATTCTATCTCTAATTTATCTTAGGTCATGGAGTATGAATACTTTCTGAAAGCACTGTGTGTGTGTGTGTGTGTGTGTGTGTGTGTGTGTACGCGTGTGTGTGTACGCGTGCGTGCGTGGCAGTACTTACTGGATGTCTGAAGGTGCAGCGCTCATACAGGACACAGCCCAGAGACCAGATATCCCTGAGCAACAGAGAGAACCACTATTATTTGAAAATGCACAAGGATATATTGCAGCTGTGGTAGTGTTGGATGACAGGGAGTTAAATAAGGGAAAGGATATAGAAAGGGGGATACCTAGTCAGTTGTACAACTAAATGCATTCAACTGAAATGAGTCTTCCGCATTTAACCCAACCCCTCTGAATACTGTATGTTTGTTATGTATATGATAATCTTGAACCATTAGAGATGTGCTAATAGAGGGGAAATGGCAAAAAACACATAGCATTACACTGTGGGTGTCAGTGACAGTGAAACTCTAATGACAAAACAGCCCAGTCCTGGAGAACAGAACAATGGTTTGACGTAGCTGCAGCCACATAGTTGATTGATCAGACAGCTAGCTAATGCTCTACAGTGAGGGGAAAAAGTATTTGATCCCCTGCTGATTTTGTACGTTTGCCCACTGACAAAGAAATGATCAGTCTATAATTTTAATGGTAGGTTTATTTGAACAGTGAGAGACAGAATAACAAAAAAAAAATCCAGAAAAACGCATGTCAAAAATGTTATGAATTGATTTGCATTTTAATGAGGGAAATAAGTATTTGACCCCCTCTCAATCAGAAAGATTTCTGGCTCCCAGGTGTCTTTTATACAGGTAACGAGCTGAGATTAGGAGCACACTCTTAAAGGGAGTGCTCCTAATCTCAGCTTGTTACCTGTATAAAAGACACCTGTCCACAGAAAAAAAAAGAAGAAGAAAAAAAGAAGCAATCAATCAATCAGATTCCAGACTCTCCACCATGGCCAAGACCAAAGAGCTCTCCAAGGATGTCAGGGACAAGATTGTAGACCTACCCAAGGCTGGAATGGGCTACAAGACCATCGCCAAGCAGCTTGGTGAGAAGGTGATAACAGTTGGTGCGATTATTCGCAAATGGAAGAAACACAAAATAACTGTCAATCTTCCTTGGCCTGGGGCTCCATGCAAGATCTCACCTCGTGGAGTTGCAATGATCATGAGAACGGTGAGGAATCAGCCCAGAACTACACGGGAGGATCTTGTCAATGATCTCAAGGCAGCTGGGACCATAATTACCAAGAAAACAATTGGTAACACACTACGCCGTGAAGGACTGAAATCCTGCAGCGCCCGCAAGGTCCCCCTGCTCAAGAAAGCACATATACATGCCCGTCTGAAGTTTGCCAATGAACATCTGAATGACTCAGAGGAGAACTGGGAGAAAGTGTTGTGGTCAGATGAGACCAAAATGGAGTTCCTTGGCATCAACTCAACTCGCCGTGTTTGGAGGAGGAGGAATGCTGCCTATGACCCCAAGAACACCATCCCCACCGTCAAACATGGAGGTGGAAACATTATGCTTTGGGGGTGTTTTTCTGCTAAGGGGACAGGATAACTTCACCGCATCAAAGGGACGATGGACGGGACCATGTACCGTCAAATCTTGGGTGAGAACCTCCTTCCCACAGCCAGGGCATTGAAAATGGGTTGTGGATGGGTATTCCAGCATGACAATGACCCAAAACACACGGCCAAGGCAACAAAGGAGTGGCTCAAGAAGAAGCACATTAAGGTCCTGGAGTGGCCTGCCAGTCTCCAGACCTTAATCCCATAGAAAATCTTTGGAGGGAACTGAAGGTTCGAGTTGCCAAACATCAGCCTCGAAACCTTAATGACTTGGAGAAGATCTGCAAAGAGGAGACAAAATCCCTCCTGAGATGTGTGCAAACCTGGTGGCCAACTACAAGAAACGTCTGACCTCTGTTATTGCCAACAAGGGTTTTGCCACCAAGTACTAAGTCATGTTTTGCAGAGGGGTCAAATACTTATTTCCCTCATTAAAATGCAAATCAATTTATAACATTTTTGACATGCGTTTTTCTGGATTTTTGTTTTGTTTATTCTGTTTCTCACTGTTCAAATAAACCTACCATTAAAATTATAGACTGATCATTTCTTTGTCAGTGGGCAAACGTATAAAATCAGCAGGGGATCAAATACTTTTTTCCCTCACTGTATATTCCCTCCTGCCTTCTTCACTGTTTACACAAAAACATGAGTTCCTACACAACATACTCTGGTTATGTCCCTACCCCCAACTCTTTCTCACAGTCAGCCAGTCAGTGCTCCATCAGGTAAAATATCACCACCTACTGATCTTATCGGTAGACACACAGGGTATATTTTCTTCCTTGTCTAAACATGTAACAGAATAACAGGATATCACGTGGGCGCGCCTGGTAGAAGCTCCGTAGTTCACTTCACCAAAACGCGGACATTTTGGCTTTCACTTTGTAGGCCTAGACACAGAGAGAGAGAGAGAAAAAGAGGGGAGGATGATAGAGTACATATGTTTTGTTGTTGTACGGTCTGTTCTCACAGATCTCAGGAGACAGGTAATATGGCGTCCCAACACAGGTCCTGGCTAGCTCCATGGTACTAACCAATCACAATAAAACATAAAAACTTTGACTCACTAGCCAACGGTTTCATCTAAAATTCATATAAAGTGATCAAGGCTCATTATTTGCACCAATGTTCTTTTCAGACCTTATAACAGTATAACTGTATGGTTGTGCAGGCTGTGAAATGTTAATAGCATTTCTGAACCCAGTTGCAGCTCTCTGTAATCAACAGTCATGGAGAAAAGTCATGGAGAAAATACCAGTAGTCTCTTTCCTAGCTGTGTGTCTTCTGCCACTATCATAGTAACTCACTAGTTTAACATTCTAGCGATGCCAAAGTCTCCCAGCTTGGCTTTCATCCCACTCTTGGCAAGGAATATATTCTAGAGGAAAGCAATACAGAAACAAAACAATGATCAGAGTAGATCAAGTTGTTATAAGCTGTATCTGTGCTTTGATATTTCTGTGGCTTTTAACTGAATATGACAGCTGTTTAATACCTGTGCTTTGATGTCTCTGTGCAAAACCTTCCTGTCTTGGATGTGCTTCAGTCACAGACAGATCTGTACGAACCAATCCACTATCTGAGAGTGGAAACAAAATAGTTTACATGAGTATGTCTGTGTGTGTGTGTGTGTGTGTGTGTGTGTGGTTTTACTATCCTTGTGGGCACCAGAAGTCCTCACAAGGATAGTAAAACAAGGAACATTTGGACAAGTGGGGACATTTCACCAGTCCCATCAAGGAAAAGGCAATTTTAGGCTTAGGGGTAAGGTTTAGGGTTAGAATTAGGGTTATGGTTAGGGGTTAGGTTTAGGAGTTAGGGTTAGGGGTTAAGGTTAGGTTTAGGGTTATGAAAAATAGGATCTTTAATGGGAATCAATTGTTTGGTCCCAACAAGGAAAGTAAAACAAACATATGTGTGCGTAAGTGTGTTTCTGTACCTACTCCTTAGTAAACAGAACCCCTCTTTTTTTTATTTAAATTTTCTACAATTTTATTTTTCGGGGGGAATGGATCAGCTTAATATTACAGATAGATTGTATCTTCTATCAATGTAATTGTCTGCATCACTTCCAATCCCCCATGTTTTTTTTAAATATATATACTCCCCTTTATTACTTTTCAACCCCACCATCCTTTCCCTACTTGGAGTAAATTAGTGAACAACAATGCCCAGGCCTCTACTTCCGGTCTATACTTACTATCTACACCTTATGGACAGAGTTAATTTTACAATAATTCTAATATATATATATATATATATATATATATATATATATATATATATATATATATATATATATATGAACTTCTTCTACTCTCAACCTCTCCGATCATTTTCATGATGTCCATCCGGTTTGCTTCTATATGCCATATCTTTCTAACTGTGCTCTTTCCCAAAAGCTCCCAACATACAACCTATCTACTTATTATGGACACAGTATGCTTACATTATTAGCTATCTTTGTTATTATTTGTTGTTATTTGTTATTAGTCCCATCCTTCAACTCTATTCAATACCTCCCATCTATCTCTTAACACCATCCATATAGGATTTCTATTTGCCATATATATTTCAACCGTACTGTGATGTTTTACAAAAGTTCTGAACCTTTCTATTCTCATTGCTTCTACAGATTGTGAATTAAAAATAAACTTTTTTGCTAAAAGTATTATTATATTATTGATTGATTGACTATGACTTTTCAGATCACCCAGTAATGCTATCTGCAAGGTTAGCTCCAGGTAAATATTGCAATCCTTTAGCCATTCCTGGACCTGTGTCCAAAAACGAGCTACAAATGGACAGAACCAAAACAAATGATCTAATGATTCTGTCTCTTCACAGCAAAATCTGCAGAGCTGGGAAGATTGTATCCCCCATATAAATAACATTCTATTGGTAGCAAGAATTTTATATAATAATTTAAATTGAAAGATTCTAATTTTTGAATCCGGTGTCGTTTTGCGTGTCAGTTCATAAACACTATGCCATGGAATCGGTACGTCAAAGATCTCTTCCCAACTATTTTGCAATCTATATGGGACGGCTGTCAATCCTTTGGTCCTTAAGTGAAACTGATATACTTTTTTATTTATCGCAGTTTTCCTTAACCAATTATGTTCTTTAATGCAAGGCCGACAGACAAGTTCCTTACTTTCTCCCCCTTCCACTTTCCTCTTCCACTTTTGCGGTAAGGCTGCAATTATTCTTCTCTGCAGATTCTCTCAAGCTCTGTCAGGTTGGATGGGGAGCGTCGCTGCACAGCTATTTTCAGGTCTCCAGAGATGTTAGATCGGATTCAAGTCTGGCCTCTGGTTGGGCCACACAAGGACGTTCAGAGACTTGTCCCGAAGCCACTCCTGCGTTGTCTTGGCTGTGTGCTTAGGGTCGTTGTCCTGTTGGAAGGTGAACCTTCGCCCCAGTCTGAGGTCCTGAGCGCTCTGGAGCAGGTTTTCATGAAGGATCTCTCTGTACTTTGCTCCGCTCATCTTTGCCTCGATCCTGACTAGTCTTCCAGTCCCTGCCGCTGAAAAACATCCTCACAGCATAATGCTGCCACCAACATGCTTCACCGTAGGGATGGTGCCAGGTTTCCTCCAGACGTGACGCTTGGCATTCAGGCCAAAGACTTCAATCTTGGTTTCATCAGACCAGATAATCTTGTTTCTCATGGTCTAAGAGTCTTTAGGTGACCTTTGGCAAACTCCAAGCAGGCTGTCATGTGCCTTTTACTGAAGAGTTGCTTCCGTCTGGCCACTACCATAAAGGCCTGATTGGTGGAGTGCTGCAGAGATGGTTGTCCTTCTGGAAGGTTCTCCCATCTCCACAGATGAGCTCTGTCAGAGTGACCATCGGGTTCTTGGTCACCTCCCTGACCAAGGCCCTTCACCCCCGATTGCTCAGTCTGGCCGGGCGGCCAGCTCTAGGAAGAGTCTTGTTGGTTCCAAACTTCTTCAATTTAAGAATGATGGAGGCCACTGTGTTCTTGGGGACCTACAATGCTGCAGAAATGTTTTAGTACCCTTCCCCAGATCTGTGCATCGACACAATCCTGTCTCGGAGCTCTACGGACAATTCCTTCGACCATATAAATATATATATTTTAGAATAAGTCAAGGGGTCTGAATACTTTCCGAAGGCACTGTATGTGTGAAGATGGCCACACAGCAAATTGGCCAGTGTTGCCTAGTGTGGATTTTTCAGTGTAACATTTCTAATGTTGATTCAGGTGTTATATTTACTGTGTAGTGTTAAATTAAAACTCATTGGTGTAAAATAACCCCAGTGTTGGTGTTAATAACCAGTGTTAAACAAAAACCAAGCCCATCATTATCATATTTCCCAGCATGCTCTATTGCAGTAAGAATTGTTTTGTTTGCTTCAATATCAATGTTTTTGCATGTACATTGATTTATTAATTAATCTTATGCTACTCAAATATAAATAAAACGTTAACTAATCCAATCTGATTCATTGCACCTGTTACTGAAATGGTTGATCCAGTTTAGATGCTTAAGGTGGTCTTATATCTTAGTCTTCCCAATCCGGCATTCTAAATGCAGGGTGAATAATGTGGGTGAATAAAAATGCAAATTCTGGATAACCCCACTCTGGCTGCATTCCAATAGGAATTACACATCACTTTGCAAGCCATCATAATGTGACTTGCAGGCCTGAACTCTTGAGTTTAAGGCCACTGTACTAGGGTAAAACCCTCAAAGTAAGGCCTTATTAAATACTTGACTTGTGTTAAATAATGACATTTTAATGACAACATATTAGCTCAGGATCATACTTGGAGAAGGCCACAGGATGGAAAATGGGTGAATGCAACAACCATGTCTCTGTCACTAACACATACAGTCATGGGTACTATTTTGAACTTTGTGTGGTGAGCTTTCTGGCGCCCAGAGCTGCTGAGGCATCACCCAAGTGGGTGCTACACAGAGTGGAAGAAGAGAAGTCCAGTGGCTATAAGACTTGCCCTCTACAAGGTCATCAGCAGACTCCATCACCATCATTTACCATCCTTTGTCCAGCTCCCTTCACTCAAGCCATGAACTGACCCTCTCCATCTTCGGAGGATGCAGCTTTCAAAGACTTGGCCTCTATTGGTTGACCTGTCATGATATATTGCTTGTTTGTTTTTTTTGCTCTTGAATCACTTTGAGATTCAATGAAAAGCACTATATATTATTATCAATATTATTATGGCTGATAACTCTACAATTCAGTTGAAAAACAAGGCACTCTGGGAAATATGCAAATAAGGCTTTACACTAAGCAGTGCGTTAATTTAACACTGAAAAGTGTTGACCAATATAGACACTGGACCAGTGTTAAATGTAACACTGTCAGAGTTGATTAACAATAGAGAATTTGCTGTGCAGGGTCTCAGAGCCCATTAATCTTGAAACACACACACATACAAACACTCCCAAGACAACCCTTTATCAGTTAAGTCTACACCAGGCTGGACCTCAATTGATAGGAGAAAAAGGAGTAGGAGAGGGGGATAGAGAAGGAGAGGTAGTTAAAGTGAGAAGAGGAGTGAGGGAAGGAGTAATAGCTCACAGCAATCATGAGCGAGAAGGAAAGTGAGAAAAACCCTCCAATAGTATCGCTCACCAACAAATCATCCCACCTGAGGCCATGTTGGCCGTGTTGACATAATAAAACTCAGGCTGCTTTTTTATGTGCCTGGCTGACTGCCTGCCTTCTCTGGCCTCTGTCTCTCCAAAGTGCTAGGGGGTGTGACGTTAGCTATGCAGAATCCTCTTTTTCTATTCACCTGCGCTGTCATTGCCCCACTGTTTTCTTTGTGCCTCCAATAATAAACTGGGGCTGATGCGGCTGCGATTACGCATTGCACATTTATTAGTTTCCAAGGGTATCATTATCCCCCTGGGGGATGCTGTGCCTTCGCAGAGCTGTGAGAGGTGCGGGGCAATTTTTAGATTATTTATAATGACGTCTCTACCTCGGAATCGAGCGTCATCCGCAGCTGTAAATATTCAGACCCTTTGCTACGAGACTCTAAATGGATCTCTGGTGCATCCTGTTTCCATTGATCATCCTTGAGATGTTTCTACAACTTGATTGGAGCCCACCTGTGGTAAATTCAATTGATTGGAAGGGTACCAAAAAAATTCTGCAGCATTGACGGTCCCCAAGAACACAGTGGCCTCCATCATTCTTAAATGGAAGTTTGGAACCACAGACTATTCCTAGAGCTGGCCGCCCGACCAAAATGAGCAATCGGGGGAGAAGGGTCTTGGTCAGGGAGGTGACCAAGAACCCGATGGTCACTCTGACAGAGCTCCAGAGTTCCTCTGTGGAGATGGGAGAACCTTCCAGAAGGACAACCATCTCTGCAGCACTCCACCAAGCAGGCCTTTAAGGTAGAGATGCCAGACGGAAGCCACTCCTCAGTAAAAGGCACAACAGCCCGCTTGGAGTTTGCCAAACGGCACCTAAACGACTCTCAGACCATGAGAAACAAGATTCTCTGGTCTGATGAAACCAAGATTGAACTCTTTGGCCTGAATGCCAATCATCATGTCTGGAAGAAACCTAGCACCATCCCTACGGTGAAGCATGGTGGTGACAGCATCATGCTGTGGGGATGTTTTCCAGTAGCAGGGACTGGGAGACTAGTCAGGATCGAGGGAAAGATTAATGGAGCAAAGTGCAGAGAGATCTTTGATGAAAACCTGCTCCAGAGCACTCAGGACCTCAGACTGGGGCGAAGGTTCACCTTCCAACAGGACAACGACCCTAAGCACACAGCCAAGACAACGCAGGAGTGGCTTCGGGACAAGTCTCTGAACGTCCTTGTGTGGCCCAACCAGAGGCCAGACTTGAATCCGATCTAACATCTCTGGAGACCTGAAAATAGCTGTGCAGCGACGCTCCCCATCCAACCTGACAGAGCTTGAGAGAATCTGCAGAGAAGAATAGGAGAAACTCCCCAAATACAGGTGTGCCAAGCTTGTCTGAATACTTATGTAAATGTGACATTTCACTTTTTTGTTTTTAAAACATTTGCAAAAAATTCTAAAAACCTGTTTTTGCTTTGTCATTATGGGGCACTGTGTGTAGATTGATAAGAAAAAAAACAATTTCATCAATTTTAGAATAAGGCTGTAACGTAACAAAATGTAGAGAAAGTCAAGGGGTCTGAATACTTTCCGAATGCACTGTATATGCGCTTCACAGATTCCTCTTCTAACTTTTTTACATTTACATTTTAGTCATTTAGCAGACGCTCTTATCCAGAGCGACTTACAGGAGCAATTAGGGTTAAGTGCCTTGCTCAAGGGCACATTTACGTCATTTAGCAGACGCTCTTATCCAGAGCGACTCACCAATTGGTGCGTTCACCCTATAGCCAGTGGGATAATCACTTTACAATTTTTTTTTGGGGGGGGGGGGGGGGGGGGGGGGGTAGAAGGATTACTTTATCCTATCCCAGGTATTCCTTAAAGAGGTGGGGTTTCAAATGTCTCCGGAAGGTGGTGAGTGACTCCGCTGTCCTGGCGTCGTGAGGGAGCTTGTTCCACCATTGGGGTGCCAGAGCAGCGAACAGTTTTGACTGGGCTGAGCGGGAACTATGCTTCCGCAGAGGAAGGGGAGCCAGCAGGCCAGAGGTGGATGAACGCAATGCCCTCGTTTGGGTGTAGGGACTGATCAGAGCCCGAAGGTACAGAGGTGCCGTTCCCCTCACTGCTCCATAGGCAAGCACCATGGTCTTGTAGCGGATGCGAGCTTCAACTGGAAGCCAGTGGAGTGTGCGGAGGAGGGGGGTGACGTGAGAGAACTTGGGAAGGTTGAACACCAGACGGGCTGCGGCATTCTGGATGAGTTGTAGGGGTTTAATGGCACAGGCAGGGAGGCCAGCCAACAGCAAGTTGCAGTAGTCCAGACGGGAGATGACAAGTGCCTGGATTAGGACCTGTGCCGCTTCCTGTGTAAGGCAGGGTCGTACTCTCCGAATGTTGTAGAGCATGAACCTGCAGGAGCGGGTCGCCGCCTTGATGTTGGCGGAGAACGACAGGGTGTTGTCCAGGGTCACGCCTAGGCTCTTCGCACTCTGGGAGGAGGACACAGCGGAGTTGTCAACCGTGATGGCGAGATCATGGAACGGGCAGTCCTTCCCCGGGAGGAAGAGCAGCTCCGTCTTGCCAGGGTTCAGCTTGAGGTGGTGATCCGTCATCCATACTGATATGTCTGCCAGACATGCAGAGATGCGATTCGGCACCTGGTTATCAGAAGGGGGAAAGGAGAAGATTAGTTGTGTATCGTCAGCGTAGCAATGATAGGAGAGGCCATGTGAGGATATGACAGAGCCAAGTGACTTGGTGTATAGGGAGAAAAGGAGAGGGCCTAGAACTGAGCCCTGGGGGACACCAGTGGTGAGAGCACGTGGTGCGGAGACAGCTTCTCGCCACGCCACTTGGTAGGAGCGACCGGTCAGGTAGGACGCAATCCAGGAGTGAGCCGCGCCGGAGATGCCCAGCTCGGAGAGGGTGGAGAGGAGGATCTGATGGTTCACAGTATCAAAGGCAGCAGACAGGTCTAGAAGGACAAGAGCAGAGGAGAGAGAGTTAGCTTTAGCAGTGCGGAGAGCAGAGGAGAGAGGGTTAGCTTTAGCAGTGCGGAGAGCCTAACTGGGAGCAATGTTCCACACTGCAAACATGCAGAAATGGAAATACACACACGCGCACAACACTTCAGATTATAACCTGTACTGTGCCTTTCATAACAAAATTGAGTCGTATTGATGTGGTCTTTTAGATATTTTGAACTTTAATCTATTTTGATGCGATCCATATGAATAAATAAACTATTGCTTAAATGCAGTCAGTCACATGATGTGACCAGGCTACCTGCCTAAACATGAGCCAGTGCAGTGGTCCCCATATCTAGGGGCTATTCAATCATTTATCCTCTCTGGTGTGAATAGTGCTGCAACAATTTAGAAAGCATATTCCATGCCATCTGTGTGTGTGTTTTGAACAGGGATGTCCTCGAGATGAGTGAGAGTCAAAGAATTTCAGTCAAAGAAATGAAGATTGTCCAAAGAAAGTAAGGATTGGTTTTTCAACAAAACATCAAGCACACTAAAAGCATGTAAATTATGTACTCTGCAGAAAAACACATTGGCCCCTCATCACTTTGATGGTCTGTGTGAAGGTGAACCAGCAAAACCCACCTGGCATCTCTTGCCTGACACCCTTCTGCAAGGTCCAACTCATCAGGATCTTAAATCAGACAGATTTCCACTTCGATCATATAACATTGCTTATAGTCATACTTTATGTCAACTGATCTACCATCACATTTTGCTATCAGAGGAGAGACATACTGCTATGGGAGCAAACGTAAGCAAATGAGAGCACACAAAATAGACAGAGCGTACAGTCAACATGAACCAATGACAGAGACCAAGCCAGCATGACTACATTCAAATGACTGGCAAATGTGTTCACAGGAAAAGGATGAAGCCGAGTTAGCTGACAAATGTGAACGAGGGCAAAAGTGTATTAAAGGAAAGCGCTCAGACTTTTATATGATATATTCTTGCCACAAACACGCTGGCCATGCCATGGAAGTCAGTAGCACTGGTTTAAGATTTATTGTGGTGTTGGTCATATCTTTACAGAGGTTTTATACAAATTAGTAATATAGATTGAGTTATCCCCAAAAATTGTATATTCTGAAAAATGTCTACATTCAAAGAAAATGTGCGAAAACAAAATATTTTGATCCCAATATTTAAAAAAATGTTTTCCTTTGTTGTATAAGAAAAAATAACTGATTTGAATTCTATAGACAACGGTCTTGGTTTTGATTTATTCTTAAAGCTAGATGAAAGAAAAACATATATCCACACTTATCTTAAGATGTTTTCCAGTTAAGAAATTAATAGTTTCAACAGACAAAATGTAAAACCTATAAAAAACACCCTGGTCTAGTCCCTTCTAAAACCAGGTTCAGTGGTACAAAATTATACATTTTCTATTCCTTTACACATTTTCCTTCCTGTATTCAAAAATACATTTAGACTCCGTTTCAGTAAGTCTGACTATACCATACATGATCTGCTTCAAGTCACCCCTTAAATCGCAGTTGTATTATTTAAGTAATCTTAACATAGATCTCAAATCATCAGTGAAGTTTACATTTTTGACAAACTAGCAGTCCTGCCGTTGAATATATCCTCCAAAAAATAGAAACCCTCTATCGTATAATTGCATCCCTGTATAATGAAAAAAACACGGAACTGATTTTTACATGTTTTAAGCAGAGACAAATTGCCCCATTTCACATAAAAATTATCACGCACACAAAACTACCTGATGTAGAATAACAAATGGTAAAATTAAAAACAGAAAACTAGGATTGCAAATCTCTAACTGCGCTCCTAGAGAAATGAAGAGGTTGTATGGAGACGATGTGCCACTTTGCCCACGGCGACGTCACTAGGGCTCACAGATCAAGGTCTCCACCACAAATTTGCTCTCAAAGTGACGGATCTTGTGGCAGTTGAGAGCTTCACGCTTCTGCATACCTGTAATGTGGGAGATGGTAAGGTTAAAATGCTGATCTACACCTAATAAAAACCTGTATGAGATGCCACAATATATGGTGGTTGGTTGTTCATACAGGCTCAGACTCATTGGGAGAACATTCTTTTGGAAAGGTATGAGTCAGATACACTACATGACCAAAAGTATGTGGACACCTGCTCGTCGAACATCTCATTCCAAAATCATGGGCATTAATATGGAGTTGGTCCCCCCTTTGCTGCTATAACAGTCTCCACTGTCCATCCACTAGATGTTGGAACACTGCTGCAGGGACTTGCTTCCATTCAGCCACAAGATCATTAGTGAGGTTGGGCGCTGATGTTGGGCGATTAGGCCTGGCTCGCAGTCGGTGTTCCAATTCATCCCAAAGGTGTTCGATGGGTTTGAGGTCAGGGCTCTGTGCAGGCCAGTCAAGTTCTTCCACGTCAATCTCAACAAACCATTTCTGTATGGACATTGCCTTGTGCACGGGGGCATTGTCATGCTGAAACAGGAAAGGGCCTTCCCCTAACTGTTGCCACAAAGTTGGAAGCACAGAATCGTCTAGAATGTCATTGTATGCAGTAGCCTGAACAATGAAAAACAGCCCCAGACCATTATTCCTCCTCCATAGTACCAACGTTACAGTTGGCACTATGCATTGGGGCAGGAAGCATTCTCTACTGGCATCCGCCAAACCCAGACTCGTCTGTTGGACTGCCAGATGGTGAAGCGTGATTCATCCCTCCAGAGAACGCGTTTCTACTGCTCAAGAGTCCAATGGCAGCGAGCTTTACACCTGTCCGGCCGATGCTTGGCATTGCGCATGGTCATCTTAGGCTTGTGTGCGGCTGCTCGGCCATGGAAACCAATTTCATGAAGCTCCCGACGAACAGTTATTGTGCTGATGTTGCTTCCAGAGGCAGTTTGGAACTCGGTAGTGAGTGTTGCAACCGAGGACAGATGATTTTTACGCGCTACGCGCTTCAGCACTTGCGGTCCCATTCTGTGAGCTTGTGTGGCCTACCATTTCGTGGCTGAGCCGTTGTTGCTCCTAGACGTTTCCACTTCACAATAACAGCACTTACAGTTGACCGGGTCAGCTTTAACAGGGCAGAAATTTGACGAACTGACTTGTTAGAAAGGTGGCATCCTATGACGGTGCCACATTGAAAGTCGCTGAGCTCTTCAGTAAGGCCATTCTACTGCCAATGTTTGTCTATGGAGATTACATGGCTGTGTGCTTGATTTTATTAATCTGTCAGCAACGGGTGTGGCTGAAATAGCCGAATCCACTAAATTGAAGGGGTGTCCACATACTTTGTATATATAGTGTATGTCGCAATGCCCATGTGGTAGTTTTGTTAGACGTGTGGGCGCGCGTGTGAATACTTGTACGTGCACGTGTTTGTGTGAGAAGGGTGTTAGGTATTTGAGGTCTAACTGTGTGCTTGGAGACCAGTCAGTCATGATGCTAAAAAGGGCTGAATGTAGGAGAAGCCTATTTCTTTTGGGCATGTTAGCATCATTCCTTACTTGTCCAAAGAACTATGAAGCGTGTGCGAGGTGTGATGTATGGTGTTCGTGCATTTATGCGGGTGTGTGTGTACTGACCCAGGATCCTGTCTCTGCGCTCAAGCTTATAGGTGTCCTTGCCCTGGCAGAGGTTGTTGATATGGTATCCCAGTTGTTCCACGTTGTCCAGGCGCTCAGTCACCACCATCTCCTCATGGACCATGTAGTTCTTGGGCATGTAGGTACCAGCCTGGGGGAGAAAGAGGAATACAACATTGACTAACACATCCTATCATTACCATCATGAGATAGCGCTACTAAGTGGTTCATTTCAAAAACATGTATTATCAGTCTCTCTTACATCACTATAAAAGGTTACATTGGGTGCCCAGACAAGTGCATAAGAAATCTAATGTATTACTATAATTATTGTAATATGATTCATAAAGCAGTTCCTGTTACCTTGATGTTGATCAACAGCTCCAGCAAGTTCTTGGGAGGCATGACAATGGAGGTGTTGAGGGGGATGACATAACACTTGTTCAGGAACAGGTCCAGGTAGGCAGTCAGGTTCTGTGGAGAGACAGAACACTCTGTAAGATAACAACATCATGGAACTCCACTGAACACAGACAATCCATGGTCTGTGGATTGTTATCCCCACAGAAACATAACAGGGGTTAGAAATAAACAGCAGGGTTTTTTATTTTATTTTTTATTTCACCTTTATTTAAACCAGGTAAACCAGTTGAGAACAAGTTCTCATTTACAACTGCGACCTGGCCAAGATAAAGCAAAGCAGTGCGATAAAAACAACACAGAGTTACATATGGGGTAAAACAAAACAAAGTCAAAAATACAACAGAAATAAATATATATACAGTGTGTGCAAATGTAGCAAGTTATGGAGGTAAGGCAATAAATAGGCTATAGTGCAAAATAATTACAATTAGTATTAACACTGGAATGATAGATGTGCAAGAGATGATGTGCAAATAGAGATACTGGGGTACAAATGTGCAAAATAAATAACAATATAGGGATGAGGTAGTTGGGCGGGCTAATTTCAGATGGGCTGTGTACAGGTGCAGTGATCGGTAAGGTGCTCTGACAACTGATGCTTAAAGTTAGTGAGGGAGATAAGTGTCTCCAGCTTCAGAGATTTTTGCAATTCGTTCCAGTCATTGGCAGCAGAGAACTGGAAGGAATGGCGGCCAAAGGAGGTGTTGGCTTTGGGGATGACCAGTGAGATATACCTGCTGGAGCGCAGACTACGGGTGGGTGTTGCTATGGTGACCAATGAGCTAAGATAAGGCGGGGATTTGCCTAGCAGTGATTTATAGATGGCCTGGAGCCAGTGGGTTTGGCGACGAATATGTAGTGAGGACCAGCCAACAAGAGCGTACAGGTCACAGTGGTGGGTAGTATATGGGGCTTTGGAGACAAAACGGATGGCACTGTGATAGACTACATCCAATTTGCTGAGTAGAGTGTTGGAGGCTATTTTGTAAATGACATCGCCGAAGTCAAGGATCGGTAGGATAGTCAGTTTTACGAGGGCATGTTTGGCAGCATGAGTGAAGGAGGCTTTGTTGCGAAATAGGAAACCAATTCTAGATTTAACTTTGGATTGGAGATTCTTAATGTGAGTCTGGAAGGAGAGTTTACAGTCTAACCCAGGGTTCTTCAATTCCGGTCCTGGAGGGCCGAAACACTTCTGTTTTTTATTTCTACCTGGTAGTTAATTGCACTCACCTGGTGTCCCAGGTCTGAATTAGCCCCTGATTAGAAGGAGAGGATGAAAAACAGAGGTGTTTCGGCCCTCCAGGACCGGAATTGAAGAACCCTGGTCTAACCAGACACCTAGATATTTGTAGTTGTCCACATACTCTAGGTCAGACCCGTCGAGAGTAGTGATTCTAGTCGGGTGGGCGGGTGCAAGCAGCATTCGGTTGAAGAGCATGCATTTCGTTTTACTAGTGTTTAAGAGCAGTTGGAGGCTACTGAAGGAGTGTTGTATGGCATTGAAGCTCGTTTGGAGGTTTGTTAACACAGTGTCCAATGAAGGGTCAGATGTATACAAAATGGTGTCGTCTGCGTAGAGGTGGATCTGAGAGTCACCAGCAGCAAGAGCGACGTCATTGATATACACAGAGAAAAGAGTCGGCCCAAGAATTGAACCCTGTGGCACCCCCATAGAGACTGCCATAAGTCCAGACAACAGGCCCTCCGATTTGACACATTGAACTCTATCTGAGAAGTAGTTGGTGAACCAGGCGAGGCAGTCATTTGAGAAACCAAGGCTATTTAGTCTGCCAATAAGAATGCGGTGGTTGACAGAGTTGAAAGCCTTGGCCAGGTCAATGAAAACGGCTGCACAGTACTGTCTATTATCGATCGCGGTTATAATATCATTTAGGACCTTGAGCGCGGCTGAAGTGCACCCATGACCAGCTCGGAAACCGGATTGCATAGCGGAGAAGGTACGGTGGGATTCGAAATGGTCGGTGATCTGTTTGTTGACTTGGCTTTCAAAAACTTTTGAAAGGCAGGGCAGGATGGATATAGGTCTGTAACAGTTTGGATCTAGAGTGTCACCCCCTTTGAAGAGGGGGATGACCGCGGCAGCTTTCCAATCTCTGGGGATCTCAGACGTTACGAAAGAGAGGTTGAACAGGCTAGTAATAGGGGTTGCGACAATTTCGGCGGCTAGTTTTAGAAAGAAAGGGTCCAGATTGTCTAGCCCAGATGATTTGTAGGGGTCCAGATTTTGCAGCTCTTTCAGAACATCAGCTGTCTGGATTTGTGTGAAGGAGAAGCGGGGGGGGCATGGGCAAGTTGCAGCGGAGGGTGCAGAGCTGGTGGCCGGGGTAGTGGTAGCCAGGTGGAAAGCATGGCCAGCCGTAGCAAAATGCTTGTTGAAATTCTCGATTATTGTAGATTTATCGGTGGTGATAGTGTTTCCTAGCCTCAGTGCAGTGGGCAGCTGGGAGGAAGTGCTCTTATTTTCCATGGACTTTACAGTGTCCCAAAACATTTTGGAGTTAGTGCTACAGGATGCAAATTTCTGTTTGAAAAAGTTAGCCTTTGCTTTCCTAACTGCTTGTGTATATTGGTTCCTAACTTCCCTGAAAAGTTGCATATCGCGGGGGCTATTTGATGCTAATGCAGTACACCACAGGATGTTTTTGTGCTGGTCAAGGGCAGTCAAGTCTGAGGAGAACCAGGGGCTATATCTGTTCTTAGTTCTGTATTTTTTGAATGGGGCATGTTTATTTAAGATTGAGAGGAAATTACTTTTAAAGAACAACCAGGCATCCTCTACTGACGGAATGAGATCTATATCCATCCAGGATACCTGGGCCAGGTCAATTAGGGTTGAAGTTGATTCAATTTACAATTCAGTCAATTCAGGAAGTCTGAGTCTTACCCTTTGGAAGTCGTGAACGATGTCAGCAGGGTTGCCGTCTTCGAACTCGGGCAGGGGTACGTTGATTAGAGCCACCTCCTGGTCCTCCAGTACGCGGATGTTCTCCTGGATCCTCTTGAAGCTGGAGCGCAGGTCCAGCTCCACATCCTCCTCCTCTTGGATCGTCGTCTTCTCACGGTACTTCTCCATGTCCTCCTCACGGTACATCACCCCACACTCAAACACCCCGCCCTCCTGGTGGACGGACTTAGTGAACGTTTTTATTCCCACTTTTCACTGCATGGAGCTCTGCCCTTCTAGCATAAGGTCTCTTTTGCAATGTCAAATAAAAATATATCATGTTGTTTTCAAATACAATAAGTTCTTTAAAAAAGTGTCAATTACATTCCAATCAAGCCAGCTACAGTATTCAATAACCCTGGATAGACGCTGGGGTCTGAGTGGTCCAATCTTACCTTCATGTAGTAGGAGGCCCCTCCCACCACCACGCTAGACAGGATGAGGGCCAAGCCCAGGCACACACACCAGCACAAGGCCTTGGACTGCTGACGCACCGGCAGAGTCACCTCCGGATCCTGGAAAAACACGGAGGGAAGAGGCAGGGTGTGAGACAAACAGACACACATTTATTGTTTGTGAAATGTGATAAAGAATGCATTTTAATTGTTCATGTCAAGTGCACAGTTCACCACAGACAGGTTTCTAAGTCATTCAACCCTCATCTTTCTCTTTACTCCTCACCCGATTCTCTTGAAACTCTTCTCACTTCGCCCATCTCTAACCTCTCTCCTTTCCCTGCCCTTTCTCTCGCTTTCCTTTTCCATCTAACCCCTGTGTTCCAGAGGCAGTGTAGGAGGGATGGGCACAGCCACATTAGATATGAGAGTTATGGCAACACTCCTGGTTCAAAACAACAAGAACAGTTAGGTCTTGTTGAGAGAGGGTGCAGCGCATTGGGAGGGGAGCGGAGACAAAACAATGGCTGTGTTTAAGGAACGGATGAAGAGGGCTTTATTCTCCCCAAAGAGGCACAGAGCAGGGTGTCATGATGCAACCAGAGAAACAAATCAGCACAGCGAGGGAGGGAGAGGAAGAAGAGAGGTAGAAAGGAGAAATTGGGTAGAACGAGTAGGAGAACATAGAAAGAGAAAACAGAGGATGGGGAGAGCAGACCATCTAGTGTATATTCCTAATGTCTTGACATATCATTGCAGTCAATTTGTGATATCATAGACTAAGGCCACGATATCTGCTTGATCCTTGGATCTTGGTGTAATACAGCTGGTCTTAGCTTTATATAAAAAATACATGTAAAAAAAACGAACTAAAAACACTCGCACATTCTTCAGTAACACCCTCACAGCAAATTTCTCTCCTTTTCAACAAGAGGAAGTTCTAGAGCTGGCCTCCGAAGAAACAAGTTTGCTGACTGAGAACATTGTTGTTGAGCCCATCTGTACAGTTCAGGAGTATGACTGCATGAGTCAGCATTTCCGGGTCCAAACAATAGCTCAACAGGAAGAGACCACATTCTCAACCCAACTTCAGCGGAAAAGCTATAGCGCAATGAGAAGCAAGCGACTCGCCCTTCCCAAGAAGTAAGAGTCTGCCTGACCTCAATCAATTTAATGTCAACACAAGACTCGGAGCAGCAGAGTGCCGTTTCCAGGGTGACCCAAAGCGATAAAGATGGCGAGAGACTAGGAGGAAAGGAGAAATAGGGAAACACAGGGTAGTAGGCTAATAGCAAAAACCAAGAGAGGGAGCAAGGGGGAGAAAGAGACTAACATACAGTCGTGGTCAAAAGTTTTGAGAATGACACAAGTTTTGGTCTTCACAAAGTTCGCTGCTTCAGTGTTATGAGATATTTTTGTCAGATGTTACTATGGTATACTGAAGTATAATTACAAGCATTCCATAAGTGTCAAAGGCTTTTATTGACAATTATATTAAGTTTATGCAAAGAGTCAATATTTGCAGTGTTGACCCTTCTTTTTCAAGACTGCTGCAATCCGCCCTGACATGCTGTCAATTAACTTCTGGGCCACATCCTGGCTGATGGCAGCCCATTCTTGCATAATCAATGCTTGGAGTTTGTCAGAATTTGTGGGTTTGTTTGTCCACCCGCCTCTTGAGGATCGACCACAAGTTCTCAATGGGATTAAGGTCTGGGGAGTTTCCTGGCCATGGACCCAAAATGTTGATGTTTTGTTCCCAGAGCCACTTAGTTATCACTTTTGCCTTATGGTAAGGTGCTCCATCATGCTGGAAAAGGCATTGGTCGTCACCAAACTGTTCTTGGATGGTTGGGAGAAGTTGCTCTCGGAGGATGTGTTGGTACCATTCTTTATTCATGGCTGTGTTCTTAGGCAAAATTGTGAGTGAGCCCACTCCCTTGGCTGAGAAGCAACCCCACACATGAATGGTCTCAGGATGCTTTACTGTTGGCATGACACAGGACTGATGGTAGCGCTCACCTTGTCTTCTCCGGACAAGGTGTTTTCCGGATGCCCCAAACAATCGTAAAGGGGATTCATCAGAGAAAATGACTTTACCCCAGTCCTCAGCAGTCCAATCCCTGTACCTTATGCAGAATATCAGTCTGTTCCTGATGTTTTTCCTGGAGAGAAGTGGCTTCTTTGCTGCCCTTCTTGACACCAGGCCATCCTCCAAAAGTCTTCGCCTCACTGTGCGTGCAGATGCACTCGCACCTGCCTGCTGCCATTCCTGAGCAAGCTCTGCACTGGTGGTGCCCCGATTCCGCAGCTGAATCAACTTTAGGAGACGGTCCTGGCGCTTGCTGGACTTTCTTGGGCACCCTGACGCCTTCTTCACAACAATTGAACCTCTCTCCTTGAAGTTGTTGATGATCCGATAAATGGTTGATTTAGGCGCAATCTTACTAGCAGCAATATCCTTGCCTGTGAAGCCCTTTTTGTGCAAAGCAATGATGACAACCATGGTTACCTGCAAGGAAACACGTGCTAACAGAGGAAGAACAATGATTTCAAGCACCACCCTCCTTTTAAAGCTTCCAGTCTGTTATTCTAACTCAATCAGCATGACAGAGTGATCTCCAGCCTTGTCCTCGTCAACACTCTCACCTGTGTTAACGAGAGAATCACTGACATGATGGCAGCTGGTCCTTTTGTGGCAGGGCTGAAATGCAGTGGAATTTTTTTTTGGGGATTAAGTTAATTTTCATGGCAAAGAGGGACGTTGCAATTAATTGCAATTCATCTGATCACTCATGACATTCTGGAGTATATGCAAATTGCCATCATCAAAACTGAGGCAGCAGACTTTGTGAAAATTACTATTATTATTTGTGTCATTCTCAAAAATGTTGACCACGACTGTACACTACCAGTCAAAAGTTTGGACACACTTACAAATAAAGAAAAACCCTTCAAATGAGTAAAACATTTTACATTGTAGAATAATAGTGAAGACATCAAAACTATGAAATAACACATATGGAATCATGTAGTAATCAAAAAAGTGTTAAACAAATCAAAATATATTTTATATTTGAGATTCTTCAAATAGCCACCCTTTGCCTTGATAACAGCATACTTTTGGCATTCTCTCAACCAGCTTCATAAAGGTAGTTACCTGGACTGCATTTCAATTAAACAGGTGTGCCTTCTTAAAAGTTAATTTGTGGAAAGTCTTTCCTTCTTAATGCGTTTGAGCCAATCAGTTGTGTTGTGACAAGGTAGGGGGGGTATACAGAAGAAAGCCCTATTTGGTAAAAGACCAAGTCCATGTTATGGCAAGAACAGCTCAAATAAGCAAAGAGAAACGACAGTCCATCATTACTTTAAGACATGAAGGTCAGTCAATACGGAACATTTCAAGAACTTTGAAAGTGTCTTCGTGCAGTCGTAAAAACCATCAAGCGCTATGATGAAACTGGCTCTCATGAGGACCGCAACAGGAAAGGAAGACCCAGCGGATAAGGTCATTAGAGTTACCAGCCTCAGAAATCGCAGCCCAAATAAATGCGTCACAGAGTTCAAGTAACAGACATCAACATCAACTGTTCAGAGGAGACTGTGTGAATCAGGCCTTCATGGTCGAATTGCAGCAAAGAAATCACTACTAAAAGGACACCAATAAGAAGAAGAGACTTGCTTGGCCAAGAAACACGAGCAATGGACATTAGACCGGTGGAACTGTGTATTTAGTCTGGAGTCCAAATTATAGATTTTTGGTTCCAACTGCCGTGTCTTTGTGAGACGCGGTGTGGGTGAACGGATGATCTCCGCATGTGCATTTCCCACCGTAAAGCATGGAGGAGGTGTTATGGTGTGGGGGTGCTATGCTGGTGACATTGTGATTTATTTAGAATTCAAGGCACACTTAACCAGCATGGCTACCACAGCATTCTGCAGCAATATGCCATCCCATCTGGTTTGGGCTTAGTGGGACTATCATTTGTTTTCAACAGGACAATGACCCAACACACCTCCAGGCTGTGTAAGGGCTATTTTACCAAGAAGGAGAGTGATGGAGTACTGCATCAGATGACCTGGCCTCCACAATCCCTCGACCTCAACCCAAGAGATGGTTTGGGATGAGTCAGACGGCAGAGTAAAGGAAAAGCCGCCAACAAGTGCTCAGCATATGTGGGCACTCCTTCAAGACTTTTGACTGGTACTGTATATCCCATTATATCCACCGTTTGGTAGAAAGTGCTTTTCTAGAGATAGCAAAAAGGGAGTATTTCTTGAGGCTTTCTGGATGCTTTAACTTTGACTTCTAATCTCTTCCCCATGAGATCAAATGCCAGCGTGGTTTTGCCTTTTGCTGACCGAAGAAGGGGAGTTTCCAGGGATAGGCTTCGACTTACTGTAAGAGTAAATCGGGTAATGTAAACCACTAAAAACAGAAACTTCTGCTTCATGAGCAAGAAGAATCTCTGCCAATGACAACGTCTGACTCAAATGCTGTGGTGGGCCTACCGGACACCATTACACCCAGTAATAAAAAAAAAATCCCCATCATCATCAGAGATGGGTTTTGTAACTGAGTCTGGTAGCATAAGTATGTGCCCAAAGCCATGAACGGTTTGGTTACAATCGGTTTAGAGTCAGAGGCTTTATCAAAGTTTGCACATTCCCCTCAGGTTTTTTCTCATGTTGTACTTTGATAGTATAAGGCTGCTGCGCTAAAATTAACTTGGTCTCAGTTTTGTTCCTCCAGTCTGTTCCATTTCACTTCCTCTTCCTTTTTGTGTTCTTCTGCTCTGACTATGTTGGTTTCCCCTTTTCTGTGGAACAAAGGGTAGAACATACTGTAAGCAGATACTGGACATCAACGTAAATCAAGAAACACACTTTTGACCCAGGCCTCAGACCTTAGTGTTGAAATAGACAATATGGGAGAATAGATTACAGTGTACACTGCAGAAGACCAAGTCCAGTGCCTTAAAAAGGCCCATTATAGTCATAAAAGTGTTATATACACTGAACAGAAATATCAACGGACATGTAAAGTGTTGGTCCCATGTTTCATGAGTTGAAATAAAAGATCCCAGAAAGTTTCCACACGCACAAAAAGCTTATTTCTCTCACATTTTGTGTAGAGATTCATTTACATCCCTGTTAGTGCGCATTTCTCCTTTGCCAAGATAATCCATCCACCTGATAGGTGTGGCATATCAAGAAGCTGATTAAACAACATCATTACACGTGCACCTTGTGCTGGGGACAATAAAAGGTCACTTTAAAATGCGCAGTTTTGCCACAAGTTTTGAGGGAGCATGCAATTGGCTGCAGGAATGTCCACCAGAGCTGTTGCCAGATAATTGACTGTTAAT